CTTTTTTTTTTTTTTTTTTTTTTTTTTTGACAAACCTGACCTAACTTAGTCGAAAATCAATGTCTCAAAAACATTAATTTTTAAACAAATATAACTATACTAATTCTCAAGAAGAAAAATATATATAATAAACATATAATAAATATATATAAAGACTTTTTCTTTGTATACATAAAAAATCAAAGAATTTTGTCTGTTCGTGGTGCCGTTCTGAAGCCTTGAAGGTATGCCATGATTTCCTGGCCGGAGCTGTGCCTGTAAGTACTTAAGTAATGTATTGGAAAGAAGAAGAAGAATTTTTTGATCGTTCTCGTACCGAATGTCTATTCCGATGTCTACCGAGAGATCCTAATTTTTATATATTCCGGCGGCCGACCACCCCTCCTGGATCCCTCTCTCCTGTTAATTAACCTCAACTATTATAGTATTTGCAAATTCGATTTAAGTTTCTACATATATTTCGACATCCTCCTTTCGTTTGTTCGTTTCGTTCGGCACCGCGGAATTAACTTAATACGCGAGAAGGAAAAAAAGGGAAAGGGCACCGCCGTCCAGGGGTCATCGATTGGTCCAAACACCAGAGACACCAGCAGCTGCGCAGTGAACCCTCTTCGCGTATCTTTCTTCACTGCGGCGGTCGAACTGCAAACTGCAAGTGCAGCGCAGTTCCGGGCGCAAATTAGTTGGCCCGAGCGATCCTTGCTCCAGCATTTTGGACTTTAATCCAATTCTATCCACGTTATAATATTAATTGCGCGGGATATCAACAACCTCTCAACTTAACTCAGCCAGTGGGGCGGATCCAATCCCATACCGTAATTTATCCCCCTCCTGTCTTTCTTCCTTCCTTCCCTTCCACTTCGCTCTCCTTTTCTCCTGAATCATCATCTCCTTTTTTCTTAATATTATATTATATTGGGATCTTAAAGGTGGTGCTCTTTTTTGATTTTTTCTTTCTTCGATAATTCCTTTATTTCTATCTGTACTTACATTCCTGCAGATATCGATAGGAAGACTTTTTTGAACCTCGTTTTTTCACCATTCTCTCTGTACGAATAAGGACAATATGGGGGTCGAAGTAGAGAGTTTCAGTCCGGATACCACCATAGCCCCGGCTTTGGACCATAGTATTCCAGTCGAAGAAGAACTCCAAACCGATGCCCCAGCTGTGATTACAGAGACTTCAGAGCCTCCAGTGGCAGCAGAAGCGACAGAAGCAGCGACAGAAGCAGCGACAGAAGCAGCGACAGAAGCAACGGCGGAAACAGTAGCTACAGCAACAGTACCCGTGGAAGCCTCGTCGCCGACTCGAGGGATCCCTCGCCTCGAAAAGAAAGAGTCCCGGCTCCCGCTCCCCGGCTCCCGTCTACCTCGAAAATCCAGCATCCCCACCTTATCTTCTGATAATACCTCTCCGACACGAAGTATTCCGGCACCAAAAGCAAGCAAACTCTCACTCGTCACCCCAAAGCTTGCGGCTAGTGGTCTACGCAAACCCTCTCCAATTGCATCACCAATAAGATCACCTGGCTTATCACCAGGCCTTAAATCACAGAGTTCAAGTGGGAGTCTTCGGTCACCCTTGACTCCTACACGGACAGGGCTCCCGCTCCCTAGATCACCTATTGGTGCGGGTACTGGGCAGCGGAGCGCTAGTGTTTCTACGGCTACACTTCCTAAGACACTACAGCGGCCTTCGTCGTATAGTAATTTATTAGTTAATAAGAAGGGATCTGGGTTGCCTACACTTACCAGATCACCGGTCAGGGAATCGACGAGATCGGTATCTGTATCTGGTGCTTCCGCCCCAGCTAGAGCTACTCCTCAACTGACCCAACCCAAACGGGCTACGCCTACCCCTGCTAAGATACCAGCGAGTCGGAGGGTAGTTAGTACCGCAGTCACAACTGCTCCCGAGACCGCGTCCGCGAAAACCACATCGACAGTCCGCGCCCCCATACGAGTTCGCTCCTTCCAGGCACCTCTACAATCCCTACAATCCCAGGCGCCAAAACCACTGACCCCACGACTTGCAACCGTTTTCCCGAAAGCTGCGCCTGTTTCGACGACTCCAAAGCTTGCAGCGCCGGGATCTATCAAGGTTCCCAAACGTGCTCCCCGCTCTAGTATTGCGCCGGTTGAAGAACCTGCATCACAAGGCAATAAGCATGAGCGTGCTATGGCATCTTCGCAGGCACTTCGGGAGCAAATCAAGGCGGCACGTGCCGCACGTCGAGAATCTAATGCTGCGAATCTTGTCGGAAACGGTAATGGTAACGGTAATGGTAGCGGTAATGGCGGTGACTGGCCTCAGATTGTTATCGCTGGGACAGACGATAAGAAGCAGGGTAGCGATGATGAGGACGCCGAGCGTCCCGAAAATGCCGAGGAAGATGAAGAATCGGATTATGAACACCCATTCGGTGCCGAATGGTCCCGCAAAAAGCCAGCGAAGCAAGAGGAGGAGACACCCAAGGGCCTCAGCATCCGTCCCGGGGGTATCTTGGATCTCACGGCGAAAGATATGCAAGAATTCACAGAGGAGACACTGGGTGGGACTGATACTCTCATGGTAAAAGTTCTGCTATTGCAACGGAACTCGTTAACCATGTTCTCCCCATGTATCAAGACATTCAGAGGACTTTACACTCTTGATTTGAGCTGCAATAGCTTGAAAGGAGAGGAGTATTTGAATGTTGAGATGGAGTTCCCGTACTTGAAGACTTTACTGCTGCATACGAATTACATTGAAAGTTTGGCAGCGGTGGTCAAGTATATCGAAGCTCCACGGTTGAATTACCTTGATATTCATGCGAATAAACTCAAATCCTTCCCGGATGATTTGAGCAAGAGGTACGGAAGTCTTACGACGTTTGTGGCGAGTGATAATAAGATCGAGACTGTGAGCGTGGAAGGGTTGGAGGGAATACAGATTGTGGATCTGATGAATAATAGTATTGGACAGTTGCCACCTGAGTTGGGACTTTTAGAAGGGAAAGGATTGAGGGAGTTGAGGGTTTTGGGGAATTTGTTTAGAGTTCCGAGAAGGAACATTGTGGAGAGAGGAACAGAAGCTATTCTTGAGTGGTTGAGGGAGAGGATCCCGGTTAGAGTTGAGGAAATTGAAGACGATGATGAGGAGGATGGGGAGAAGAAGGAGGAGGTTAAGGATATCAAAGAGGACGGGTGGGATGTTGTAGGACGGGATGAGGAAGCGTCTTCGGACTAAATATTTATAGTAAGGTTGTTTGTGTGCTCATGAGCAAGTCGGAGGAAAGCAGCAAAAAAAAGACAAGATTAATGTGACTGGCGTTTAATTCGGATTATACAAAAAGACGGTATGGATGGATGGTGAATGCATGGGCGATGCCGGTTACTTGACTTGATTGACCTTACTGAAACTTTTTTTCTTCACTAATGAGTTTTCTGTGTAAGACTCTCTTCTCTTTTCTTCTCCTCCCCGAAACTCTCTATTCTTTATTCATTATTCATTGTCACTTTGGAAGTTTCTTCTTCACTACTCTTATCCTTTAATTCTTTGTTCTTTTTTATTATTCTTTGTAGAAACTTTGGATAGGCTGCCTACTTCTGTATGCGTAGCGGATTACTTCTTTAATGGTAGTATTAATATTAATATTATTCTTAATATTGAACTCGCACCCGTCTTAAGCTTGCCTCCATACCATCTTAATATTATAATTTGATCATGGGTCAATTTTTGACTGCTTTAGCAAAGGGGATGAGAGATACGCAGCTGTCATCGTGTAGATTTTGGTCTAGGTTAGAAAAGCATGACTGGCCGCCGTCACCTTTATCCGGAAGCCTCTAAAATATACATATCAATATATATATATTTTTTATGTTCAACCATTCTATTCTTCGCAGTAGCATTAGTTCTGGTTTACAAGATAAATTCCATTCAAGTATAATTTACTATTCTATTCTACCCTTTTATTCTGTTATACTTTGTACTGATCTGTAAATGGCAGTCGAGCCTGCCACAGACCATCAAGCCCGGTTAAATCCACAAGACAAATTGGGAGAGGCGTTAATCCAGACCAAAAAGGGTAAAGCTTGTTAACTTGCAAAAAAATATTCGAACCCGAGATCATAACAATCAGTATTCACTTCACTAGGTCAGGATCGAACGTTCGAATCTCATGATTGAAAATACTTTTATCGATCGGAACAATTAAGTTTGCCAATCATACCTTGACTTGGGGTCCATCATATCTGCTCAATCAGTTAATCGCAGGATAATAAAAAACATAATCTCCTCGTACAATTCACAGTAGATGAAGAATATAGTTTCTCATCCAAAAACATATGATATCTACGACCACAGAAAGAGGAACACTAGGTATCCCGTCCGCTCTGCCTTATATAAGCCTCTTATCGATCAGCCAGTAGTACAGTGGGTGACCATGTGCGAATCCTGATTGTTGTAGATTCATTTTTTTTTGTTTCTTGATCTTTTTGTGAAGAGCTCGTGTGTGTGTGTGCGGACTAGCGGCTTGGCTTTTGGAAACAAACATTTTTGGTGTTGGGACCCGGGTATCCTTGTTTGCATCTAGAGACTTGAGCATGGATTGATCGGTTTATATTATGGGGGTATACTTTTGTAAATGTAGACGTATTTGATCGTTTCGGAGCGGTTCCTTGGAGGAAGGGGTTTATACCATCAATTGGATGGGACTGGACGGCTGGGATGATCTACGAAAAATGGATAGAAGGATTAACCTTTCTGAAAGAATACAGATCCCCAGGTACTTATTCAGCTATATTGTAGTCTCAAAAGTGAGGCGGATTAATTTGTGATTATAATCTGTTCCGCTCGTACGTTGAAGGACAGTCTCAACTTCTCGAATTGAATTCAGGTTCAGGTTAGAGTCGTGTGTGTGTGTGTTGCGTCGTGTTGTAGAACTAGTCAAGGTTACACCATGATCTTCATTACGAGACTGGATCTTCATCTTTGATTCCCTACACGACTGTTTGGTGCAACCGTATTCAAGGCAGTGCCCCTCTAGAGAAAAAAATTGACATTTACATGGGCTCTAAGCTTGGGGTAAGGCTTCCGTTCGCTAGGTCAGCCGCATATCCGGAAAAATATATATCGTGGCTTCCATTTCGGGATATATTGTATTGGATTAGTGGCTCTATCTTTATATCTAATGGGGAAGTTGGGATATCGATATATCTTGGATGTTTCGAGTTTTCTGAATTTGATCCGCGAAGCCTTAAGCTTCGGGCTGGAAACAGTTTCCGGCATGTTGGCATGTATCCTAAACTAAGACACCTTTTTTTTTTTATAAAAAAAAAAAAAAAGAGTGAAAGAGACCTCGAATAAAGACGATTGGATGATCGGGCGGTAGGACGTTATGAGACGTTCGCGTTTCGGAAAAATTGGTAAAACGAGACTTTGACAGGCATTATGGTTCGGTTGCCCTAAGATCACCAATGCGCGCGATAGGAGTTGTACACATTTGTAAAATATTGATTCTGATCAACAACATGTACACGCTATCGCGGTAGATATGCATATCTACAGGCTCGAGGCAATATGAGATGATGAGCTGGCGATGTTTAGTATAAATTCGATACCTACTCATAAACCCACAGGATTATAGTTATACAATACGAAAGGAGCAATTGGCCTCGCCCACTATATCCTTTGCGTGTATAGTATCAAAGGTAATCTTGACAACCATCAAACCCTTTGATCATTCGTTGACAATCCAGGGACAATCCAGGGACACCCCCACCACACCGATAATAGGGTTTTTAAGGGCGGGCTGCAGCTGGGATAAATAGTAGATCCACTTTTAAAAAACGGGAAAATCGGCCGGCCGACGCTATATTCGTTAGTGGGGCTACATTCTTTCTTATCGTCGCATCGCATGAAATCATATGTAATTTAATCGGGACGGGAGATATACAGCCTATCCCGTGTCCATCAAATTGCCTTCTCGAGCTTGTTGGCCTTTTTGAACGTGCGCATGATCTTTGAAATGATAGCTACAGCGCTACGGTCGATATATTAATATATTGTGTAGTTATATTTAATTTTCGAGATATTATATTATATGGGTTTTTAGGTGCCTAAACGCATGTGCATCAAGAAGCTTGGGATATTATGCAAAGCCTCTTCTTTGATGTTGTTGGGGTTGGCATAAACTCGATCAACTGGACCGGGAAATCTGATGGCAATGGTATGAGCCATTTTGCGATCTTGGTATCCACACCGGGTTATACTACACGGATTTGACATAGCAGCAAATCTATTACATTTTATTCCCCTGAGTTAGCTAAAGGCCATGGCGGGGGATTTGCTAGTCACCGAAAAGTTTTGTGCCTTGCAAATAGGTACCGTAGCCGCCGTGAGCCTACTATGTTATTGACAAGCTATTCTTCGACAATGGTATCGAGCGTTTCAGAAGATGGTGCTAGCTACCCAGCTAGAATGCTCGGGAATTTCAATCTGCGACGTTAGAGCTACCGGCGCGAAAGATCAGCGTTCGTTTTCTTAGGTCCAGACCGCGGTACTTGCCAGGTCTTGCATTCTTTCAGCGGTTCTCGTGCTTCGGATATGTACGGTACAGGTACAGGTACCCATTGCATATGGTTCCTAATTACTGTGCACCTGGTTGACTCACGTCTAAAAACAAATTCTCTGGTCCCAGAAAACCTGAGATACTATGTACCATTTCACTGTTTGTCAATAAGTAATGATATTTAGACCAAGAGTTTTTTGCTTAAGAAAATAATTTTGATATCTATGTTTAGAAAACCAAAAAAATGCATCTATACATTGGAGCCTGGAACTCTCTGAATAGAGATAAAGATTGGTGTTTCCTTTGTTCTCAACCAGGAAGTTGTGGGCAAGGTGGACGTGGTGTCTCAGGTAGTTCGGGTCTCGGAGCCCTAGTTCGAACGTTGGCTTGGGTGGTGGAGGAAAAGTATTAGCGCCTCAGAAATATGCGGTAATGGTACTCGCCTCCAGAGCACTGGACTAAAAGTTCCAAATGCAGCAATCTGCAGGTACCGTTGACATGTCTTAAGTTTGCTCAGAAATGCACATCGATTCTATAATGTTTTCCGTACCTGCTTTGCCGCCCTCCAACAGCCACCACGTTGGTTTTAACATTCCTGCTGACGAAAGTCAATAATATTCTTCGGAACCCAACCCCTAAGAAATGCCCCACTTTGACAGCTCAGTACACGAGGCTGAGCTGTCATGTTTATGGGGGAAAGTTCGGTTTGACATCGATAATTGGAGAATTGCATGAACCTGGGACCTTGCCGAGCTACAACCCGGCCCCTTGCTCGCTCCGTACCAACGTCGCCGCAAACTCTTGGTGTAGAAGACTACCTACCCTCAAGATGAGACGCTGGAACAAGTATTCCACTGTTGCAATATAACCATTATTCGCTAGACAAGATGGACATGGATGCGCCGAACTCACACAGAAAAAACTAGGTAGTTTTTATAATTTAGTGCCTCTTTAGGAGTTATGGTTTGGGTTCCCCTTTGACTGCCAATCCTAATATGTAGGCTAGAAGGGAATATTCTGTTGCATAACACAATGCGCGAAACAAGCGAAAAAGTCATGGTTGGAAAGTTTTTTTTTTTTGACTTGGACAAGGCAGCTCTTTCAATTATACTAACAGCTTATGCTTGCGATTCTGATACACGGCGACACCAGTACAAATGAAAGAATGAGAATCGCCCCTCTTAGTTGATCGATTGATAGCTATGTATAAGTGTATCATCCGCCCCTCATTATGATGAGGTTTTTCTTTGAGATGTCGTTTTTCCTCAGTCTCACGCCTCTCCTTTGTCATAAAAAAAGGGAATACATGGTAGCTATATGACAGCTTTGATAACACCATAGATTCCTAAAATATATCATCACATTCATTAAAATCTGCTTTATCTTCCTTTTCTATCTTTTGCATTGGCTTGTGCCAATTTTAATTCTACGATCCTTCAATTTATATTACACTTCTTCCCAAGATGGCCTTACCATCTTTACTTACATCGACGCTCTTTTCTTTTATTTGCGTACATATTTTATTCATTACAGAGTCGTATGCGCAATTGGGATATGCACCCGTTATCAACATTTCGCCGACACTGCCAAATGCGGCTGCCGCGCCTACGATAGATCGATCATTCATCAGCTACTCCCTCGAGCATATGGCGATGCCTACATTCTTAAACTCGCCAATGCTGAACAATCTCATGGAGCTTTGGAAATCGAAAACTGGAGGTCGACCGGGTCTTCGTATCGGAGGGTCTGGTATGGATAAAACCACTTACGTACCGAGTTTAGATCAACCGATTATGTGGACCGCCAATCCTTCTTCGCAGTATTTGGTTGGACCGTCCTACTTCAAGCTGGTCAGAGAGTATTTCCCTAGTGATACCCAGATCACATTTGGTCTCAATTTAGTCAATTCAACGGACAACTGGCAGAACACTGTCGAGTTTGCAGTCGCAGCGGATGAAAATATTCCACAAGTTGATCTATTTGAGATTGGAAACGAACCCGATCTTTACGTTAATGGTAAACAGAGGCCGAGGGGTTGGACGGGCAAGGATTATGCTGAGGAATGGAAATCGGTAGCGAATCGGGTCAAGAAGGTTCTACCAAACGCCCAATTCCAGCCCGCGGTTTTTGCCGGGTCCTTGAAGGATAATTTCGATCTCAGTTCGTTAGTTAGGGCTGGGATAAATAACTATCAGTTCAAGATACCGACCTATTCGTTACATTTCTACGCCCAGAGTGCCTGTTCAGGCAATCAGAACCTTGACAGATTGGTCGATCATAATATACTTGGGGCGCAGCTGCAGAGATTTGACCCTGAGCTTGCTGCCGCAGAAGCTGGAGGTGCTCGATTCACAATGGCTGAATCCAATACCGTGAGCTGTAGTGGTTTTGTCGACGTTTCAGATACTTTTGCATCTGCCCTTTGGCTTGTCGATTACTCCCTTGCTGCGGCTTCGAAGAAAATCGAGCGAATATACTTCCATAACGGTCCAACAACCCCATACTCTTTTTTCATTCCTAAGGGAGCCAATGGTCTCGAATCAGGCATTCGACCAATCTTCTACGGTGTATATTTCCTCGCTGAAGCACTAGCTCTTCCAGAACCGGGTTCCACTACAAATTTTATGGTTAAACCCATTCCCTTACCGGGTAGCCCCTCAGATATTGCTGTATACGGGCTGTATTCGAATCGAGTACAGAGGCCGAATTTGGATGTCGTCGGGACGACAAAAGTGGCTTATACTACCACTGTATCGAAGACAATGACGATGGTTTCCACGGATATTTTCGAGACTGTGCAAAGCGTATCTACCAAAAGGATTATTAAGTCTATAGCGACTTCTACAAAAAGCATTACAACCACTGCAGTATTTATAGTGCCGAAGGAGACGATGTTTACAAAAACAGCTACACTTCCAGGGACTAAGCTTACTACCATCGAAAATCAACTGCTTGATGGAAGCACGATGACTGAAACGGTTGAAATCGCCTACCCCACGGTTACTGAAATCGTCTTGCCGACTATTACTCGCAGCAGAACGACCTCACAAAGAGTCTATACCTCGTGGGTATTGTCGACAATCTGGACTAGTCAAGAAATCACCATAACCAAGATCGTTCGTCGAACAACGCCACTTATATATACTACTTCCTCCGTTTATGTAGCACCTACAGTTGTCACATCTACTCAAACTACAACCAACCCTCAAGCCACCAATATCGGAAACTTCCCTTCATACGACGGCGTATTCCTTGCCCGTGCTGTTATCCTGAATTTATCTCCTTACAATACTTCTGATGAAAAAGTATTGAATTGTCGCTCTTGCTCTGCACCTTCGCCGGCGAGGTATGGCACAGTAGGACCAAGAAAATCAACGAGGGTTACCGTGACGGGGTTTCAACCGGGCCATCGACTCAAATTGGTGAGGCTTAGAGGCCCGGGATTAAATGCAAAGGCTGGAGTTAATGTCAGCGGCATTGCATTTAATGAGGAAACTGCAGAGGTGACTTATACCCCCCGGCCTGGAAGCATATATGTTGAATGGGACGGGACCGCTAGGTTCGACATATTAGCATCTGAGGCTGTGTTACTTGTTGATGAAAAAGTTTTGTAATTTTAATATTCCTTGTGTATATCTTTTACGCTTTTCTTTCCTTTTATTCTGTTTTCACCGGGGAGGTTCTGTTATATGTTTTGGGCAAGGAGTTAATTTTTGTGTTTTTGGAGTTGGATTGTGTTTGTTTTTTTTTTTTTTTTTCGCATAGGATATTTCCTATACATAGTTTAATTTGGGGGCCGGCGCAGGCGGCGACTTCTGATAGACGGATAATAAGTAGGGAACGAAGTGGGGTTGGAGGGACCGTGTAATATATTGTGTATAGCTAGATAGATCTATATAGATTAATAGATGATCTCTATCAACTTCAAGCCATCCTTCAAATAAGCTAGTACTATAGTACATATTAAACCAAACCAATTGAAGGCATGAACATATGCACATATGTGAATATTACTAAATTTGTAAAAGGTTGTCATGATGCGCTCAGCGGATGTGTTTCGTATAAATAAAGGCATAATGCTGTTCAATCAATCTGTAGTCAGTAATGCATTTTGGAATCCCTACGAGACCTACAATTCTTTCGCAATTAGTTTCACACCGTCTCTTGCAACCTCAGCTAGCCTTCAGGGGTTCGCACATGACGTTTGCATGGCAATATTGGAAAAATTAACAGGAACTTGAGAAGTCACAAAGGAAAGAGCACGTGTCACGAAGCTTGATATAAGGCTTGAGCATTTGGTTCTTGATAGATAAGTACATTTGTTATATCCACCACCATCTAACTATTAAGTCTCCAAGAAAGTTCTTGAAAATTTATCAAATCTCCCTCCCATACCACAACGAAAGAAACCTCCATCTCTTATTCTCCATGAAAAGAAGAAACAGCATAAGAAACCCCCCAGAGTTTGGCTCTTTGACTTAAGCGCGCTTGTTGCCAATCCCCAACAACTGAACATCGAAGATCAAAGTTGCGTTGGGTGGGATGAGGCCTGGATATCCACGTTCGCCGTATGCAAAGTCTCCAGTGATTGTCAACTTGGCTCTCTCACCGAGGGACATCTGAGGGACACCTTCGTCCCATCCTCTGATAACTTGTCCAGTACCGATCTTGGTTTTGAATTCTTCGCCGCGGTCGACGGAGGAGTCGAATTTTTTGCCATTAACGAGAGTACCCGTGTAATGAATGAAGACGGTATCACCCTTCTGTGGGTAATCGGTACCGTTTCCGGGGGAGATGAGTTCTTTTGTGACACCCATTTTGATATATAGTTTTTTGAGCGAAGATGAAGCTGGTGGTGCAGTAGACTAGTGTCTTTAGTAAGAGATGTAGTGTGGTGGGAGATGTGCGTGTGTGGAGGTTTTGGTCTGGGATTGCGAGTAAACAGTAGGGATGGAAGAGAGGTGGTGGGAGGAGCTTAAAAAGTTTATCTGAGGGGCCAGGCTTGTACGTCGCCCCACCATGGCACCATATAACAGCGCCTCTCAGCCTGCCTTGAGTCCACCGCGAGAAAACTCGCTCGCATTTACACGTCGCACTCGATATTCTGTCGAATCGCGGCTTGATATCTAGTTAAGTGTATCTATGCACCACTACCAATTTGAAACATCGAAGGTCAGGCGGCGTCGGCATCCCGTTCATGACTTGCAGCAAGGCACCGCATGCGTATTCCGAGGCTGCACGGCTAGCTGTGCTGTTGTATTTTGAATCCCAACACATACTAAACCTTTACAGCCTTGATGCTGGCACTTTGCTGACAAGTTTCAGGCGTTCATGGAGCGCTAGCTTAGACATTCTACCATGGTATTTCTTTTTAGATTTACGCCAAGTTTATAACGTAGAGGGGAGCTATTAAAATGATTAGTTCGGTTTTTATTTTATTTTATTTACTAGCCATGGCCATGCCAACTTGGAGATGTACTGAATTAAAGAGATGTAGTCATTCTTTATATTAAAATGACCTGATTTACATCCGTTCCACCTTCTCGGACTAAATAATTCAAGGTAGAGAGCTCAAGGATGAAACTATCGGGTCCCCTTCCAGTGTAAATGCTATTTTGTGGATGTTATTGGAGGCTCTACAGTTGAGGATATGGAATTCTTACCCTCCGTATCTCGAGATCTAACGTAATAGCTATTAAGTCGTGTAAAGACCCCTGGTAATTTGCCTTTTTCGCGATGCTTCCTTAAGGTCTTCTTAGATCTCGACAGCTTTTTGTTTGCCTGTACTCAAGGCGTTCTCAGATCTGAGATATATAGCTAGTCCCTCCCTGTGAGTGCATGGGCGAGATCCCATAATAGGATTTTACCAAAAGAACATATAGACGTCTAGACTCTAAGTCCTGTACTAGTAAACTATTTTGTCTCCCATGGACTCGGATCTATCATCTATTTCTCATCTCGGTATAGTCGTCTGAATATCCGGGCACATGGCTCCGCATACGTAGCTCCGACATATGACAGAGCAAGATCTTGGCGTCTACGCAACGCAGAGAATCCAACAAGCCTTGAAAGTTTCAGCCGAAGCGGCGCGACTCTTCAACCTTGTTCGGTATAACTATACCCTCCTCATCCTCATCCTAAATTATCATTATAGATCTTTAGATACACCATCATAAACACCAAGAATGCTTGATACAATCTACATCGTCCGTCATGGGGTACGATATCCAATGAATTCTCCTTACCCTACCCCGCTAACCTCGGCAAATCTTATCAAACTACTAGTTCCGTTCAAACTGGGTGGTTTCCAACGATGGCACCTACAATGCAACCATAAAATCGCCAACTGGCATTCCTTCGGATCCGCCGTTGACTTCATATGGGGTTGATCAGGCTAGACAGTTGGGAGTTCATCTCGCGAGTTTGGATATCAAGCCTCAGCAAATATATTCTTCGCCATACTACCGATGTTTGCAGACATCGGCACCGATTGCGACAGAGTTAGGGCTCGGTATTGAAGGTGTGGAAGGCGGAATTGCGTACGTTAGATCTAAACATGATACCTGTTATAGTTAACTATTGCTTACGTGATATCGAAAATATATATAGAGAATGGTTTGGTACAGCTCCATTCGACCATCCGCTTCCAGCCACTGCGGAGCTTTTGAAAACATTCTTTCCAAATCTGAATGCTGATTATACACCAATAATTATCCCTGCTGTTCGTGGCGAGACTATGGCACAGGTGCATAATCGTGCTGCCTATGCGCTGACTAGGCTTGTGGAGTATATTGACAAGGCACACCCAGAAGTTAGGGCTATTGTGTTGGTGTCTCATGCTGCGACGGTTATCGCAGCTGGTAGAGCGCTCGTTGGAGACCCGGATATGGATGTTGGCGCCGGGACATGTTCTTGCTCTGTTTATAAACGAAATGATCCGAACTCTTCTCCAGTGTGGATTGATGTCGACGGCAACGAAGTGCAAGGAACTGGAACTGTGGATTTGAATAAGGGACCGGTGCCGGTGTTGCCGTGGAGGGGGAAAGGAATATTAGGCGGTTGGACGCGTGAAAGGAATGGAGATTGTAGCTTCTTGAGTGGCGGCGAGGAGAGGAATTGGTGGTTTGGGGGTGACGAGGCGTGGGATTTCCCGATTGCAAAAGGAACCGGGGTAGAGAAGACATTGGGTACGGAGATTTCAGGATCTAGAGGCCCTGGCGGGGATGAAATTGTGGGGAAAGGAGAAAGTGCAAAGATATAGATTTTCTGAATTCGTGAATCAGTGGATTCTATGTCATTTTCTCGTTTCTACAGCTTTCTCGGGGTTCGTGTTTCCAGTTTAGATATCATTAGACTAGTAAATTTAACTCTAAACTTGTCTCGTGCCACTCTAAACCCCTCTCCGCCGTCCTTGCTTCCATAGTCTAAATACATTAACGTTCCTCTGGCCGTTTGATTCATACCGGGGCGCCGTCTCCCAATCTGGAAATATATTCTGAGCATTGCAGATCTGTTCTGCCAATGGACCGCAAGTTATATTTCTAAGTTGATCATAAAATCTCCTGTATCCTGTGCCAGTCAGGTGGAGACCTTCAAACCATTCGGTACAGTATTAGTAGTGAACTCTTAGGAAACGTTCAAATCCTAGTTCTAATCAAGATATTCACTTACCGTCACCACTAGCGAGTAAACTACCTAACTTCTTTGAGCTCGGAACATTGATGTCACCTAATAGCGGGCCACCCTCATTCCATCCCGCGAACTTCATGAAATCGCTCCATAAGTCCAGAAACTCGTACCCTCCATCCTTAGCTACCTGGCCGGCAGCTTCTGCATATTTTTTGGTTTCGACAGCCAATCGTCCATCCGTGCCGCCTTGGTGTTCATTAAAAGGCGGCGGAGAGACAATTATAACTTTTGCGCCTCTTGCGAGATGACCTTCAAAAGCTGAGCTCTTAATGATGGCATTTAGATTTGCTTTATATTGGCTAATAGGGATATATTGTGTTTGAGGTGCTGTTGGGAGGACGGCATCATTGGCGCCAAACCAGAGGACCTGAGAAGTTCACTTGTCAGAATTGTTCTCTGAGCTCGGGAACATTTTCGAGCAGCCCGGAAACTCTTACTAGAAGTCTGATATCGGTATCACCAGCGGGTGGGATTGCATCGTTCACGACAAATCTCGCATTTGCAGAGTTGTAGCCGCTTCAGATAGGCCCACTCGCCCCACTCGTGTTAGCCGGATTAATTATTCAAATACCCACTACTTGACTGGAGAGACTTTGCGAATTTAAAGCTGGTACCTTGATAACATACTGAAAACCTCTTTCTATTATTTGAAACTTTTTTGAAAAGTCTTTATTGATCGCTGCGCCGACTGAATACCCTGACTGGGTTTGCCATATATTTTTGGTTAGGCTACTGTTGGCCCGCAGGAAGGTTTTTAGCATTAATTGCGTTCCTTAGTCCTGCCTGTTTTTCGAGCACCGGATTGAAGACCAAACTTACTCCCCAAAAAATAGTATAGAAGGATAACCAAATGGAATTTGCGATGTCATTGTATTCTTCGCCGTATATATATAGCGATGTTTGTGGATTTTAGTCAATTTTCTTGTTTAAGATGGTTTTAAGCTTCAGAATTCTAATTGGCGCTCTATGCAAAGTTTTGAAGTAGTCTGCGGGTTGGGAAAAAAATGGGATTTTAAATTGTAGCATCCAAACATTTGCGCACTCTGGTGATTCCGGAATCCTTTTATATCCATAAATAGTGGCACGGTAATGCTGATATTATAATATTTTAGTGATATCTCTGAATGCAAGCTGATTCGGTGCACGGTGAATGGCGCCGCGACGAGGCGCTTAGACGAGAACACCAAGACCTGGGCACTCGGTGACGTCTAGATCGGCATCCGCAAAGCACTCCCTGGCGAACTCTTCAAGGTATCCGAGACCTTCGTTATAGGATTGTATGGATTATCGGTAGACGGGACCGACAGCTACCCGCTTTCTACAAAACACTGTTTTGAGTGTCCAAGCTATAGCTCCACGATCACTGGCGCAAACTCTCCCCTTTCATCTTCCCCTTCCATATCCTCGAGCTCCACTTCGATCCTTCCGCCACCCTCCTCAGGAGGTAAATCTACCATTCCTTTTCTAACATATTGATCGTCGAGATACCATCCCACTCTTCTACAGAACCTTTCTAGTTTCTCAAACCCTTCCTTGAGCTTGTCTAATTCTTTCTTGTCCTTAACCTCATCGATGTCCTTGAGCTCTCGATTGAATCCTCTGAGCAATTTGATCAACCATGCATCTCCTCCACTCACAAATTCTTCTAAAACAGTATCTTCTACCGGTATTCCCACCGCTTCCTCGTCATCTTCGTCATCACTCTCTGCCTTCTCCCCAACCACCAATCTAGCTGCCTTTAGCATGTCTTCGATCAACCCTACTAACTTGACAAAGAATTTTGTGTGTGATTTTATCGCTTCTCCTGCTGTTAGTGAGATCTCAAGTATATGCTTGAACTGCACTGCAGATGAGTAGTTCGCGAGCAACACCGTTAGAACAAACGAGATTGATAGCTCAGCTAACATCGCTGCTTGCCCGTCTTCTGTATCTCCTGAGGACGGAAGGTTCCCCGACAGTGACTTAGCTGTCGAATCCGCTGTCGCAAGGCTACCTTCCGATTGCCGTTCCCCATATTTTGGAGATAATTTTCGAAATATGTCTGTGAGAACCCAACTTCTATCTCTCGCCCAAACCGTGCGCTCTCTTCCAACGGCATCCAACGGCCATGTGCGCTTGAGATTTATTTGAGTGTAATCCAGAGATTCCCTTTCCTTTGAAGGGTCGCTTTCGGTATCCGACGGCTTTTCTGGCCCAAACATCTTTCTTGACCCTGTGATCTCAGTTTTCGACCGTATGGCTTCGTCTAGTTCCTCTTTCTCCCATTTTGTCTCTCGTGTAGATTCACAACCCCAACCTGGGCCGAGTATTCGGGTTAAAGTCGCTTGCGATTTGGATAAAGTTGTCGAAACCAGGGAGTTCCATACAAATAGTTTCTCCTCAGGCACTTGAAGCTTTTCATAGGGACTTAGGTGTCCGCGATATATCTCTTGAAGATTCTTCTTTATGTTCTCAATTTCGATAGATGGGATGTCTGGTTCTGAAAGGAGAGCTTCGGTTTTTGAACACCATTTTTTGATAATATAAGGTACAGATGGCGAAGCGGTGAAGAAGAAGCCGGTACGGAAATGGAGGGATGACGAGTTTAATGTTGGATTGTCGAGGTCTGTGATTCGTGATTCAGTGCTGGATGGGTCGATAGGATCTGAGGTTGGAGAGAAGTAGCAGAAATGGATTCCGGGAGGGATGTTCTTTATGCCGCGGAAACGAGGGGCAGTTGTGAATGAAGCTAGGTCGATTGCACAGAAAGAAGATGGTGGGAGGTCGAGGAGAATTAACGATGTCATGGCGAGGTTTTAGTGTCAGTGAAGGTGTCTTCACGTCGGTCTCTTGGCACATCGCGACTTTCAAGATAGTGTCACGTGATGTTTAAACGGGTTTGGTTGCGAACATGTGCATTTCGATATTATATACCGACTTAGGCCGGTAGTATACGACTTTTCCTGGGAACCAGTGTCCCGTAAATAACTGGATATAACGAAGTATATACTAAGAAGCTCATACCTTGCGCCTTACTATAAAGAAGGATCTTTTATATTTTACCATATCGATATCAGGTTCCGAGGAGGGTCTAGTCTTGTACTAAAACGCTTCGGCAAGCTGTAGTATCTTAAGATCTAGCGCAATATATCATACTAATACGGATATTATACCGCCGAGTCCTTCGAAGTAGTCCAAACCCAGCTCGTAGCACATCCTGCCGCTATGCCATCGATTCTATAACTTCCTTCGGCAAGCCCGTCGATGGATACTTCATGCTTCCACCTTACGACCTCCCCTTGGTCTTTGCTTAGAGTTCCACAGTTCCCATGTTCACCCCAACCCCAAGCATAAAGCTTCCCGTCTAATCCAATTCCGAGTGCATGTTCACTCCCGACGGCTAGCTTTCCTAATAGTGGTAGATCATCTGGTGGTAATTGGCCGTGTGTCCCTCGACCCCAAGCCAATACTTTTCCTTCGATTGTCAAAATATAAATTGCACCCCACCCGGCTGCGAATGTTCTCCAGCCTGAAACCTTGTTCGAGGGCTTGGATTTTATGACGCCCCATTTGTCACTTCCAATGACATGGATCTCCCCATCGGCAGAGATAAATGCAGAGAACTCCCGTCCTGCCGCAATTCCAGCAATCTCAAAGCCTTCGGGTAGATCTAACCGAAGTTTGGTAGGCTCCCAAATATGTTTCTGACCAGTTTCTAATAGACCTAGCTGTCCCTTCCGTCCGTTCCCCCAACCATACACATGCCCATTAGATAGTAATGCTAACGTGTGTTCGACGGTACTAACAATTTGCACAACTGTTGTACCAGGTGGCGGGAATGATGGAATTTGAGTTAGGGAGCGAGCTGTAGTAACCGACGACCCTAGGCCAAGCTCTCCACGAGGGCCATTGCCACACGAGTATACAGTATTATCTGAGGAGACAAATATGGAGAACTGCCACCCAGAGCTTATCGCTTGCCATCGAGCTGTTGGACTGGGTGGAATAATGGTTGTGAACTTGGTGGTGATTGATTGCGAACTATCGTTACTAGGCTTGATAGATGATGCGATACAACATTGGCCGAATGTATTATCTCCGGTAGCATAAGCGACATTAGAGCCATTAGAAGAGATGAATGTGTGGTTCCCGCCTGTTGTAATGTTCATGCCGGAGGGGCAAGGAGGAAACAACTCAGTTGGAGTACGGGCATCTTCGACATGGCAGATTCCAAGTTGTCCTAAAGAATTGGATCCGAAAGAGAAGAGCCTATAGTTTGAAGGGGAATGCGACAATTGTGATACTCCTCCCATCGAGGATGATGGTAGTGGTAGCTGTGTGTCACCCATGGTGTTGAGTGTGGTTGATGTCGGGTGTGTTGCTAGCCACAACACAATTAAATCTGTTTGACAATTTGGCGTCAAGCGCCTACTCGCCTATTCTTAGGTTCGGACTAGCTGCTTTAGGATTAGGGCGGGACGAAGGAAATTTCGCAGTCACAATTTTGAGGATTTGCTGCTTGGAGCACCTTAGCCTGGTCTTGAGCTAGAAGAAAGAACCTTGAATTTCAAAGGCATCGACGACATCTTCATCCTTCAACAATATCACCAATCCCGACACCACCAACCCTCTAGGTACGAATATCCGCCCTTAGGTATCACGGTCCGATTCAATTCGTCTCGAAGTATTTCATTCCGATCCAGCTTTCAATCCATCGTCTATCTTGACAGATCGTAATTTCTTTCAAAAGAGGGACGCTGGCATAAAACCTGTCGAGAAACGAAGGATTGAGCAACGAAATGGAATACTCGAGATGCTTTGCAATCAGAACGATGGATATCGCCTCAGGAACAGAACAAGGCTAACAGGGTGATTCCTGGCTGATATAGGCCTTCAATCTACCATCACATACCATCAAAATGCCACCAAAGAAGAAGTCCGAACGCCCAAAGGAGGAGAACATCTCCCTCGGTCCTCAGATCCGTGAGGGTATGTTATATCGCCCGTTTCGAAAATGTTTTAGAGGTTGCTAGATTCTAATCAAAATTTTCAGGTGAACTCGTTTTCGGTGTTGCCCGTATCTTCGCCTCCTTCAACGATACCTTCGTCCACGTTACCGATTTGTCCGGCCGTGAAACCATCTGCCGTATCACCGGTGGTCAAAAGGTCAAGGCTGATCGTGATGAATCCTCCCCATACGCTGCCATGTTGGCTGCCCAGGACGTTGCTGCCCGATGCAAGGAACTCGGAATCACTGCCCTCCACATCAAGATCAGAGCCACTGGTGGTAACGGAACAAAGACACCCGGACCCGGTGCCCAATCGTATGTTTATATTCTCTTCATAAAGCTCTCTGAAATGATACTAATCGTTTTTTATTTAGTGCCCTGAGAGCTTTGGCCCGTGCTGGCATGAAGATCGGCCGTATTGAAGATGTCACACCCACACCATCCGACAGCACTCGTCGCAAGGGTGGTAGAAGAGGTCGCAGATTGTAGGCGGTGGATGTCTTCTCTTTTTCTCTTTGTCCTTTTCGCATTTTAACAATACCTTCTACCTGTGCAATATTTCCCTTCCTCTTATCCTGAGGTTTCCCCGTTGGGATCTCTATATAACGCCGGCAATTGCAAAAGATGAATGCTTTGCATTGTCACCAAGCTGGTCGGATATGCCATTTGATGGATATCCCTCCTGGCCTTGCCCTTCGAATTATTAATATCCAAAAGTCGGGCTTTCACTCAGATGTTACGTAGTAATGACACATGCTACTTCCTTTACAAATACATAATGGAACCGGGGCGTTTTCCTTCAAGAGTTCTTCTGGCGAACAATCGTAAGATTAAGATAATCGTAATACCTGTAGTCATCACAGCCCTTCTACGCAGATTCAAGCTTACATAACATTTCTTGATACTCAAATGGATTCAAATAGGGTCTGTGGGAGGTCAATGGGATGATTTTTCCAGACTGTGGTTGGCTAGTTCTTGCGTTCACCTGGCAACCGTTAGGCGGGTCGGAGGTGCACCCCAACCTCCCTGGCAACAACCTCCCCACCACACACACAACACCAAACGCCAAATTCACGTTTCTGTTCAAGCTAACTAATATAACTCACTCCACCGCCACCATCTACGACTCACCTGCTGCTTGGTCTTTGACGAACCATAGCTGCCATGCTCCCGTAGATATCCGGATATATCTACTGACCTTCCCTAGATGCTTCTCCGTCGTTGATCGTGTGCTCTAATTCTTTTCCGTTGTTTTTAACAAACCCTCGCGAGTTGACCGCTGTCATCGCGAAATTCCAACAATTGGGCCCGTGATAAAACTACGAAAAAGAAAATACGACCGAGTCGTATCTCGAGCTTCACAATGGGTATGTGCCTTGGCTTTTTTTTTATATATCTTTTCGAGACTTGATACCACCATGAAGACAAGTTCCTAACGGTTATGCAGTCAACGTTGGGAAAGAGCCTCTCTATCCTACACTACCGCAGGTGGTGACCACCCCTCCCCCCTCGACAACCGTTATCACACCTTCGGGGTCTCATGTCATCGACCGAAAGGTTTCCCATTCTCCCATAACTCCCCTTAGAGATGAGCTTCCAGCTAGCATTTCTGAGGACCTTCCAAAGTCATCACTTCCTCCAATCCCACTTACTGCAACCACCGTAACCCCAGACCCAACGCCCCGTCTACCGGCCATAGCCTCTAAAAATGATATTCTCACTTCTCCAGCACAAACTCAAAGAACACCTACGATCCCTCTTCTAAGTGCCGCTGAAATCACGATATTACCACCGGCCTCGCTCCGTGAACAGCTCACCATCTCACAAACACATATATCAACTCTACAACGGCTTGCCGAAGAATCCCGAGCTGCAGCTCGACATTGGATGCTTCAGCATAAAATGCTTGAAACGGATTATACGAATGAAAAGCACCGATATGAGGTCGAGATAGCATTGGCTAAACGGGAAGTCGAAGTTTTGCGTGGACGCGGAGGACCTGCTAGTGCAAACAACAGCTTTGGAGGAGAAGATGAGACTGATAAATTACGGGAACGGTTGGCAAGGGCTAAGAATTTAATATTGGAGGAGAGAGCGGCGAAGAAGGACTTGGAGGACATGGTGGAAAGGTTAAAGAAACGGATTAGGGATAATCGCAAGCATGACAATATGGTTGATCGAGCTATACTGCATGTCGAAGCTAGCAGAGGGCTTAAGAGAAGTGAGTCGGGGCTATCGACTACGAGCCAACAGCGTGAAGATGGATTGGCAGCACTAGGAGAGGTCGCAAGCCAGGTACTTATGGAGCAGGAAGCTAGGGCGGGAAGTGGGACTCCAAAGAAGCCCGCACAGTCCCAGCAGCGTGGAACTCTCGTGTCACCGATTGAGATGCTAACGGCAGTGACTGGAACGCCGTCGAAAAAAAGAAGAAGAAGGAAGAGCAGAGATTCTACAATCTCAGCTAGTGACGGTGAAGTACCGACAGTGGTCAATACACCGGCGAGAAAGGTGCAGCGGAAGGATGGTGTGATGATGGCAGCCGTGGCAGCTGCGGCTCTCGGAGTCAGTCCCGGAACACCAAAAAGACCAAGGGCGGCTCCAAGTGCTACTGCTACACCAAGAAGCGTGAAGAAAAAAGCGAGTAGCGGTAAACTCGGCGCTGGAAGAAGCCCTCTAATAGGTGGGACCGAGGGAGTCCAGGACGTCAGAGAGGCTTTCGGGGCAGCGTTGAGATATACTGGAGGAGATGGAACATGATGATATATATACACTACATCAAATCTGTGAAGTCGGGGAGGTGGTCTTATTGTAAATATTGTCACGATGTACTACGCTTTGATACACGGTGTTCTATGATGGTTTGAGGGTATTCGGAGTTTTCCTTGGTTCTGACTGTCTTTGTAGGTTACTGACTTCTCTGCTTGTATTTTTTTTGGTGCGATTTACTCTACCATTATGTCTACAAATTGGGGGTTTGTGCCCATGATGGAATTTATCGAGCACTCAAACTATCAAATCGAACTCGCAAGTACCTTTTGCCGCCTAGCTTTCAGAGCTAGGTGGCTTTTCAAGGGCCTCTCGGCCATAGAGATCACCATCCACGCGCACATGTTTCGAGGTCGGGAATCAACCCTGCATACTCCAGCTCGAGCGGACCGGCTCGTTTATTTATTAACGTTGCGACATAGGACTACAATCGGCGCACAATGCAATCTAGGAATACATTTCGAGAAACATATTGTCTTAACTAATCGTTCCCCTGTTCATGAATGCGTGCGGTCCTACTGCGACATATCGACATTGGCTGCTTCGAACCAACCTAGGCTCTTAAGGCACAGTGGTGAGCAAGCGAGATGTTTCACTCAGAAGTTACACGATTCCGCATTGCCCGAATTTCGAAAAACCAAGGACCATTCACATTCCACATGCATCCATTGCACATATTGCGAGCTCCTGTCGTCAGTTCTCATCATTGGTTTGGTTGGCCAATCGGGTTCCAATAAAGCTCCCGCTGCCGTTCCTCGATCGAGTATTCCCTTGCAGATGAAAATTTTCTTCAGGTTGCAGCTAGCCAGCTAGGTAGTTCAAAAGGGACGACCGAGGGCTGCAGGGTCGATACCTCCCATCAAATTAAGAGAAAATGCCGCAATCCGATGAAGCTTTATATATGCCTGGTCTAGCTTCCATATAGTGGATTATTTTTCCCTCGCTTGCATTCTTCAGCTCCTGCATGTCAACCTAGTTTGGGTCTCAGGCGGACAAGGTGGAAGATTTGGATTTCTGATTGACCCAACCCCCCCACTCTCTTGCCAGGCCGTGCGAAAGCCATGCAAATCTATTCGATACGATTCGCGAAACCTGGTACCCGCAGATCAGATCTTATGCACACTTACGGTCCGCCGAGGCTAGATCTAGTTCGCTAGCCGAAGCGAGAATCCATAGTCAGATCCAGCTGAAATTCTCCGACCCTATACGACAATGCCAATTTTAATGGTCTCTGACTTCGACGAGCGGGGGGCACGTCACTGTTGAAATGAATACCGACGGTAAAGTTTTGTGAGGGCAAACCCTATTGCAGACCAACTCGATGTGGCCTCGAATATAAACTATTGAGCGGTGCGGCTCGCAGGTGCCTCCATTCCACCATACTTACGTTGAATAGACGAAATATTAATCCCAACCCCTTACTCAATCACACCTACGTATGTATGATGAGTGTGCGACTTGATCAATTCAAGTTGCAGGTGAAAGCAACGGGAAAAATACCCGGCCTAATATTATAATCTAAGTCCTAGCGAGCCGATCGTAGACATTCCGGGCACGGTGCATCTCACACAGTCGCACTCGGGTCAATCCGCCATTGTGATACGCAGCACAAATTGTGGGGTTTACTTAGCCTTGCAGATGCTTCCATAGTCTCGATGCCTTAATAATGATGAAAAACTGGACAAGAACTGGGATTCTGAGGATCTGGGCTCGCTTTTTGTGCGTGTGCAGGACCCAGACTAGTGTGCAGGATGCATATCTGTTTCGAGAGCGGATTAGGTGGTTTAACCAAGCTAGGCTCGACAAAGCGACCTTGCATTTTATATACTTGCACAGAATACACGAGCTGGGCCATGGGGGCAACGTAGTACAATACAGGAACTAAACCTTGAAGATCGATTAAAATTTGATCAAAACGAAAATTTCGTGAAGAGCGAATTCGGCATGATGCGATGCAGTACAAAAAGCGGCTGGGGGTTCCCAGCTTTGTAGTATTCAGCGACCAGGTTCTGTCAGCGTACTTAAAGTGTGCGAATGTCCATGTTCGTTGTAAGTCTTATATATTATATTCCAGACCGAGGAGCCGTGGATTAAGGAGTTTTCAGTCGTTTAGCACATTTCCATTTGGTGCATCGTTACTTTCTATTTTCTAGATCTATTACTAAAAATGGCGTCTCGAGTTCAAGAAAATACGCCATACCACCGATTGGGAACAGAACAGTGGCCAGGGCCGTTCAGTCTTTCAAACGTGTCTACTGCGACAGATGATGTTATAGCTAGGCACATTCAATCAATTGACGCTACAGAGTGCGACCTTTACAGCGAAGATGGCGTCTGGATTGTGGACTTTGCCATAATTCGAAATCAATTAGAAATATGGGAGCGCCTACTACCCCGAGTCAAGATGTTTTACGGTTCGTCGATTCTGGATTTATCAAATCATGCTGATAGTACTTATACATAATATTAAGCATGCTAGCAAGGAATCAACTAACTCTTCCGCTTTTTCTAGCTGTAAAAACGAACCCAAACCCTCGCCTCCTCAAATACCTAGTAAACCACCCTATGAAGATCGGGTTCGACTGCGCAAGCCACACCGAAGTCGCCGAAATCCTCTCCCTCTCCGTTTCTTCAGACGACATAATATACGCCAACCCTTGTAAAGCCCCCAGCCACATCCGCTATGCTTCCACAAAGAACGTTAAGAAGATGACATTCGATAACACCACCGAATTGTATAAAATCAAAGCTCACTTTCCGGACGCTGAATGCATCCTTCGATTCAAAGCCCACGACCCAACACCTAGCAACAATCCCTCCGAAGGAGCGTTATACGAGTTGAGCAAAAAATATGGCGTTACAATCGACTATTCTCGTGAGATACTGTTGCAGGCTAAGAAATTGGGGTTGAACGTTATCGGTCTTGCGTTCCACGTTGGTTCGGGACAACGGAACGTTAGAACCTATACACACCATATCGAAGAAGCGAGGAGGATCTGGGAAATTGCGAGAGAAGTAGGGTATACATTCACAGTCCTCGACATAGGTGGTGGATTTATGTATAGCAACTTCGAAGAAGCTGCTAGCGCTGTTAATACCGCGTTGGATAATGAATTCGGGGATATGATCGAGCAAGGTGGGATAGATATTGTGGCGGAACCGGGGAGGTATGTGTCCGCACCGGCGTTCACCTTAGTGACGAGCGTTATTGCTATGAGGGAGGGAAAAGAAGAAACGGGTGAGAAGAGAATGGTTTATATTGCGGATGGGCTGTACTCGAATATCAATGCGGCTTTTTGGCCTGGAGAGTTGACCTATCCAACGGTAGTGAAAGGGAGAAGGGCTTATACCGCAAAATCTACACTACCTACAAGCTCGGCAAGCAGTGATAGCGGAATTGAAGTTGAAGAAGAGGATAATGGAAGCATGGATCAGGAAGGAGGATTTTCTACGTTTATGAGGGGGGGTTTACAGGAATACTCGGTTTGGGGGCCGACTTGTGATTGTATGGATATTGTTATAGAGGATGCCGTACTTCCCAAGGGAATTGAAGTTGGAGATTGGTTTGTGTTCAAGGACCTAGGAGGTAAGATCTTAATCTCATTGTTTTCTCTACTTTGATTCCAAAGTCATTAGAGCTATGCTGACAATACCTGGCCAATAGCGTATTCGTTTAGTATGAGGACGACATTCAACGGCTTCCGGACAAGCCACAAAATTTATTATATTAACGAAGGAGTTGATATTGATGTAATATAACTAAAAGTCTTAAGGAGGGGGGGTTTATCATGAAGCTTCGTTGGATATTGACTCATGTATCCCGGCTATTTTCCTGTACTTTGTATTGATATTGTACCCAGATCTAATTGCTGAGTACCAGGCTGCTTCGTGTAATAATTATCGTGATACATGGCCTTGGGTCGATTGTATTATCTATTCTTCTTATTGTATCTACATACCACGGTCTATAGTTCTTACCTGTGCATTCTACAGTGCTAGCTAGTATACTGCATTATCTAGAACATAGGATATCAAGTTACTTAGAGTTGAGCATAGCCGAAGAAATACTCAAGTCTGGCGTCTATCCTGGTGTCCTAGCTTTGTTGCAAAATCTGCGTTGTTTACACATCTCTTGGCAAAACTCGAACCCATGCTTCACGCGTTTCGCTATCTCGCTATCTCGACCTTCAAAGCTCTCTACAATCACGACGCCCAAAAATCCTCAACTTTACACCACAAATGGCACCCGATCCGAACCCGACCATAAGGCCCGGTCCAAAGGCCGAACCATCAAATGCCTCCTCACCATCTGAAGATCCATCTCAGACCGAAGAAACGACGCTTGTCTCGGCCCTCTCTCTCCTCCACCAAATGCACCAAAAACTTGCATTACTCCGCGAATCTATCCCACATATGGTGCAACCGATAATGAAGGCGTCAGCCTATCCGACCCCTGAGACGTTATTCGATGAGTTTTCGAAACGGACGTTAAAGGCTTCCGAGGACCTGGTGGATTTTACGAAGTTGGTTAGTGATGGGAGGTGGGTTTTTGATAAGGCTTCGACGAGTAGACGTGAGAATGGGGATGAAAGTGGAGAAGTTAAGAGGTGGAAGAGTAGTGCGCCTCTACCGCATTATTTGAAGGATATTGCGGAGGGTAGCGAAGCTGTGGGGAAGGATAAAGAGGCCAAAAAGAAAGAAGAGGAGGAGAAGAAAGAGAAGAAGAGGTTAGAAGCTGAGAGAAGCAAAGAACGGGAATTGGAAATTGCGGAAGTCAAGGAATTTGAGAGTGAGGATGTTAGAAGAGGGATAATAGAAGAGTTTAAGAAAGAGCATGGCGATCTCGAGATTACGCCTGAGGAAGACGGAAAGGTTCTGAAGGTTGCGATACCCAAGCCGGTGGGCCTGACGTTCTCAATCGACATACTACAGCCTACAGCGGAGTCGAATCGATATACCGTTTCCCTGCCTACGAGTTCCTATCTTCACATCCTGGTTTTAAGGAGTATTACAACAAGGCCGAATGCTGGAAGCTTAAAGTATCTACTGGTATGTTCCTTTCCTTGGACAAGCTATTAGCTGTTTCTGTCTCGCTGACATATAATCTGGCCCCATAGGATATGATAGCGACCTACAAAACGATATACAAAACCAAATGTAACAAGTGTAACAAGCTCACACAGGGTCCGAAGGCTGATCTTCCTGTCATCCGTCGTCTTAAACGGATAGCGAAGTTAGTGCAGAAAGAAAGTAAAGAAGATGGCGGAAGCAGTCAAGACAATGATAAAATGGATACGTCCGGGGACAATAAGGTGGTAAAGGGCGCGAAGGATGCAAACCCCAAGATTAAGAAGGAACCGGAAGAAGAGGAGCAGCCCAAGGAAGAGAATGATGGCACGGATGATGTCGCTGAGGTAGAACTCGTTGAAGAGTTCTGGGTAACTTATCATGAGGGATGTGCTGCCTAGTGGGACGATGTTTAAGAGTCTAATATGCACAACATTTACTGTCGATTGTGTTTCTGAATCGAACATTAGGCGGGTTTGTATTTATAGGATACCCTTGGATAAATTAATGAAAACAAAATGTAATGAATTCACGTCTAGAGGTGAAATTGCGCACGTGAAACGGATATGATTACGTTCAATTCGTGATGTATTGATTCATCTTTGAACATCTGAAGCATGACCTACATTACACCCCGTGTACCGTAAAAAGAAGAACAGAAAAGATGAAAATAGAACGTCTGGTGGCTATTACCAACGCATGATGGACGTCATGAAAGGAAAACGGAGGAAAAGAGGAGTATTTTCCCTTTCAGTGAGATAGTTACAGAGTGATAGAGAGGACGGAATGTGGTGTATATAAAAGGTGTAAGGAAAGCGATGCGAAAAAAGGACAAAGATACACAGAAAGAGCTTAACGGTAAGATTTCCTAGAGTTGAATTGTTAGCAATTTGTATACTATAAACTGCTTTAAGGCATGGGATTGGGGGAATGATAACATACTGGAATCTGGCTCTGGCACCCGGACCACCGAACTTCTTGGGCTCGCACCGTCTGTTGTCGGCAACCAACAGGGATCGGTCGAACTGCAGCAGAGCAGCCTTCAACTGGTTCTTGGAGTGCTCATCGACATACTTCTGGTAGTAGGCGACAATAGCTTTGGCGATAGCCTGACGGATGGCATAGATCTGGGAAGTGTGACCACCACCGGTGACGCGGACACGGATGTCGACGTTCTGGAACTTGTCGAGGCCGAGGATGAGGAGAGGTTCATAGACCTTGAATCTGAGGATCTCTGGTTGAACAAGGGACAGCGGCGAGCCGTTGACCTTTACTAGTCCTTTACCAGCCTATTATTCGATATTTCCCAATCAGTACTTTCCATCTTTGAAATTGTCGATGTTTAATTCGAGATTTTTGAAGATGCGGACCTTGCAGTGGGCAACAGCGGTGGCTAAAATTCAGGCAGCAGGACGTTAGCAATCTCTTCTTCTGTTTCGTAATTCCACCAGCATCTCGATAGCAGCCATGATTGTCCTTTCCCACACAGCTCCCTCCCAAGCTAGATCGAGATTCCCTCCAAACCAAACAAGAATTGGATGCACACCTGTCTTCTTCTTGCCGAAGCATTGAACGCTTTGTGTCGTCGACATGATGGGCGGGATGTTGTGTAGGGTTGTCGGAAAACGGGGAAGACGTCGACGTAGGATGGGTAATGTCGTTAGTTGGGAGTAGTCGTGATATCGAGATTGAATTCGAGATGCTTGGGTGTTGCGCTTTCCTCAAAATTTTTGCTGGTGGGAAGGAGTCACGTGAGAAAAGGGCTGGGCGTGATCAGGGCTGAAAACCCTCACTAAGAAAAGGTCCACCGCGCCTATCGCGGGAGTGTCAAACACTTTTTTGTGTTGTCTATCCCAACGCAAAACTAGTAGCAAACACAACCTCGTTTAAATCGCTTGCACACATCCATAGAAGGGTCACTAAGAGACAACAAATGCACGCTGACCTCGATCCTTCCGGCCTAGTTCACTGAATCTATTTTTTTAAAAAAAAAAAAAAATTTAAAAAATAGTATATAGAATCATTCGGAGCATCCAAGAAAACCTCGAGATGATCTTATTGATTACAATACAATCACGAATATGTTGACGTTCATTTTGGACTCATATTTGTTGCTGTCTACATCACCAACAAACCAACAAACCTGCAACCTACTGTAGTCGAGAACAGGGACCTGGCTCCTCAAACTCGATCACCTTCCTTCAAAACACAAATCTATGAGATTTCACTGATTACTCGGTTCAATGGGAAAGACACAAGTTAATTCATGTTTTCTTTTCTATTTCTTCTTATTTCTTTTTTTCGGCTGCTGGGCTGGGCATTAGTGGTGGGCCCGGAGACATACTAAACAATCGCTCTGGCCGGCTAGCATCGTCATCAAGGGTACCATGAACGGCTGTGCTTATATTTGTCGTCAATTATTAAGAGATCCGACTTCCGACCGGACCATTTCCATTACAACAGCGAACATCACTAAATGATTAGTATATATACGATGTCGGTATCTTCCTGTCTCATATGATCATGGGTTTATACGTTGACTCCTTCTTACCTTCGCCCCTCTGGACATTCTCGCAGATTGGTATTGTCTCTTTGCATCCAATTGCAATATATCGACCGTGATTGACTTGGCCGGCACAGCCAAGATGTATCGATTCAGCAAATATCCGACTAAGAATCCCTTAAATCACGAGATCTCAAGCATATCGGACCCTTTTGGACACATCTATTACGTACTTTGATACCGAGTCTCCATAGGCGAACATGGGTGTGGCTTTGGTACCTATTGCGGGGTAAAACCTGTGCGCATTAACTTTTACGTATCAAAACTTCTCGATAACCTCTAGCTTCCTACAAACATATGCATTTAGACTTTTCTGGAAGTCTTCGTTCGTTCCGTTGAATCGAAGGCAAAGTGAAGCCTCCCGTTCCGGCCAAACCCAGCCAGATGAGAGTTCGCGTTTTGAAACCCTTCCGAACAACCGCCAGTTCGGCGCTGGTTCTTATCGACGTTGAAAAAGATGTTTAATTTGTACAGCATCATCATCAGACTACTAATTGCCACGCGGCGAGCCTCGGATGCCCTTATCAAGACCGTGCTATTGACGGTATCATCAAAAGTGGAGCCAAGATCAATCAATCTGTTCTGTCATATCATCATGCTGTGGGGAGAGCCTATCTAGGAGTGTGGGTCCCTTCGAATCGGCGAGTCGTGTGCCTCAACCTGGTTCTGTGGCGTCCAGAGAAACCTAAAACTGCATATCTGGACCGAGAAGGTATTGCCGTTCGTCCTGTGTGACCAAGGGATTCCTTGCCTGCTGCGGTGGGGCACTTGGTGTCTCGCATGTCATCAGTAGCGAAGGGGCAGACCAAGGCAGCAGCGAATGGACGTTGAAGGTATTGATATTACTTTTCCTTGCTGTGTCCTTGCTGTGCCACTACCAAGGCCGTCGCTGATTGGAATATCAGATGCTGCATGTTTCTGTATGCACGGGTACATTTCGCAAAAAGCGCAGTACTAAGGAGTGATTCCCATTCACATATGTTTGAACTGTCCAAACTGGAAATGCATCTATACCCTTCATCGAGCCTCCCGCATCTTGCCAACATCTCGTCCTTGAAGCCAAAGCCTATTCAAAGGCTATACGAGGAGAAAAAGTTTCCTCAATTGACTTCGAAACCCAACCCCTTGATCTCCGTTATCTCGAACTTTTCCGAGGTTCCATCGGGCATCTCGACTCGATCCGTGCAAACGCAAAACGATATTAACGTCAAGGTTAATGCGGCTTCGGGCATCTTGCTACCTGCTTTTAGACTCGTGGTGTCTTGGGTGGGAGGCCAGGCCACACACCTTTTTAGCTCCCAGTCAAGAAAGTCTTATCTCTGAGTTAGGTTACCCCATCCAGATCAGCAGGCACCTGTGCATCTGTGTGTACTGGAATGCCCGCCTTTTAAATACCGGGAAACACGACCAGGCACAAGGGCAAAAAATAAAAACGATTCGGAGATGCCCAATTCATAAATTTTAAAACTTGCGAAATCCCCCGTTTTTTCTCACCTACTTTCTTACCTCTATCCTTCTGTTTTTCCTCTTTTCCTCGTCCGCGACGTTATCAACGGATAGTGACGACATCTCGATCGAAGACCTAGAAAGCGATACCTTTGTGTTACATTTTCGCGGCCAGGGGTTAATCACGACTATTCCATAACAGTAACAAAAAGCACAACAACAGACAACACCGCCGTGCAGTCGGTTCCAGGTTACTTGCAATTGCGCGCGATAGGCGAATGTGGATGGGAAGTTTTTCACAGTTATCAACAATACCTGTGACTAAAAAATACAAAATTTCGATTGATTAATGTCTGCCGAGATGGACATAGAACATGCCAGGCATAGGCCTTCGGCCGCGGTATCGTCAGTCGTAAAGGGTGACTTACCGACAGCCGATCATCCAATGTCGGCCGACGAAGAGGCATTGTATGCGCTTGGTTATAAGCAAGAATTCAAGTATGTAGACATTTGAAGAACTATTTTTAAGATTGATTTCTGACCCAAATTATCTATACAGGCGTGAATTCAGCTTATGGACAACATTCTGCGTTTCCTTCGCGGTTTTGGGTAAGCGAATATAACATCTACTACTGTATAAAATCACCGTAGAACAACGAACTAATAACTTATATAGGTCTTTTGCCGTCCTTTGCAAGTACACTATACTATGGTATGGGATATGCAGGAACCGCGGGTATGGTGTGGGGATGGATCATCGCTATGCTTTTTATACAGTGCGTCGCAATGTCTATGGCAGAGCTTTGTAGTTCTATGCCCACATCTGGTGGTCTTTACTACGCTGCCGCTGTCCTAGCACCCGAAGGATACGGTCCATTCGCCGCATGGATCACTGGCTGGAGTAACTGGATTGTGCAAGTCACTGCCGCCCCATCGGTCGACTACGCCATGGCAGCTATGATTCTCGCACTCGGATCGATGTCCGATCCGGAATACATTCCTACACAGTATCAAACTTTCCTCCTTTCAGTGCTAATCATGATTCTCCACGGCATTATTTCATCCATGCCTACCCTCTGGATTGCGCGTTTCAACTCTGTTGGCACTGTCATCAACATTATCGCCTTGGTGGCCGTCATCATTATCATCCCAGCCGGTACAACTCGCAGGAATCCAAGATTCAACCCAAGCAGCAGTGTCTGGGGTGACATCTCGAACATGACAGACTATCCTAGTGGCGTCGCCGTGCTTATGTCCTTCATTAGTGTCATCTGGACCATGTCTGGTTATGACTCCCCATTCCATTTAGCTGAAGAATGCTCAAACGCCAATATCGCCTCTCCACGTGCCATCGTCCTTACCTCTGGTATCGGTGGCGTGATGGGTTGGTTCCTTCAACTTGTAGTTGCCTACACTGTTATCGATATCGAAGCCATTCTTGACTCCGACCTTGGTCAACCTTTCGCTGCTTACTGTCTCCAGGTTCTTCCTTATAAGACATCCGTTGCTGTCACCGCTTTGACTATCATCTGTGCTTTCTCCATGGGTCAAGGCTGTATGGTTGCTGCATCTCGTGTCACCTACGCATACGCTCGTGATGACTGTTTCCCATTATCCAAGTACTGGAAGAAAGTTCACCCCCTCACCAAGACACCCGTTAACGCCGTCTGGTTTAACTGTGTGATCGGTATTTTGTTGCTTCTCCTCATTTTCGCCGGCGACATTGCCATCGGTGCTATCTTCTCTGTCGGTGCTATCGCTGCTTTTGTCGCCTTTACCATTCCAATTTTCATTCGTGTCTTCTTTGTTGGCGATAGGTTCAGACGAGGACCATGGCATCTTGGAAAGTGGAGCAGACCAATTGGATGGGCTGCTTGTGGATTTGTTGCACTTATGGTGCCAATTCTTTGCTTGCCGCAGCGCACTGGAGAAAACTTGAATGCTGAGGATATGGTAAGTCTACTCTACTATTTTTGGTCATTTTTGTTGATTAGTTAAACTAATATTTTTGATTTATAGAACTGGACTTGTCTTGTATATGGCGGTCCTATGCTCATTGTCACCATTTGGTGGTTCGTCGATGCCAAGAACTGGTTCAACGGTCCCAAGATCAACATTGAGCACAAGATGCTTGGTTCTAAAGGGAATGTCGTTGAAGGCGTTAATATTGGCCCCGACCACCATACTTCCGAAGACGACATTCTTGGGAAAGATAAATAAATCTTTATGATTTGGGCTCGTTCTTGTCTCTTGCAGTTTATCCTTTTGTTATTTGCTTTTGTTATTTTTGGGCATCTTTACCCACGCCCCGGACTTCTTTGGGTTTTATATGGATTCAGCAAGCGTTGGGATAGGGAAAGGTGCATTTAGGATATCTATGGGCTTTGTCTATATACGATCCTTATGTGGGATTATTTTATGTTAACGTTTAATCTTAGTATATATGATGATATATAATCTATCGACGAAATAGTCGAATTCAATATTAACGTCCAACCGTTTTGGAACTTCTTCCTGTCTGCAATAAACATACCAGAAGTACCTGGTAGAAAACACTCTTCGAGAAACGTTCATAAAAACTCGAACTTGTACTCTCAGAAAATTCATATAACGTTAACGCGTTAGTGAACGAAACGGAAATCTAACCTCTTCGTTCCTTCATCCTTGGTGTTATAGATGTAATCAATCCTCTCATCATTTGTAAGTTCTGCCCACTTGGCTTCCCGTCGTTCGTTCCTCTTGACATACCAAAACTTGACTAGCACGAATAGAACAATGTTCCATGATGCGATAGCAAGCAGGATTTTGTTACCGGTATAATCTAGAAAAGGGTAAATTAGCAAACCTCAGACAAGAATTATCAGAAGGTTGAATTCATATATACTCACAATGCGGCCTATCACCTTCACGATATATATTCGATGCAATGATATTCCCACTTTGCACGAACATATTATATAATGCGGCACTAACAGCCCTGGCGCGCACCGAATTCGAGTTTCTTGAATTCCACGCCACTAGGATGGCATGACAGTACGGATAACTCAACAATCCGGTCAACAATCCGTATCTAACCCAACCGTTTGCATCGGACGGTAATAATACCAATGCGAGCAGGAAGGGCCACATCCAAATATTCGATGCCATGGATACTAAAGAACGTTCGTTGAGCCATTCGCTAATTCGACTGATAATTAGGAGGTTCACGCCGAACATGAATTGCGAGGGGATGGTGAGGAGGTTGGCGTGTAGAGTGCTAAACCCCATTTGGCGGAGGATGAAGGCGAGGTAGTTTTGTGGTGGGGCTGGGGGGATGTAGGCTGTTAGACCAATGAGGTAGAGTGGCCAGAGATCGAAGTCTTTGAGACATTTCCAGAGGAGTGGTGGAGTGACACCTTGTCTGTGGGAAGAGAATCATGCATGTTAGTACCAACTAGTGTCCATTTCTACCAAGTTTTTGTAATAGGTAACATACCGATTATGCATATCGCCCTTTGAGGGATCATCTCTTAACAGACGGTTGACCAGGATTTTTTCTTCCCGCTCGTTGAACCACGGCTTCTTGCGGAATCTACCCTTGGTCTGGCTGGGACTTGCAGGCATGAGGAACCAACTTGCGATGCCGACAAGAGCGGTGATACCACCTTCGATCAGGAAAAGATATTTCCAACCGGACCAGCCGGCGAGACCTCGCATTTGGAGGATACCGGCGGCGAGGAGGGAACCGATCACATTGCAGGCGCTGAGGACGGTCCAGAACCAGGAGAGTCTGATTGGAAGTTCCTTTGCTTTGTACCAATAAGTGATGTAAAGGACGGTATCAGGCTGGCGAAAACCGTATGTTAGTATTTACCTAGGTACCCGCCAAGGGAACTTAAAGATATAGGATGCTCTCTTACAATAAATCCACCCATTAAGAAGCCTAGCAAGGCTCGAACAGCAAAGTACCCCGCCCGACTAGTCAATCCAATCTGCGACAATGAAACCACAGACCAAGCAAAGATGATAAATGGAATCCAAACATCTGGTCCCAATTTCTTTGAAATGAGGCCACTGGGTAATTCCGCAGACAAGAAACAGACCAAAAAGATAGTCTGGCCGGTATTGAAGTCATTAGTATTCATGCCCAATTCCGTTAGCATGTTATCCGTAATCGCTCGGTTGATATTTCGACGATTGATATCTAATGCGAAAAACATGATCCATGCCCACGTCATAACCCGCCAGTCGATTATGCGCTTCAGTCGCTTTTCTTCAGCGGCTGACCATGTGATTTCGGGATCAAACCGGTGACGGCCTTCATATGAAGCATTTTCGTAGACGCCACGCCAATATTCTGCGACCTTTGGGTCGGAGAAAATGTGGTTACCATAGGATCCGTAATCGCCATCAATGTCTTGTTCTGTGGCGGCGTCATAATCGCTTTGGTTGGAGCTACTGTCTGCATTAGCGCCAATTTTAGTGTCTTTGGAGTCGATTGGAGGCTCCTCGACAGCCGATTGGGAGGATTTTATATCCGCCATTCTTTTTTTAAAAAAATATGGGATTTTAAAATAAAAAATGGGGAAACGAGAATAGTAGGTTTGCGTGATCTGTGAGCCGCAATGGCGAACGACAGATGCCTTTCCGCGGAAATACTAGAGTTCTAGAGCGGACCCGCGGAGATGTTATAGTAAACCGCGGAAATGCCAGAGAAAAGACGGGGAAACTGCTATAAAATGCAGGGACGGATCCAGAAAATGGGATCAACTGGCCTGGACCTCCTAGAGGAAGAAGAGTACCAGACGGCCGGACCGACTGCATTTTATATCCCACGAAAAAAATCCTACCTATTGCTTTCGAGTTAATGTAAATTGAAGTTTCAAGCTTCCCCTCTTGAAAAAGTTCGAGCGACTCCACCTCCAAGAGAAAGCTGAGAATGAAAAAAGAATCACGCAATTAGCTATCTTTATATCATCACCGGTTTGCGGTTGCCACTTCGTTCATTCACTTTTTAGAGTTAATGTTGGAGCGATAAAGGCCTGGGCAGAAAGATAAGAAGCGCACATCAAACAATACGCATGTATGTACATACGGTGGACGCCGAGAGAGAAGGCACCAAAGCCACGGATCACGACATGGCCAATTCCCCTCCTCTGTCAATTGCGGATAATAAAGTCCATGGGGGTTATCTGCAATGCATGTTTCGCAGACTGGAATTTAGCTAAACGAAGCCTCGGTAGGTTATTTCGGCGAGGTGCTGACATATCATTCGCTTGGGTAACTTTGTCTACACAGTGATAGTACTTCTGATAAATGTGGAGACCAAATAGCCAAATGTTGAGGGTTCTAGAGTGGTACAGGTCGAAATGAGTATTCTGTGATATTGCCAAGTCTTGCGTGCTTCTATGGGAAATACAACATCATGGTGCGTTGCCAGTTTGGCAGTCAGATGTAACGGCTTTATACGAGTGACATTTGGAATCTTAACACTGGAAATATATTCAGAATCAAGAAGGAAGGCAGATTTTTACCCGTGGCAGATAGAAAAAAGCTTGATAGTGGGGCCGTAAGGGGCATATCAGGGAATTCCGATTGGCTGCGTGACGACAAGAACGTGGTTGTGCTTGGGGGTGGGGAAAACTTGGGGGTTGGCAAGACTAGTTGGGCTGCGAACGGTGCATTAAATTCCCATAGACTGAGCATGTGGTGTGCATTACAACATAGAATCTATAACTTGTGATCCCTGACTGCTGCTCCTCGCGTTCCAGATACAACCTCGTCAACGACATGCATTGCATGCAGCAGTTCCTCTTCTTGGAATTTTCTGCCAACGATCTGGAGTGACAGTGGGCTCCCAAGATAACCTTCCCTTTTCTCCCCTGCTAAGAGTATTAGTATTTCTTGTCATCTGTATAATAAAGTATTGATTTATAATGTATAATATCAAGCAGAGTTGATCCGAACTTACAGAGTTTTGTCCGATTGATCTTGTCCCAGCTGGTGCCGGTTTCCGCTCCCAACGGAGCTTCCAGATCTTCTCTCGTAACGTTCCTGGCTGGGATAGCCCCACTAGGCCAGTCGAGCATGTTGAACATGGAGGTGTAACCCGCACCATTCCAAGCGTCCGGTTGTGGGGTCGGGTGGGGGGCAACTGGACAGATTATGGCATCAAAACCCTGGCCGTCGCTGGACTTCCATAACTTCAATGACTGAGTAATGAGTTCTTCGTTTTTAGAATTCAGTTCAAATAGCTGTTTTAATGTAGCTGGGTCCCTGCGCTTCAGCCGTGGCGCTACCCACGGGACCTTTGGCTCTCCGGTTTTGTCGACGAGGTCGGAAGCCCAGGCACCTCCTTCGATACTCATCAATTTGTTCGAGAGTCCATGAAGTTGTTTGACAAACTTTGGAGGATCGTCAAGAACAACGACTTTATGGCCTCTTGACTGTAGCTGAGCGGCTGTCTCCTTCAAAACTCGTTGAACTGGCGGCAACGGAGTCGTGACAAGATCAGTCATCAGAACCAAGAACTTCATAGGCCTTGGCTTAAACTCTAGCGTTCTCCATGGCGAGAATAACACATGTGGTTCGCTTTCCCAAAGTTTTCCGTCCGATACGACTTTAAGTAGTAGTTCGCATGATCTGAGCGAAGTCGCAATTGGGCCGGTAGAGAACGACAGACCAACTCCGAAGCTTCCTGGCATGATAAATTCGCTGCCAACTTGTGAGACATATCTATGAGCCGACGGCTTAACTCCGTAAAGTCCATTACACATGGCTGGGACCCTGATGCTGCCGCCGACATCGCTGCCAATGCCTATCAGACTGCCACGGATTCCTATTAAAGCGCCCTCTCCACCACTCGATCCGCCCGCCGTGAGTTTCCTATTCAAAGGGTTCAACGCTCTCCCCCAAATTAAATTGACGGAGTCGAGGGACATCATCGTCTGTGGAATGTTGGTTTTGCAGTAAAACACCGCACCAGCATCTTCCAACACTGAGACGATCGAGGATTTTTCTTTTGCTGGGCGGAAACATAAGGCCACGACTCCGCTACTAGAGTCATAACCTGTGTAGTTAAAGTTATCCTTTAAGGATATCGGGACACCATGGAAAGGGCCGAGAGGAAGGCCATGTTCCTCAAGATGCTTGTCTAATTGCTTAGCTCGTTCGAGAGCTTTATCAAAAAAGATTTCTGTAAGACAGTTCAACTAAATAACAATTAGCGTCAAAACTACCTTATACAGTCGTATATAAAACCTGGCTCATTGAACTTACCAACTGTTGGGCGATAGCCGCGCGTTTGCAAAAGGCAAGTGTAACCTCATGGCAGGAATACATGCGTCGACGGATTCGATCCGCCAATTCAACGGCATCAAAAGTCTCAGTGATCTCGATTTCTCTGGTAGACAAAATACCAGATTCTCTAGGTATATGTCTGACATCGGTGACACTTTCATCGGGGAGGGATTTGAGTCGCCATTCTTGAGGAATGCGGGATTGTTGTTCGGCTTGCTTTCGCTTGACAATGTCAATGTATGCGGGAGATGCCATAGCTGTTGACTTTAATGGATCAATCAAATCGAATGTTAAGTTTTCGCAGATGAAATGCAATGCAACAACCTGTCTTGAAATCTTAAATGTCGACAATTGGCTTGTTACTCCTCACCCCATATATGTCGAAATCCCCGGCCTTGATATAAGTCCCGGATTTGTTCGCGGGAGCAGTTAGATTGACTTGGATTCAAAGTGAACAATCGAATGAGGATTTGTAAGTTTTAACGGCAATGCCGGATTATAACGATATCCTTTTGAGTTATCGAGGCGTCGAGACCTCGGTTAACAGCGTTCATATGCGTAGCATCGCGTGTCTGTGGGGTGTCGGTTCAAATCCAAAGCTAGCTGCTACACCTTATTCGGCGCAAAGCGGGATTCTAGGACGCCAACGACCACCCAATACGATATGAGGACTAGGTTCCCCGGATTACACGAATTTTATTGCGGGTTAGGCGTTTCTTAATAGTGTAAAGATCTAAATTTGATTGCCGGTAGTAAAAAACTGCACTGGTCTCGCGTCGCAAGCAACAGAGCTGCTTGTGCGGTTTTGTGGTAGAATGGGACAACAACACAACTGGATTTGACGTCTGTAACCGGCGCTATGGCACATATGCATATATATATGGCTCGCCAAACCCAATGTCAAGATCGATCACGCACTAAAATATCAAATGTAAAATAGTACTCTGGCTGTAGAATGCCAGTTTTTGTTTTTATACCGTACCAGGTTTTGATAGGTATATCTTAGTCCGGTATATCCATAAGTTGACTACTTCTAAGCTAAGCACGAGAGCTTATTCCGGAGCTCAAGCCTTCATCTCAATGGAGAGTCCGTATATGGATGTATGTACTCTGTATACCCAGCTAGGTACGTACCTAGGGATGTACTTTGCCTCATTTCAGGACTCTTTTAGACCGGTCAATGCCCTCACCTACCTTAAAGATCCCGGAAGCTCTTCCTAAACATGAAAAAGGTTCGTGAAATTTAAACCATTTAGAAATTAACATACGGTGTATTGCATTTTAGAAAGACTCGCGTCCGCCACTGCAGGATGACCGCCACTCTCTTGGCCACTACGTTTTGTGCACGAAGCCCCCAAGCCAAGGTTACGACAAGATTATGCAGAGCCACATATGCACTGTATAGCTGGGGAGGCGAAAGCTTAAACATTCACCGGTGCTTGTTTTGTGGGTCTACCTTGGACGGCGCAAGATTGATACCAGTGTCATGTACACGCGGTATGATTGGTGTAGGGGCCAAGCAGCCGCGATACACCTACGGCATTTATATATATATACGAGCTTGCCGCCAACTACGAGCTCGTTAGGATATACATATATTATACAGTCAATCTTTTGTAACGACAATTAAAGTGTGTGCTTCGAAATGTATGACAAGTATTAAATTTCGGCTGCTGCCTATGAACATGGCACTGATAATAACATCTAAATAAATACTTCAAGAATTCCGATGAAATTTGAGCCCGTTCACCTTCGGCCAACTGAGTCCCTTTTTTCCTATATGAATATTAAAAATCGAGAGGCTCACTAAACATATCGTTTGATCGATGTTATAAAATGGTAACATGTTTTAAACGACCCAAACGTTGGTGGACTTACTTTGTTAGGAATTTTCGACTACTATAAGGCCGTCGAAGTAGGTTTGTTCACCATATGGCTTGGCCTTTTCTGAGATTGTTGGCGGGGGTGTCCATGGGAGTTTTTCGACTTTCTCAACAGACGTAACTGTCGTATAGTCAGCAACAGTGTAGGTTGACATGGATATTTTGTTGTGAGTTGGGAACACTGTTCGCGCCTTTGAAGGGTCGACAGGCGTGGCGGGTAGCTCCGTAACTGATTGTTGCGAATATATTGACGATAGCTGTGAGTATACTGACGATGGTGATGAGAATACTGACGATGGCTGTGAATATATTGACGATATTTGTGAATGTATTGACGACGTTTCTGAATACATTGACGGTACCGGTGACCGCGCATTTACTGAGGCTGGGGTAGAGGTTGAAGAGCCTGGAGTATATGGAGGTGGCACAACATAATCGTCCATCATAAGCTCCTGAGCATATACTTTATACTTTTTCCGAAGTTTGCGAGCATCGGTCCCTGTTGTATTTGCTTCGATAACATCAAGTTTTTCGACGACTTGCGCCGTTGTCGCCCGTCGTTCCTGACGTTCATCAAGGGCAATCCCTATCATCAGTTCCTGGCGGATGGCTGATAGATTTCGATCAATCTTGTCGATTTGATACCTAAGGCCATCGAGCTCGCCGTTGACGAGCTTTAGTTTTTGCTTCATCTTTTTCATGGACTTCGTGTTCATTTTTAGGATTATTGCCTCCATCGAGCTGACGAATTTATTAATTCTGACTTCAGTGTCCCGGAGGTGGTATTCGCATCTTGATTTTTGAGCGCTTGATAGCCCTGCCCGAGAAAGATAGTCCTGAATGGTGCTTAATTGAACTTCGGTGCTTTTAACATTGTCGGATAAGTCGCCCAAACAACTTTCAGCGTAGTTCATCTCCTGTGCAAGACAGTAGAGTTTTGCGCCAATAGTTGCGAGCACGCCGGCAAGGCTTACACATACTGATCCTAACTCCATTTTGACATATGTAGTTGTCTGGCTTCTTCGGTCTCCTAAAACTAGCCCACAGGAAGTCCTCGATATTTGTTGTATTTTGACTGCAGCTGGTAACTGGTTTTATTTCAGTCTCGGCACCAGGCAACTTCTGATTTTATTTCTCGTTTGAGAGGCGGAAAGGATGTGGAATAGAGGGGTAAGGCGGCCAAGTTTGAAAGACGGGAATTTTGACTCCACTTTCGTCTTCGCTGGTTTTGAAAACCTTGCGTCTTGCCGTTCCACAAGCACATATGTACATGTATACATGTAGGTAAGTCTTATATTATGGAGTCGACACCGAATCAATTTTGATAATGGCATATTTTGCCGATCAAGGCGGGTGAGATGCATGTGGTACATCTTTTTCCAATACGAGGTCAATCTTTTTCGTGGTTAACCGGTTGGATGTTGTTCAGAGCATGCAGTATAAATCGTATTCGCGAGCATTTTGCTTGGCTGTTGTCAAGAACATCTCGTGCTCGTTTAGAGGAGCTTGTGCGGCTGATTGATTTTGAACAGGTGGCAACCCCTCCCTGAGCAAATATTATCGAGAGCTAACGATGTAGTACCGAGAGTTAAAAATCCATAGCCACAAATTGACCTTAGTAGCATAATAGTTTTTTTTCTCTTTAGAGGGATTCTATATAGCTATCATATCACATCGGAATCTTAGTCTCGACGTTGAAAATCTACATGATGAAATACCAGTATAATTAAAATTATCAGAAACAATTGAAGCCTTCCGGGGTTCCAAGGGAGTCCGGAAGCATCTCGTTAAATATACAAAATGATACTAGCTAGAATATATATTATTATGAAATTTCGTAAGATTGATCGATTTTTTCTAGAGTTTTTCAGTCATCCTCCTAGTTAACATTCCCCGATACCCTATTGCCTCAGATTTCTCGGCGCCATAAAAATCTTCATCCTCCTAACCCTATACCTATGTTCACCATCGGTGCGTCTATAAACACTTGGCGAGATCGTCGCACTTACTACACTGTCGTGCCTAGCCTCGCCAAATATTTGATAATCCTCTGGGTTGGCCTTAAATTCTCTAATCGCTGAAGTTTCGTAAGGGATTACCCCTTCGACTTGAGCATAATTACCACTCTGGAATAGAAACCCGAGTTTAAAATGATCGCGCTGCAAGCCTAGGCGGAGAATGACGAGTGCTGCGCTTCTTGCAATCGCCATGAGGCTTGCTTGACGGTTTTCACTCTTTATATTGTTGGGTGGAACATAAATCTGAGTTTCGCGCTCGAGATGACTGTACAAGAAGTCGACGGCGGCAGCAAAGGTGTCTTTGGCTTCAAGTTGGCGACAAACCGCGGCGCGGCGAGTCGGGCGATCGCCTCTAGCTGCTGTAAGAGTCGAACTACTAGTGAGAATTAAGATGCTATAATTCGGATCTCAGATGGCCTTACCTTGACGAATCCAGAGACGCTGCTCTTTGGAGAATATCAGCTGGTCCGCTATAGATCCGAAAATGTGGTACGCGAACAATGCCCGAAGCATAAATAATCTAGAATCTTGTCTATCAAGCAATGTCTTTCCTCGAAATAGGATACCTTCGCCATGAGCTTTTGGTCCTTGTACTGCTGGGTAATTCGCAGAACCCGGGAGTTGTAAATTTTCTTGGATATTAAAGTTTACTAGATGATCGGAGATTCGATCATCTAGCTGGTCAAAAAGCTTCGTGAGGCCGACGTCATCCAGTGGGGGATCGAATTGGACAACCGGCAGCGGCGCAGCTGGACTCGGGTTAGTGTTTGCTAAAGAGATATCGTTAGAATAAAGCTATCCCTTATCTCGAGAATTGAAGAGGTTGAAGACCTACCCGCATTTGGATCTCGATTCTGTCTCCTTGACTCTATATTCCCCATAGGAAGACTAGGAGGTGAATTTGATCCTTCCTCCTTCTGTGATATATATCTTCTTTTCCGGCGTTGTATCAAAATTATACCCAGAATTGCCAAAGCTACTATTGCAATGACGCCAATAACAACACCGGCTACCGCTCCGCCCGAGAAGCTGTTGCCGGAACTCGGGGGCTTCGGAGTTACAACTGGAGAGGTGATAATAGCGCCGTCCGAAGTTGAGGTACCGTTAGCAGTGGTGGTAGAAGTTAAGATTTCAGTGCTGTTGGTATTTGGGGGTCCCGAGATAGATATTGATGATGTTACTCTCGAGCTTCGAGCCGAAGTTGACGTTATAAACGATGAACTATTTGGTGGCAGCGTTCCTGGTGGATTAGTAGTTATGGTTTCCGTCCCCCCATTGCCTAGACTACTCGTAAATCCAGGACTAGCAGATGTTGTAGTCACCGTCAAGATATCTGTCTCAGTCGTTGTACTAAGAGAAGCCATTTTATTTTTTGCTATCGGCCAGCATGAACTCAGGGACAAGAATACCGGCTGGCTCTAAAGTTGATCCAAAAAGTCTGGCTTGCATACGTGCTAAGGGATAGAAACGTAAAACCGCTGCATATTGTATCGCCCTGAGAAAGAATAAATACTTACATATGTACTTACTTACCTACCGGCTGACTGACTTCTGGCTTGGCGAATGGGGCTCGAATATTCCCTGCATTCTGGGGGGGCTTGAAAGTCAGTGAGCCAAAGTTGCGAGGCTCATAATTCTGAACGTGCCGTGGGGTTTGAGCCGACGGGCTGGAATATCTCTTCTATCAGTACGTTCCGAGGTAGGATAGCGGGGCGAACTTTGATTTATCGAGTCAAAAACGGCAAGGAAGCTATGAGGCCAAGCCGATCTTGCGCACGAGGCTACAATTTATTACCAATTCAATCTGCATGATTATCGTATCACGGCTTCATTAAACATCTTTTTCGCGATCTTAATTGGGATTTCATTGGCGGAATCGAAGCTTTCTCTACAGCTAGCTCGCATGCATGGGTGTACTACAGTACGTCGTATGCATGGATGCGGCACAACCCGAGGATTTGTTGCATATTGATATCGTCAGCCAATAAGCGTCGAGCTCCAATGTCACACACTTGTGTATTGCATATATTGCGGCCTGCCTGAGCCCCTCCACTGAATTCATGAACTCTTGCAGGTGGCCAACATGAGTTAATTCGAAATCACCTCTGAAATATTTGTCTGTTGTTTGATCGGCCCCCTCTCAGCTCAGAAAGAGCCTCACCTAGAATAATCTTATTCGGATATATCCTTGTCAGTCCAGGTTTCCGGTGGACTGGATTCTTGTTCTTAAACATACTTCCTGGGTGTACACACTCTCGGCATTTTCTTCAGAGTTAACTTTCTCTCCATGCAATCTTTGAAGTACTAGTAAGCTTGATAAAAAAAATAAACTTATAAAGTGGATGCTTTTGGAAAATCAATACTGACTGTTCTCTTTATTATGTAACTTAGCTGTCCGCCACAAGATCAATACAATGCAATCTGACAAAAAACAAGTATTGGCCATTGCGATCGACTTTGGCACAACTTTTTCCGGTATTACCGTTCACTTCTCCCCCCTTCTCACTCGTGTATAGGTATCTACAAAATCGAACTTCTCGGATGCTAATCTTATGACGCTCGAGCGCACTCCTACAATTAGGTCTGACATATATGCGAGTCGGACCAAATGAACTTCTCTGTCATCTTAATAGGTGGCCAGGCAGTCCAGGGATAAATAACAAAGTACCCACGATAGTCAGTTATGAGCAGCGCGGAGGGTCTTGGGTTCCCAACGCCTTTGGTTATGCAGCGGAAAATGCACCTGCGAACCAGCGTTGCGCCATGTTCAAAATGTGCCTCGACGTGGAGCCTGAAGAAACAGCATGTAACCCTGCTTTCAGACCTAGCTGGGTTGATATGGGAAAGACTGTGACAGAAGTAATTAAGGATTTCCTAGATCTCTTGTATAACCAAATGCTCAGTGTCCTACAATCCCAAGGTCTTGGGCCTGAGAATCTGGATTATAATGTGTTGTTCACGGTTCCTGCTCAGTACGAGCTTTTGGAGGTTGAGAGATTCAGGACAATTATCAACTCTACAGGCTTTGGGAAGCATACCATTGGCGTCGCTCTAAGAGAGCCTGAAGCGGCCATTCTGTATACAACAAACCATGGCGAAAAGTTTTGGATGCCCGAAAACCAATGCGTCATCTTGTGTGATGCTGGTGGAGGGACAGTGGTAAGTACTCATAGTACTCTTCATGGCCCGGGTCAAAAACCCACTGAATAAAATGTATAAAACTTTAAAGATGAAAACTAATATGATTTTTATATGACTAGGATATTGCGTCGTACAAAATCTCGCAACTGCATCCAAAACCTAAACTTGAGCAAGTAGATATTGTGTCCGGTACTACCAAACATATAACCTTTTGACAAGTCAAGTTAACATAGAGCTAATCTACGCTCGTAGGTGAACCGTGGGGATCTATAAGAATAGATCGAAAGTTCAAAAGCTGGTTTTATGAAAAATGTATAAACGAGGAGTGGCAGTCATATTTTCAAACATCGCCGGAAGGGAAAATGCATTTGCAACGAATGTTGCAAAGGTTTATCGCCCAAAAAGAGGTCTTTGATAATAGCCCTTGGAGCGAGCACATTACAATTGAGCTCTCACCTCAAAATCTTTCGGGCCCTCGTATCCCCCCGGGATCTGGACTATTACGGATCTCGAGGTAATCGAATATTTTCTCTTAACTAATCTTTATTTTTGACAACTTTTGCTTACAGGATATTGGCAGGTCGGAAATGTGTGGATTTTTCGAAGAGTCCGTGAGTGGAAGCATAAATTGTTTGGATAAACATGTCAAGCGATGTATCGAAGAAGGGCTTCCGATCAAGGTTCGTGAAAAAAACATTAGGTCATGAAATCGTAAAATGTCTAACTTAGCATCGGCATAAGTCTATATTCTTAGTTGGCGGCCTCGGATCGTCACCATATCTTCTCTCAAGGGTGAAAGAATACACGGCGGGCTTGGCAGGGGATATTCAAGTATTTTCACCTATAAATGCGTAAGTTGGTGTGACTTGACCTCATAAAGTTACTACGACAATATTAGCTGATGAACTTAGTGAATATGCCGTGATAAGGGGAGCGATAGAATCCCACCAAGCCAACCTCCTTGGCTATGAAGATCAAATTGCTACCAAACTTTGCCCGGCAAGTTATGGAATCAAAGCAAATACGATATGGGATCCTGTGAAACACAACGAAGAGCTAGATGAGCAATACATTAACCCATTGACGAAAAAACTTATGGCCAAAAACCAAGTAGTCTGGTTAATTAAGAAGGTATGTTTGCGGTACTAACTTTTCGGTCCACAGTCAGATCAAACTATTTTAATTAACAGATTTAAATTAGGGAGAAAAAATCACGGGGAAAAGATTGGCAGAGCTCAAGGAGGAGTTTTCGAGGAGCTTTAAGAAATCCCCAGATGCGGTTTGGCAGGATTGCATTTTAATGTGCACCCTAGATGACCCACCATATCGTATCACAGAAGGTCAGCCTAGTCCTATTCTCAAGCAAATCATACGCTCTATTAACGATACCTCGATTCGCTGGAATAGATGTAAAACAAGTATGTGTTTTGAAATCGGATATGACGGGCCTCCCAAAAGATGTTTTCAAGAAGGAAAAGTCAGCAGAGCGCGGATTCTTTTTCAGACGTAAACGGTTTTATAGTTGCCAATTCGACATTGTATTCAGTGTGGGGTTGACAGATATGGAGTTTGCTTTATGGTTCAAAGATAAGGTCCGATCCGACTTGCTGAAGATTTCATGGACTGAACTATAGTACTGGCCACACGAAGCAGTTAATTCTCGGTCAAGCTTACGCTTACATATATATATAGAAAGGCTAGCTGGGTTCTCAGATCTGTTTTTTTTTGTACTATTGACATTTGTTGAGCCGCGCTCGTCAGGATATCGATATCACACTTACAAAATAATAATAATAATGGTCTTAAGATCTTGTGGATATATCGATACCGCCACAGTCTGAATATCGTGATTCATCTTGTATACCCCCCAATTTAAAATATATGTACGCAGTTCGAAGCCCGTAGGAATGTTTCTTGGTACCTAATAAAGATGACTAGGGAACTTCCAATACTTCACCTAAATGTGCCTTCCGTGGGCCTGGACGCGGCGGGTCTCGTTGCGCTGGCGGATCTCACCGTTGTCTAAGAGCGCGCTGCGCTAACAGGGACATCAACACTTTTAGACATGTTTATCTTAACTTCAGAGATGCACTTATAGCAGAGAGCTGTCGATGTAATCCTCGCCAAAAATTCGGGCGAACAGCCACTATGCGCAGTCTTGACGACGGGCCACGTCTTTCGCGTCGAGAACTCCGCCCTCGTATACTATTTAAGAAGAGTTGGTCGGACCGGCTGCCTGACCAGAGTCCATGTAGCACCAGAGGGACTTACGGGAGTCTCATCCTTTTTCATACCTACGGCCACGAACTGGATCTCGGGGCTCTCTTACCTTGCGGCAGTTTTCTGGGGAATCACCGTCCTTGTTCTACTTGTCCTATCACAGGATTGGTGGGGAGTTGCTGTAGTCGGCCTTCTTATAGTTTCACGCCTATGTTATATTATCGTCATGTGGGGGCGCACTAGACCTGGATGGTGGGGTAGTGATGAAATTGATAATAACGGGGATTTGCTGATTATCCTTAGCCAACATCGCTGGTTTAGTTTGACAGGGCGCGTAAATGGTCTCAAAAAGGTAACTTCAATGCAGTGGCTGAAGGAGCAGAACGACATACAGGGCCTAATCACCGGCCTTACCACCGTTATAGTATATTTAGCGGCTGCTCTGGTTACCAACATCGAACAGTTTGGCAAAATTCTCCTTTTATGCCAACTAATGGGTTCAGCCGGCCTTCTGGGTATTACAAATAAAACATCTAGTGTGTTACGGATGCATGGAGGGCTAAATGTTAAATTCGAGGGAAGGAAGAGATATGATAGGCGTCGCGACATGGTGGATGAATTGATCACCAGAGCATGTCGAGATGATTGGGCTGTGAAGCTAGATCGGATTCCCCGGGAGGCAGCTATCACAAGCGCGAGTATTGTTTTTGAGACGTTGACATGTACTACTACGCAATGAAGACGCTCTTGTGAACCTATACATGTATTCGATACCCTCGCTCTCGTCCGACGTCCGGCGGTACCACAGTTTTGTTACGAGACTGCGATGATACTCCCTCTTTCCTTAGGACGTCATTAGTCAACCCAATTATTGCAATTCTAAATATTTAGCTACTCTTGTAACATGTTAACAGTATAATCTAGTATATAGAGCTTTATGTCTGGCTAGATACTTACATAGCATAGCTAGACTGATTTGAAATATCAAAAAGAGTAGACAAACTTTAAACGCTATAACATAAGATCTTAAGATTGATGAGTCAAATGCAAAACCCCTAGTGTATATAAACTAAGACGTATACAAATAGAGATACCTCCATTTTAAGGTTTTCTGTTATTACAGGCTGTTATAACTGATCCCTCACAGCGGATCACAACCGACTCGACTTTTCTCACTTCAAAGTTCTGACTCGAGATATATATGCATATATACAGCCTAAGTATGCTACTATGTGTTGCTTTGTTGTATTTAATATTTACTCCCATGAAAATGAAAATGTTCAAAACCGAGTGCTGACAATTAATTGGAGGCTATTACAATCGATCAAGCGCCATCTCTCCATATGTCAGCTGATTAATATATAATCTAAACTAGGTATCTGTATACACATCACATAACTTGTTCTTGACATTCCTTAAGCTTCCAGCTTTGCAAATTTGGGGTTTCCTATCCACTAATTTCGGTCAATTAAATTGATCAATCAATACCAATACGTATACGCAACGGATCTGGAATAACCCCATCAAGCAATTATACTTCAAAAGAATCTTTAAATTACTTCTCTATGTCCGAAACTTCACGGGGTCTCTCCTTTTCTACGGAGTACCTCCTCCCAGGCCAACGTAGGTATTATATAAGATGTATGTGACAAACTAGCTAATCTGTGTCCGTGGAACCAAACTCGAGCTACCCCTGCCATCACCAGCCACCGCTTAATTTTATCAAACTTTCGTAATTGAGCCTCAGAAAAAGGAACAGAAATAGACCTGGCAGAGGGCGGACGGAGATTGCAAGAGGTTCAAGGCTAGTCTAAGTTCAGATCATGACCACGAGCATGGGTAGAATCTCTCTTTTTCCCAACTGAGTATACATACAAATGTCGAATTGATTCGAACTTCTAAACTCCGCGTCGGGGCAATATCATAGATAGTACACATATACAATTTAACTCGGACTGACTAAAGCCCTCAAGTGCAGTGACGTCCGAACCTAGTCAATTGTAAAAGCCACCAAAGCTCAAACACTCCAAGTCTACCCGAAATGTGTACAGTACGAGGTACTAAGCTCTGTAAGTACATAACATACCCGTGTTCATGAGTATGTCACATTGTGGATCCAGATACACCAACCACTGTGAGCTCGCACAGAGCCGCCACACACCCTGTTCGCAGATATCTGCCCACAGGTCCAGTCCTGCATGGTGTGGGGAAACCTCCAGAGACTGGTCCAGTATGTAAGCGCCTTCGTCCCGTCCCAGCTGCAAATAGTTCTATTTCAGAGTAGCTTCGCTCTCTAGTCTGGTACCGTGCGCCAGGCCGGGTGGGTCCCCTTGTCACTATTTCGAGCAACCAGCAGAGAAAACCTCGAATCGTGAACAAAATCTTGGGCCTGCATCCCCAAGATTTCGTAAGGCATTAAAAGGAATGGATTTCAGTTCCCGCCGATATGGTTCTTGGTAGCCTTTACTTCTCCCTGCATTCAGGCTTGGGTCGTCTTGCAGCCTTAAGTCAACGACACCGCCGCAACACATCTGCCCCAGCACAATCAGATGCACAGTCATCCGCCGCGGACAGTATTGCATTGACAACAGGCAATACAAATCTGCAGGCCATATAGCCCGTCTACAGAAGATCCCGAGATATTTCTAGTTTGCTCCTTGAAACGTCGAATCGCTTGTATTTTACGGTGATCGAGGCTGTCATTTTTCAGACCTATATATCTATCAACCAACTGTTGCATATTGTGAGTCTACACCGGTTTCCTTGCGCAGTTGTTTACATGCTTCAGCTCCATCTGTTATTATATAATCCAACATCTATATCCCAGCACTTCCAACTAGCTATACTGCTTTGCCGCAAAAGTCCAGTCATTATTGACCTTGGAACCCTAACTGTTTCACAATACCTTGGGGGTTTTGTCATGACAGATTAATTGTTCCTATGTTCTAGAATATACTACTTTTCATGACTTTAACATATTTAAAAATTGATGGCACAGTGTCACCACGCCCCGAAGTTCAAGGATTATCAGTCAATATCGTCTTTTGATATAACCTAATATTTATATCATTGCTCGTCACGAGTTGCTCTATTAATATTCTTTCAAGATATATTTCTTTCCCTCTTTACATTACATCACTCCCCCAATTATCACAATCATAAAAAGATTGTCGGTACGGCGCTTGTTCTTTCATTTCCTTTCTTCCAATTCCAATTCCATCTACATGCACATAATATGCATGGACTTTGCTAACAGTATAAACCAAAAAAAGTGAACTACAGTGGAGATCAGTTAACATGGCGCCCGCACCAACTGTTGAGCCCGGCGCTATCAAAACACTACCTGCCAGTCTAGCAGCGACAGCGATGCCCGATCCATCCGACTCTCCTTCCACAGATGGAAGGCTTCGATTTGATGCCAGCACAATAGCAGCTGTAGCCCTTGGTGTAGCATTGTTTTTCACTATCATTGGGGTTATCGGCTACTGTTTCTGGGTACAGAGACAGAAGAGGAACCGTTACAGATATCAAGTTGACGGCCTACGTGGCCATTGGGCTCGTATTGAACAGCCGCCAGCGCCCGTACAGACAGAGAAAACAAACTTCCCGCCAGCATATGCGAAAAGGATTTCTTTCTCTGCTCGACCTTCTTTTTCTAAGCCTTCAGCTGGAATTGATATTACGCAAATCGGACATCCAAAACTTATTCAAAGTTCTCAAGATATTGATCCCGTCTTTGCAGAACCAAAAGCTGCATATATTCGTGCACACAAAGGCTCAATTGCTGCCATAACAGAGCCACAGATTGGCAATGTCGATTTCGTACCGGAAAAGATGGCACCGCACACGGCCACAGCCATCCCACCGATACCACCCACAGTGGAAATTGCAAAACCCCCAGCAGTTCTTACTATGGATCCAAAAAAACGACAGAATGCTCCAAAGCTTAGCCTCCAGACATCAACAAAGCCTAGGGATTCTATCAATAATAACATCACGAGCACAATAGTGGCTGGGCTGCCAACCAACATCTATGTACCACCGACACCCTCGAGGACCGGCTTTGGTGATGTACCTTTCACACCTAGGACACCTCGACGAATGGATTTTGGCCCCGAGCCCCAGGCGTTCAAATCCGACAATCAGAAGTCCCAGTTCGAGTGCTTCTCGCCCAACAATACTCGGGCATATCGTAACCCAACTCCAAAGGAACGGTATCGATTTTCCGACCCTACAACACCTACCCCCGCAAGTGTGAGATCCGTCCGTTCGTTATCATGGAATGGCCGTACAAACGATCATACAGCGGGGTTTCAAACAATCACAGTGCAGACACCAATCTCACCTCATCAGCTTAGATCACCTACTATTTGCTTCCCAAGGCACCAAAATTTGATTCCTGGTGATCACTCAGACCTCGATCGTGAATCAATGCAAACACATCCCCACTCTCGAATTGTTAGTTCCCTAAGCACACAACATCATAAATCAAGTTCTCCGCCAGAGGAGCCACATCGAAAAATAAAGAAACCAAAGCTTAAGATTATCCCAGCGAAGGACGATGACGAAATCCTAACCGACGATGACGCATCTATTATAGAAAGCGAATGTGATAGTAGTGATGAATCGTCGGAGACTACTGCCAAAATGTTCACCCACAATAACCGTAGTTCGGTTCGAACAGGACGCACTGGCAGTACCCGTTTCTCACAAGACTCAATACCGAACCCTCCCCTTACACCTTTCTATGGGGAAGTGAAGGACAACAATCCATACATCAACCAAATGGAAGCAAAACGCAAAGCCAATGGGTTAACTTTAAGTACGATGGATACTCCAACCAGGACCCTATCTTCTCCAGGTATTGAAATAGTGACCAGACCCGGCGATGAATCACCTCCACTCTCGCCAGTTACATTCCGCATTGATACCAACCCTGGATCCATGACACCCAAGCTACCATACAAATTGGAACCTTATGATCGTATTGAAGCCGACAGAATTAACGATGGATCATATCCCCCTGAGTGGAAAATACAGATGGAACGTCAAGCTACTGAAGAAGGTCTCGCCCGAAGGGAGCGTGACCCACGGCCCAAGTCAATCGGCAATAGTCTCGCACCGCCCACTAAGAGCTCCAAAACCAAGGGCGTCTCTTTCCGATTGAGCGGTCATCGTCGAGACGCTTCCGACGAGAAACCAATTTTGCCTAAGATTGACGTCTCACTTGCGGAAACTATGAAGCAAATGCGACCAAACTTTTACAAAATCGGAACAAATGACAGCGATATTTCAATGATCTAAGAACCATTTGATCATTTCAATTTACAATTTTCTTTCCTACTATTACTACTACCACCGCCTGGTCTACTCTCTTTCTAGCTACACTCGTTATACACACGGCCTTGGAGTTTGCGGTGTTTTCTTACTTCTTTCGTGGGCGTTTTGGATTTCTTTCTTTCTCCTTTCGAATTATTGTGGCGGCATTTGCGGCGCTTTCTAGATTCTTTGTATCTATTACTTCTGCACTTTACATGACCTGGCTTCGGTGCCACCATATCTCACGGAAGGTAACCACATTTGGTCCTTTCAAGCGAAAGCCTAGCCGGCGTTCGTATTTTCCTTCATCTGATCAATTGATCCACTTTTTTTCTACTTCAATTCTCTCAGAATACCATTACTTCCTTGTATACGTACATGTACATACAATAGTTAACAGCACCTGTGAGGCTTAACTGAGCTCCACAGCACCCGCATGGGCGCTAATCGGTCCCATATGAATGGTCAAAAGTTTCAATCCTGTACAACTTCTCCATTGAAGAAAATATTGAGCCTCAATTAAAATCTAATCCACTCAGATTTGTTTCACGAAATGACCCACCCGTAAACAATTCCACAGACCCATCCTGGCACAGTGATGTTCAAGCTTTTGAGCTTTGAACCCCATAATTTGCGTTGAGCCGTTGGCATTTTCCTTCCTTCCACTCAAAATCCTTGACGAATATTCTAAATATAGTAACATCACTCCAAAGCGAAAGCGCTTAGGCACGTCAAAGAGTGGGTCCCACGGTGGTGGGTCCAGGGCGAACAGCTCAAAGCTAGCTCTTTGCTCCACTACCACAAAATGTCATTCCTCACAAACACGATCAAGCAAGCCGCTTCAACCAGCCATTACTAGAAAAAACCGATGCAATGACCACCAACTTTGTCTCGGACGAAATGCATAGTCCAATTGAAGACGATATTAACGCTTCAACTGCCGAAGCGGTAGAGTTTGAGAGTTCCCAATCGTTGATAATGCATCCAACAGCTCCAGAAAACGAGGCTCATGCAGAAGCAGAATCGGGTAATGAGCATCGCGGAGCTCAAGCAGCTTCGTTGACTGGGTTATACATATCGCATTTCTTGTCAACATGGAATGCTAGGACCTATGAATTTGCGGCTGTAAGTCAATTGTTTCGACGCCTACCTTTTGGCTTGAAACAAGTTAATCCTGGCGCTTGGGAGATGGGATGAAAAAAATGGATGGCTAAGGAGAAATCTGGGGTTGGAATTTTAGGTCGTATTCACTGTTGAGGCCTTCCCGAATACACTTCTTCCAGCGTCGATTAGGTTAGTGCTCCCGCCGCATGATACATCTAAATCTAGCGAAATATATCAAGAAAAATGTAATGGAGATATCGTGGTTGTTTATCACTGAATATCTACGGATCCTCCGGTCGGCCCTCTCGATTAGGGACTGATCATTAAAAGATTTGTATTTTCGCTTAGCTAAGTACTTGTCCCGGAGCCACATACGTGTATACGCTCTCCTAGATTTTGAATCAAGATAAAGTGAACGCATTGGGAAAAAGAATGCTGACCGAATACCAAGTGGTATCGCACAATGCCTCGCGGCAATTATATTTTCCCCATCTGTGGGTATCTGGGCCGATCGATGTCCTTCACGACTGAAATCCCTCAAAAAGACCATTTTGGTTCAAAGATTAGCTGTACTTACAGCATGTAGTTGTTGGATGGTGTTACTTTGGTCGGGTCGCGATACGTCATCACCACATGGCGTTGTTTTGAAGTGGGCCGTTTTGGCGGTGATTGTGATACTTAGCTGCATTGAGCGACTCGCAGCCGGCGGGAATGTCGTTGTTATGGAGAGGGATTGGGTACGTATCTTTTTATCAAGTCTCAGTTTTTGCATTGCTTTACCTTACTGCCGGGTACCCGAGCTCAAGTTAGATATTTTTACGTTCCTCTCGGCTCTAATGTTGTTGGAACAGTCTAGAACCTCTAGTGGTTGATAGGTTCTAGATTGCTATTGTGCTCATGATTTGCTGTTAAAAGAAAATATTGATCAACTAACAGGGAGATCCGTTACAATACATGATTTAGGTACCAACACTTGCTCCTTCTGTTGGAGATTCATTGCATTACCTCAATGCAACTATGAGAAGGATAGACCTGATATGTAAAGTTTTGGCTCCTGGATTCGTAACGTTACTGCCTACTGGGTTTTCCGCCATTGAAAGTACCAAAGATCACTCGGTATTTTGGAGCGTCGTTGTAATTGCGGCTATCTCCGCGTTGAGCCCCTGGGTAGAATGGCTTTCTGCACAGCGAGTTTGGGAGAATAATGACCTCCTGCAGGCTCCAAAGGTCATGGAAGAGCAGCAAGCACAAGGAAGGGAAGTGGAGAACAGATATACAGGTACTCTTGACCAATATCTAAGAGGGAAGGCGTCAGGGTTTGTGCGATTCTGCAACAGTGCAGTTTTTCTACGTAAGTCTAGATTCATCCTACAGCCATAAACCTAGAGTTATACCTAGAGTTATACCAACTGTTATACTAACTGTTATACTAACTGACGAAACAAGCAACGATATCCATTTCGCTTCTGTACTTATCCGTACTAACGTTCTCGTCGCCGATGATTACGTTCCTCCTAAATGCCGGTTTTACTCTCCCTGTTGTTACAACGGCACGGTTGTTTAGCAGCGTTCTTGAAGTGAGCGCTACGGCAGTTATGCCATGGGGCGTAAAGACATTGAGGGACCGTCCGGTAAAGTATTGGAGACCGGCTGATGAAGATCAGCTCGTGCTTCTTGAAGAATATCCACCAGGCCGACCTAATATCGATAAAGCTGAAGTTGAGCGAGTTGGTCTGTGGGCTGTCTGGTGGATGACATTATCACTGGTATGTTTTGAAACATTTCCTACCACGGGACTACCCCCTAGAAGAGCTCTGAAATCAAATTTAGAACATTATTGATTGTGGGGTCGATTAAATTCGGCTGGTAAATGTAGATGCCTGCAGTATATGGGGTCGCAGGACTGACTTCAACTCCTAACACCTCTCCGGCCGGCCTTCCACTTCCGCACTTTTCTATCCCCATGCTCCTCAGCGTCGCATTCTCACGCATCGGTCTATGGACATATGACCTCGCCTACTCACAGCTACAGCAGACCCTCCCTCCTCCCTCACTCCGAGGAGAATTCACAGGCATCGAGCAGAGTTTTGTCTCAACAGCCGAGCTTTTGCAGTGGACTTTGACGGCAATTTTAAGCCGCCCGGAGGACTTTGATGTGTTGGCTGTGATTAGTTGGACAAGTATACTTGGGGCGGCGGGATGTTATGCCTGGTTTATCAGGAAGAGGAGGGGTCATTTGTTGCATGTTAAGGTCTCGACGTGTTGTAAGACTTGAACTATGGTGGACTCGAGCTGGGCTGGTTGTGTAACATATTCATCTATCTCGATAGATCTACGAAACAGCCCCTTATCGGCATAAATCGGCACTGAAACTTGTTGTCGAACATCTCTCAATCTGGTCATTGCCTGATTGAGAAGACCGTCGATAACCTTTTCGCAACGCAAAAAAAAATGCAACGTTTCAGTTTTAGAAAAGAGTGTTGCGCATGGTGCCATGTCGTCTTGTTCCCTATCTAGGCTGGGCGTCAATGTGGTCTCGAACGTGCTAGAAGGCAACCAGGTCTAGATGCGAGATAGGTTAGAAGGCTGGCGAATTGAAAACCCCTCAGCAGGTGATGTAATCTTGAATTAGGAAATCATAACCGGATTTTTCTTTCTTTCGGGAATGAGATCTTAGATCATTCTCTAGGTTCCCTAGATTACTCCGAGCTCGAGCTCCCCTAGCATACCCGCTTCACGCTAACATACGGGGCGTGAGCCAAGCTACACGGGGGAGAACCTAGTTTCTTAATGACTATTGTATCTAGCAATAGGTTTACGAGAGAATATCGACACGTATGCAATAATGATCCCATTAGGTTGGCACGCCTGAGTTCGTCATGGAGTTTTACCCCTCTACAAAAATGGCTTAGGTTTCCCCACCTCATTACCCCGACAAAATAACCTCAAGCTTTTCTTTTCATTCTAGATCTGTAGTAGATCAGGAGGAGCTTGTTTTGCAGGATTTTTGGAATGTGAAACAAAAAAGGTGGTGGCAACGGCAGAGGACAGATAATCTATGCAGATCATGTGGGAGCTCGGCAACCACCACTTCGCCCTCTCATTCATGTACATCAAAAATGACGAACAAATCGGTCATAGTAATCGTTGATTTTGGTTCAAAAATAGACGACGCAAACTATGACACGGAAATTAAAAGCTGCAAACACGGCTCCTCGCTAGAATTCCATCCGCCCATGCCCGGCAGGTGTAAATCACAAGTTCACTGTCGAGATTGCATTTTTGGTAACGGCATGCAATTATTGTCGAAAGTGATGTGATCGCCTTGTGCCGCTAGATTAAAGGCCGACAATAACAATATCGTGGATGCCAAGTTCGAGATGCAGATGTGCATAGACGGACAAGAGCATTGTAGACGCATGCAAATATGGCCTGATCTCATTCATGAGCTTTCCGCTAACTTCTGCGGGACGTGGTCCTCAGCTCATTTGTGTCTACTGCGTCGATTTTTTCGTACACCAGGGAAAAAGCAAAATACTTTCACGATAACTATCGTCGCCGAGGGGGGACAGTGTCTACACAAGGGTTAATAAGCTCGCTTCTAAGAGATCTAAAATAATCTAGCGCGATCTCCTCCCGAAATGGGAGGCGAGAACGAGTTAGCTAGCGCGTCACCGTAATGCCGATGGCTGTTTTCTGGAGAAAACCGGGGTGAACAACGGCAGTCCGGCGATAGACACTCCATATGCAAGAGTGGTCTGATAATTTGCTTCTAGACATCGACCAGGGCTTTTGGCAGAGAGCATATTCTCAAATGCTGCACCTGATTGCAGTGCCCTAGAGCAGGCAGAAATATTTGCTGTGATCGAGCAACTTTAAACCGATGTCACTGCTAAAAACGCTGGGGAGGGAATGTGTGGGAGCCATGAAAGATCTGAGCAAGGCTTGTATTCTCCGATGGCCTAGGAGGACGCCACACCCATGCAGGTAAGGTATGCATACTAAGCATGGATCTACTTGCCATCGGCCTTGCTATGTGGGGGATAAGCATATGAATCTTGCGCCAATACTTCTGCTTCTCCAGCTTTTTCTTCTTTTCCAACAGACGCCCAGATATGCAGCATTCTTGGAGGGAACCGTGACCTACTTATAATTATATTTTCTTATGCCCTGATCCATAACCTAGTATATTAAGTGCAAGGAATGGGATTAATAGGCAATTGCTTTTTGTGTTGGAAAATAATATGTGCGGTTCGAGACAGTGGTGAACCGTAGGATGAGGCTATCCGTCGGGATCTACGGACGTCGGATCCGCGGACCGCTGGTCGTGTGACGAGCCTCACCACTCATGAATACGTATACCAATATCGCAATGATTATGTAACTTTGGCATCACATTCCCACGAAATTCAAAAGATGTTTCTTGTTTCGCGATATTTTATGCAATATTGCAAGCAAGCATACTTGGCTTGATGCCCAGTCCAGTATCTCCGTTCTTATCTCGAGATCGTCGATTATTTCTGGGATACAAGTCTGAATCTCGAATGCACCGGCTGGATCTGGCTAGAAAGTAAAAATCAGTTATTCCGGCGAGGACCCCTTGGCTTTCCCTGCCAAAAAAAGGAGTACTCTCTTCTAACGGACTTTGGAGATGTGGTCGTCCTTGGCGGAACATTGTCACTTTTGAAGTTGGGTATCTTTGCTCACAATTAATTCTATGCCTTCGCAAGGCGAACTCCGATGCTTCAAAAAAAGTTCGGATGAAGACTACCTCAAAGCCGGCTACCGGAACCATAACCTGCGAATCGCGAAACTTCTAACCAATTAAAATGTGTCCTTTTGAAGTGGTTTTAAAAGATACCAAAAGGAGTCACGTCACAATAAGGTCTGGCGTCTTCCCGAGTGGCTGGCCCCATTCGCTCTCGTCTCGCCCATGGCTCTAGAGCGAGGGTCGGATGGGCATCAGCTGGGCAGCCAGGCTTAGCGGGGTATGGATACCCCGAGGTATCCTATCTACCTTAAAGCCAGGCTAAAATCACATAAAACAATGTGACCGAGGGGTGGTCACGAGCTGGTAAATGTAACATTTTGTTTCAGCCCTTTTCTCATTGATTCTCATACTATCTCCATTCGATGGTACTATTTGACGGAAAGATTATGGAACAAGTTCAACCGACGAACCCCTATAGGTTGGCTTAGTTATCCACATTGAAGAAAATAAAGCAGGAAAAATTGCCACATTTTATTTTTATTTATGCATAAAATGCTAATCTTTACATAGTAGGTTAGTTTCCCACCGCTATAGACGTCGACGAAAGAGCTGACAGCTAGGATTGTTATGGACCCACTTATAAAGCTTGGCCCAGAGCGCCCTCGGTTACACACGTGAATACTCTGTGTATTGTATACTTTGTATACCCCGCCGTAGAACTCCGGGATTTCCGGTGTCTGCCAAGTGGTGATATGCATGTTCGTTTTGATGAGTATGAGTCTATGACTATGGGATCCACTACTTTGCAGGTGATAGACATTGAAAGTTCTGAGAATTCCAGGTTTTGATCAGTAGAGTAAAGGTGTTGGCCATATTGCGTAAGGTGGATTCAGTTAGCACCAGTTAGAAGTTTGGGGGGTCAAAGGTCCGTTTTGGTCCGTTTTGATTCGTTTTGATTCAGTCCGCTCCAAGGGAACCTGGAAACAGGGGTCGTAACGCTAGTATAACCTACAAATGGAACAAAGCTAAATGGATATACAGATTAATGTGAAAAGTTTTTTTTTCCAAAGAAAGAGGCTAAATAACATAGTAAGAAAAATAATATACATGAGAAGGCCAAGCCGAATTTTAGGTAAGGAAAGATGCATTGGAGGGATATCGCTTGCTGTGCTGGAAACAACAAATTCGCCTAATAAAAACTCCGTAGAAAAATCACTATTAAACCCGATAAAATAGACAAGGTCCATGATTCCCGAACAAAAAGGTATTAAGAAGAAATTAAATCGGGGCTGTAATCGAAGACACTAGTAGTTTACCAGGTGAAGGATTCTTCATAGAAGTCCATCTCTACTCGGTGTAGCTGGTTGCGAACGGCAGCTCTGACAGAGTCCTGGAAAGGGCCAGGTCCGCAGACAGTTGCAGCAACGGTTCCGATGCTCTCTGCAACCTCGGTATCCATGATCTGATCGAAGTTTGGTCGTCCTGGTCGCAATTCCACAGAGCCAGTAGGCGAGACCTGAGTAATGTCTGCCTTGGGCCGTGTAATATAAACTAGGACCTTGAGAACTTCTCGTCGCTTGTCCATCGACAGGATCTCGCGCATGTAGGGTTCGATCCATTTAACTTGGTCGGTTGTTTTGACGACCCAGATAAGTGTGATCTTACGGGTTGCACAAGCGCCTGCCTGATATTTTTCGATAAGTTGTCGTACGTATCCGAGTTGATGTGTGATACCAATACCGCCGGCGAAAAGTAGTGTTGTACCATAGGATTCGAGTTGATGCATTCCTCCATATGGTCCTTCCACGAAGCCTCTCAGGGTGATAGTCCTATTTGGTGCAGCGTTGGCCTTCTCATAAAGTGTCTTAGTCATTCCTTCTCGGCGAGCGACAAGGAGAGACATCTGTGTTGTGGTAGGTCCGATAGTTGCATTCTTTTCGTCAATAGGGAGATCGCCCGATGCATAACCTTCCTCGTGTAATTTGTTCTGAATAACACCACCCTGTTTCGACACGTTCGAGCTCCAAGCGAGGGAGAATGGATGTGATTGCCAGTAGGAAACTGTCGGGAAGTAGATGTAGACATGTTGGCCAGGTTTGAAGGTCCATGGTCGGGCAAGTTCAAAAGTAACTCTGCAAGCGTCGCCGTCGAGTGCCTCCACCTTGACCTTGGTCATGCTCTTTGTAGAGATATTGCGATAGAAAACTCTAACAAGTCGGATGAAGCGGTCGAGGGACCAGAAAGCAATGGCCAAAATAATATATGGCAGTTGTGGGAGGTTGTCGATCTTTAGATGCATCCAGACGGTATAGAGAATGAGAATGGCCAATCCAATGTGAAGGACAAGGAATGTTTCATAGAAAGCATGTCGGACTGGTGATGGAGTAATCACGAATATCAGCGCAAAAGCGGCGACGGCCTATGCTCGAGTTAGATAACGATTTCAATGGGGAATTAAATAATATAGGAGACTTACGATCATTCCATAAAGAATGAACTCACTCTCAACCAAGCTCTTCTTCACACCCTCGAAGCCTTGGGCATCAACTTTGTTGATGAGCCAAGCTGCGGTGTGAGCAACAGATTGCAAAGCTGCAAGTCTTCCAAGACACCTGTGGATGATGTTGTACGTATCAAAGGAAATCTTGAGAAGTGGAATCAAAATGTTGTTTCTTCCGGCAAGCAAGAAAAGCGGAACCATGTTGACGACTGCTAGAACGCCAGTACGTCCACGGAATTCTGCAACTAGTTCACGCTTTGGCTTACTATAGTCAAGAAGCAATGTGCAGTAGATCACATTGGAAATGACATAGATACCCAAGATAACAGCGTGAAGTCTTGTAGGGAGAGTTCCAATAGTAATGGCCTTGCTTAGTTGAATTTCTGTGTTATGTCTGTGTTTCCAGATTGGTGCAAACCAGAGGTACTTCTTCATTTTCCAGCTAAAGGGGCTGGGCCTTGACCAGTATCTCTGGCTTCTCTGGCTGTTGTCTGTAGACATCAGGACAAGCAGTCTTAGATGCCTCATGGCATCCATAGATATTCTTACAGCGAAGAAGAATAGCACAAGAATGCATGATGTTGTGAATAAACCCTTGCTATAGGCAAATGTTAGATATTGCAACACGTTGATAATACTTTTGTCAAATGCAGCCAACTTACCTGAATTCGTCGTTCCACCACTGATTGACGCCATTAAGGCCCCATGTGTAGAAGTTGATATCATCGGGTGTGTCGTTTGGATCCTGGGCATCCCATGTTGTATGGCTCGCTCGTGGGAGAATCATCTTATACTATAGTAATACGACCCTTCAATGAGGTCGTAACTTGAAGGACTTGAAGTATGTATTTGGAAGGTTGATTGATGAGTCCAAATAGATATCTTGTTGCGAGAGCTAGAGTATTTATGCTTAAAAGGGATTGGCTTCGTCGTAGACCCTTATTGTATTGATGTAAGCTGTTTGATATGTGTAGACGATGTCGAATTGAAATAAGCTCTATCACAAAAGAGCTGCTCCAGGGATATATTATGGGGTCAGAAAAAAAGTCGGAGAATGGATGTGGAGAAATAAACGGGGTAAGAAGCTATGCAGCAGCACAGCGAATATAAGAAAGAGAGGGTGTGACCGTTAGGAATAATAACATCAAGGATTGTAACCACAACGGGAACAAGGTTTACTATTCTCGTGAGTGAACAAAACCTGACGATAAGACTAGAATGACCTGATGACGTTAGGGACGAATTCAAAAGTGGTGTCGAAGTGTTCCCAGAATAAGTTCTAATATCAGACCGTCTTGGAACGGGGTGTGAGAGAATGAGACAAGCTTAAGCTTGAGGCTGGGTGTTAACAATATGCAATCTTGCCGCGGGCAAGATCTTACGCAAAAAGAGAAATGGTCCGGAAGCTCTGCCTCCTTGCAAGTGTATATAGAGAAAGTATGGGCAAAGACAAGAAGTGGACTCCGAAGGGACAAGAGAAAAAGAAAAGATACTTTCAACGTCGAGGGGAGAAAAGAAAGGTCGACAATATCAAGTCGAAGTGCAAGGTTCTGCAAGACGTAACGCTGCAGGTCGACCGGGACCACGCTTGAAGGACCGAAAGAGTGGGACTGCTAGGTGCTTGTGCAGTTCATGCAGGCAGGCAGTGTTCAAAAGCGTGGGCGGAAATGTGACCGGCCTGTCGCGATAAAATAGCTAGTGGGAATGGAATACCAGGGAGCCGAACAAACACCAAGGCTGAACGGCGAGAAGTAGTCTAAATCCCCCCCTTGGCAGATACACAGATTAAGCCAGGGCCTTTTTCTTAAGGGAAAAGATCACCCGCAGATGCCGACAAATCTTTTAAAGGGTAAATTGACTGTCTGTTCAGAAATATATTAGTTTTCTTGGGCCTGTCCTCGTAAAGAAAATGGCGCCTGGGGATAAAAACATCGGAATGTTGACTGCCATTGTTGGTAGCAGAAAGCTTGAAACAACCGGCGATTTCTCTGGGTGGTCAACCGCACTGGAATGGAAGATTGGTACTCACTGAAAGAATATATAAGAACAGGTACGGTCCCGCCTGGATCAAAAACAAAAGCAGATGCAGAAATGTCCGATAGCAAGTCTTGAAACCAGATGACCGATATATCCAACTCTTGTACTGGGGTAAGTCGGTTGGTTCCGAAGAGAAAGGATTGTCGGTTTGCTATCAGGTATTGATTGATATCCGAAACTTTTGATCGATTTCAACGATATGGTGCTCGAGAAAGCCGCACTGCCGCAATCTTTCCTTTCCTTAAATTTCCTTCTTCTTTTCAGATGCTCTCCTCAAGAGTGCCCAATAAATTCTATAATTATGCTGTAGTGAATGGATAATAACCTTGAAATGATCAAATGATTGAACCGACGAAGTCTAGTCGAAGTGTCGTGGGAATAAAAGGAATGCGATCTAGAAATCAACTCTCGATAGAGAGGACAGAAAAAAATGAATGTCTATAGAATGAGAAAGATGCAACTAACGAGAATAAAAGAGAGTCAGAGGAATTGTCGTGTCCTAAGCCACGTTCTATCTACAACGTTAACGTTCGAGTACCACCGCACTAGAACTGACGTGTGTAGTGTCAAAACAAGAAAACGAGAGAAACGTATGAGAGTGGTGTTCTCTTTAAGGTCCGGATTTTCAAGATCCATTCACCGGCCCCGTAAGCTCCTTGGGAGCCCTGATTCGAAGCGAAGGTACCCCTTAATGGTGTCCACCAACTACCAACTCCCAACCAATAAGTGGAGGTGTCTCTTTCATGCGCATGGATTGTTTAGCACGTTGAGTGGCTACTAAGCCACTACCGGAAACCCCAAGCATCTCGACAGGACTAAAGGCGTGATGGTGAGATGAGGTACGGTGAAAGGAGAAACTTCAGTATGGCTAAGCTCTTGGGAGGATCTTGGGCGAGGGCAGACCATTGTCGACGCAGGGGCAAGATTCGTGTGCCCGTAACCCTGGTGGAGTCAGCATTTTTTTTTCATCCAATCACTTCGGGTGCACCGCTACAGCACCAAAAAAGTGACTTCGAGACACGCCGTCGATTGGCCTGGCGCTCTGGTACCTGCAGCTCCGAGACAGAGACAAACAGGGATCCAAGATCTTTGGTCCTCCACGCCTTCCCTTTATATTGCGGCGCATGCAATCTGAAACGAACCGTCACCAAATGCGGGCAGCCGCTGGTTCGTAGACGTATTTTGACAGAAAGCAGCGTAGTATTTTCGAATTCTATTTTAAAGATGTCCCAAAAATTGCACAATGTTATCGTACCCGGGCGAAGCCGCTCGCAAATTGTTGGTTCCATCAACAGGCGACTTGAGTATATTATACCAACAGAAAGTACCCGAAAATACTCTTAGATTTGTTTAAGTTTATTTTCAAATACAACTGCTCCATCGGTTAGCTATCCAAAAGTCTCAAAAAAAAAAAAAAAGGGCCGTCTCGTCGCTCGACACCGAAATCGATATCGTCTTGCCAAACACTCCTGAAATCAAAGTTTGCTTTTCACATGGTTTAAGATATACTGTGTATCGCCACCAACGGCACTGAAATTGCCCAAAGGAGCATTGGCCGGATCTTCCTGCGTGATAACACGGAAAAACCTTTGTCTTGGGATCTCGGGGGGTTCGGGCTTGGCTATTGATACGAGACTTGGCCGTATAATAGCATTTGAGAAACGGAAGGTATAATCGAGAGGCCTGGCCCTGTGGCGGTATGGCCTGATAAACGTGCCAAATATTTCTGTTCTTTGGCTCTTTTCCGAGATCTCATTTTTGCTATTAAAGGACCCTCGAGTTTCATATTAATCGGTGTTGACGCCTTCGCTCGTGTTGATGTGGTTGACCCACGCTGGCCCAGATATGTTTCGAAACGCCAGTGCAAGCGGTCAGACCACTTCTTAAATTCGGGACCCACTTTCGATCTCAGTGCGCGTCCTGATTCTTGGGAATCCGGCCATATCTTCCAATATATCAGAAACAGTCCCACAAATCATAGAATGTTCTTTTTCAAGGACCAGGCAGGTGCGCTTCTTCTGACATACATAAACAGGATCTAAGTACGTGGCCGGCGGGGTTACGACGATTATTCCATATTATTCGCGGCTCGCATCAGCGGAATGGTCTCAAGTGTATTCATGATGTTGTTATCAATCGACTATCAGACGATATTCGACATTCAGAGCGGGATTCTAAGAATGATTGAAGTTGACCGGACCGAGATTCTAGAGAAACGTCAAGATAAGATCGGAGTGATCGGATCTACGCCACCATGTCACAGGCGAGATGAGAGGTGGTTCGTGCGTGCTCGAGATCCCATGATGAATTCTGGTTTGCTACTATGAGGCTCCCAAAATGGGATACGCTCCCGTCGGCTCGTCGGGAGATTTTCCCTGCTGCGAAACAGCCTCATTCCCCATTTTGATTTCATAAGCCTGGTTATCCTGCCCAAATTCATCAACAAGAATTTTCCTCCTTCATTCAAAACACCATCACTAAATATTCGGATATCGTCATCCACCCGAAGCTACGCCAAGATGATAGTGCATACGAAGCAGATCCTGAAAAAAAAAAAAAAACTCATGATCTTGCCGTTGCATCAGCAGCTACTAGGACATAGCCACGACTGCTGACGATGTAGCTGTTTCGTAGATTTCATTGTATCTGCCTGCTCATGGCTCCTCAGGAGCTGATGATGTCCCCGCCTCTGCGGACTCTATCCTCGGCCCTATTTCCTCACATTTGTCGATAAACTCGCCATTAACCTAGGTTATCCACAATTGAAATTGGATCAGTGACCTGCCGCTTCTTGGGATGTGTCACACAAAACGCCGGATATGCACCGACATTGAGTGGTCTCCACCCTTGGTGGGGGCGAACCATGGCTCCAACCACATACCTTGACATTCAACGTCTTTAGCAACGCAAGTTCAACTTTTTTCTCGTTTTTGACCCGAACAAGATCACGTAAAGCACTGATAAGAAACCCAGACAAAATTTGAACCGACCAATTGTCAGGGATTACGTTAAGCACCTTTATAAGATATTGGTCAGCCCATTAAGAACCCACTGGTTTGTCAGTTTCAGTATAAGCTCTGGGGGAAAGTGCTCACATGTTGGACGTCCAGCCAGCCTCCAAAACGGTCTAGGAGTGAACTTGTCTGTTCTAGCCGAGCTTCATAGTCACTAATATTTAGGAACTCCACCAGCAGTATATTCAGCATTCTGCTCTGTTCGTCCCGTGGTAATGGTTGGATCGAGCCTGATCTGGACCGTTGAAACATAGACAGCGCTCCGTACAAGCAATAGTTGATGGCGGTATCAAAATCCTTCAGCGAATGACACAGCATCTTGAGGACCTCCTCGTGGTTCTGTTCCTTGCTGTAAAATATGACCATCTCCGCAATAAGCACCTCTTTCCACGGTTCCACCTTGGCTGCGACTTCTGCAACATTGTAGGGGGTTGGACCACTCAAAAAATCCAATAATACAGCTCTGTTCCGCCACCACTCTTCCCCTCTCGCATTGTCATTTAGAAATTCGCTGTATGTAGGCTTCGGAGGATGTAGAGCCCGATAAAATTCTGTCGTCAGGTGCACATCCTCCTTCAAGTTCGGATTGTTCTCCAGGTCCGCGATCATTTGGTCAAGGAAAAGGGAAATGAAATCGTTAGCATATGCAATATTCTAATTTTTCGTTAGTCTATCGTCCTTATTGAGATGAGGAAATATGTCTTGCCTTTTTTTGTACCACAAGGTACTCCAAGTAATCCTTTACTGCGTATGGTGCGTCTGCCTTTAGTATTCTTAAGACAGTTTCGGGCGAGAATTGTACTTTGTTCGTCTCGTCTGTGAAGAACTGCACACCAAGTTTGGGATTCCTCCTCGCAAGCCATCCACCGTACTCCTCGACCAGCACCGGGTCCTTGATCCTCTTCAGGTAGTCTTTGACAATTAGTTCGCCATCGGGGAACTCTCCGTTCTCCGTCCCGTCTCCCTTAGCTAAAATTCGTCGCCACGTTGCAAGGACGTCTCGGTATTGCTTCTGTTTTGCGTACAGCCTACTGAGAACAAAGAGGCGCCCGAACTCCTCGAGAATAGTGATTGCTTTAGGGATATCGTCGACACCAGAATCTACTAGTCCATATAGATCTTGACGGATGGCCCTCTCGATACCTTCCAACGCAGGCGTAGGCTTTAAAGTCGTCTGGTCGAGAATCAATAGTACCCGTAGATACGCCGCGTCGATGGTTGCGAAAACTTGCTCCTTGTCCTGTACACTCTCCAAGCCTTTCTTTTTCCTCCAATCCTTAAGATATCGACTTAAGAAATGAAGCGTCCCTCGATCCGTTATTGAGGTGTTCCTCTTATCGTATAATAGTGAACGTAGGAGATCTTGGATACCGCCGTAAACCCACAAACCGTTGCTCTTCTTGTCGATGACGATATCCCTCCGGAAAGATGGCCCAAAGAGGGCTACAACGAGTCGGGGATCGACACCACCCTGCCGAAGTGCTTCATCTGTTTGAGAAAGAGTATCCTCGGACACGCTACTCGCAGACATTAAACAGATTCCTAATAGTAGAAGCCCTAGCTTTTGTCTTATAAATCCCAGCTCATGGAATCTTGCCTCAGTCGTTGGTTCCATGCTATGGACAGCTGCCAAACACCTTAGAATTACAGGGACATCTCGTGTTGAGGCTGCATCAATTGATTGCGGTAATTGTGAATCCATAAGGAGAACCATTGGCGTCTCAAGCATTGAGTAAATCTTGTTTCCTATTGTAAGGACGAGGTGAGAGGACGTAGTACTTATACGGGTAGCAATAGTTTCTTCTTCTGCATTGCGCTTTCGATCAGCTTCGTCCGCTGTGGCCTCATCTGAGGACAGGTAATCGGATGTTTCGCCAGCGGCGTCCTCAGAAGTAGAAGGAGGTTGAGGGTCTGAGTCTTTCGGTGTTTCTTCAACTTTCCCGGATACTTCTGCCTCGTCGAAATCTTCCGCAGTGTCTTCTTCTGGACCAGGCAGTTTGGTTATCGTCGAAAGAGGCTCGATCGGAATGGCCGATCTCTTCCTTCTCGAGGGCTGTTTCTCAACGATGTTCAACTTGACTAACTTGAGGAGACGGGCGACTCTCGGGATACCACCGACTTCTACACCGACCGTTCGGGACACCCCGACTGATGAAGCCTCAAACTCGCTCGGGCTCTCTGTTGGAAGTGGTAGGACCTGCTTTATAGGCCCATACACGCCACCAGACGGCGCTGCGGCCTCTTCCAGTCGATGGCATTCCACTGGATGCTCACCCCCTACAATCGCAACTACCCATGATTGGTCTATCAAAATCTTGTTAGGGTACCTGGTGAATTCTAATGTACCACGAAGGACAGGTTCGCCATTGATATCGAAAAACAATCCAACAGCTGCCTCGTTCAGTTCTGTTCCGGTAGTCACTAGAAACTCGTTCGGGCTTGGAGAGGCTATATTAGGACTTAGAGTTGGTTTTGGAGTGGGCGGTGGGTTTTGCACTGTCGGTTGAGGGGTCCCCGCTCTCGATCGTGCTTCTTCTTGTGATGCTCTCGGGGCAGGCGATCCAGCCCTCGAGCCTGTATCAGATGGCACGGGACTATGGCCGTGAAGGTCCGCAGAAGGCCTCCTTTCAGCCGCACCAGCTGGAGTCAGGCTCCCAGTTCGGGAATGGCTTCTCATGGAACCCCCAGATTTCATTCGCAGGGAGCCAGTCGGAGGATTGGGAGATATAGATCGCATAGGCTCTGCGTCGATGGGAGATGTTGTTTGCCTTATTGGCGGGAGGGGAATCATTTTGTTATCATTGATATCGACAAGCGCATAGCTTTGATTGTTCGCAAGGCATGCACGATGCTGTCGTAGCGAACATTCTAAAGACTGAGGGAACGGAACATCCTATGTCATCGTGAGGTTAGGTGGGAATAGTGATACTTTATCGCCCATGCAGTTAACTTACCCTTATGAGCCGCACCTCAGCTCCAACTCGAAGTAATCTAATCATCCGCCTCTGCCCTACAAAGACTACCACACCCCGAGGATCTCTAATTTCAGCCTCGCCTTCTGCTAGGAGTCCTCTGAGGGCGAGATCGTTCTCGTCTACTGTAACCCATGAGACCTCCTTTAACTTTGTCGCAACTGGCGATAGTTCTGGGAGCGTGTAGAAAGATAGCTGATTATTACATATAACAGCCGCTCGTTCAACCGGCCCAAGCAATAAGATTTTCTGAACTCCGGGCGGGTTCTCTAAGTTTGCAGGCGGGGGTGAGAGGGGTAATCTAAATGCAAATATGTACTGGGATTGCTCTCCAGGCTCCTAAAAACAATGTCAGTAATGTCCTAAGTCAGATATCTAAGATCTAAGTAGCATCGCCATGAACCTACAGCCGGAATTTTCATAAAGTGTAATATCTCTCCAGCCGATGTCCCCACATACAGATGATCCCCCCAGATATCGACACAATTGACTTGAACATTCTGCTGCTCCCCAGTATCCAGTGGCAGGTCGTCTACAAGCTTTTGCAGTATATACGGCGCAGCTCGTTCATTGGCGCCCACATCGCCTGCTACAAGGGACGAAGCTCTTGGTGGAAGCGCAGCGGTCTCCATAACATCATGTCCCTCGCTATCGGCCGGTCGGAGAGTTTACGCTCTTATCATGCTGCTTCTAGCAATATTCGGGTATATGCGACCGGTATTTCTTAGATTTCATGCGACGATATCCGCCGTTGGTTGAGAGGTCGGTTTTCCAGGTTCCGGGTCCGGGTCCGTGTACGCGTGGAGGCAGTTGGAAGGTTCAAGTTGTTGTGTTTCGTTAGTAGCTGCCATATTTACCATGGCCTTTTCAACCCCAACTTCCGACAAGTCCGTCGATGAGCTGCCCAGCGGCCACAGTCCCAACACCCAGCCCCTCCGAAACACCACATTAACGAATCCATCGCTGCACGAGGCAGCGAGCGACTGCGGTCTCTGAAGGATACACAGGTTTATGGGGTTTCGGGCGTACCTATAAGGCCTTATTATTTGACAGTTCGGGTAGTAAAAGGAGTAGGAAAGCGAAGGGGTGCTACGGAGTTACTAGAATTATAACTCGTCGCCATGTCGCAATCAGGGTCACCGAACGGAACTCCTAGGAGTAGCCAGGACGGAGGAGCTTCGGATAAGGCCCGATCCTCTCTCGATGCTGCAGGCGCAGGGGATGCTGAAAACGCCTTCCAGAAGGCGATTGCGGTTTGGAGGAGTATGTCCTATCAACCATAGCGCGACGCTTGCCGTGCTACTTTATGCTGACTATGAGGCAGGCATCGATTTATCATCACTCCAAAAGCAGCTCGACTCGGAAGCTAGTGAGATAATTACGAATCAACGGGACGACTTGGTGGAACGGAAAGAAGTCGCGCAGAAAACGAAGGACTTCCGTAAACTCAGCGATGCTGACAAGCTTGCAGAGTATAAGGGATTGCTAAAGGGTAATTTATGATATCAGATGGAGTGATACATAAAGCGTCTAGCTGACATTGATACAGCGTATCAGCAGTTTATCGATCACATATCCAATCACCGAAAGTCTACCGAGTCTCTATTCTTGAACGTGTACAATCATCTCTCTGAAGCGCCCGACCCATATCCACTGCTGGAGGCGACAATTGATTCCCTTGTCCAATCGGAAGACGTCTCACGGCTTACTTCCGAGAATAATTCGTTACGTACGACGGTCTCGCGTCTTACATCACAGAATCAAAACCTCGAGACACGAATAGATGATCTAAAGAGGGAAGCTTCAAGAAAAGATAATGAAGGAAATAGAGCTCTAGAAAAAGCAGAAGAGGGGTTTCAGGCAGTCCTAGAAGAGAGGACAGCCAACTGGGAGGCAAAGGAGCGCAGCTTGCTTGAGAAAATTGAGCACCAGGAACGAGTAATCAAGGAGCAGAAAGCAAGCTATGAGGCCAGCTTGCGGATGGGCAAGGTTGCGGAAGGTAATGATGATGATGTCGGTGGAGCTAGCTTGGCCGAGCTCGAGATTGTCAGCAGTGACCTTGAACGAACTACCATGCGGTTGACTGAGATGGAGCACCGGAATGAACAGTTGAGGGCACAATTAGCACAGGCTCTTTCAACCCAGAACAGCGCAGGTGGAAAATCTCAAAAGGAACAAGATGAACTTGATGAGGAAATTCAAAGATTGGAGAGTGTCAACTCAAATCTCCTGAAGAAAATGGATAACCTAAAGTCAGAGAATGAGGATAAATTCAGGGACTACGAGAAGAAGGAAAGGCAACTCGAGCGCGAAGTCGATATGATAAAAAAAGAACGCACCGTACTAAAGGACAAGGTTAAGGCTTGGAGCGATTACGACGAGATCAAACGAGAGCTCGAGGTTCTCAAGACAATTGAATTTTCCACTGGTGATGACGACGAAGATGGTCACGCGGACGAAGTCGATGTAGCTGGCCAAAACAAAAAAGAGAGCCTCGAACAGTTACTCTTAGCCCGGAATAAGAAATTAGGCAATGAGCTCACCGTTCTTCGAGTGTCCCACCAGGATCTTAGCAGTCGTCTCTCCGATCTCCAAAGGCAGCTTGACTCGACCTCCAAAGACCTTGCTGAATCGCGAAACCTGAATAACCAACTCGAAGACGATCTCCAAAAAGCTCAATCCCAGACAACGTATGCCAACCCTGCCATGTCGGTAGCAGGGACATACACATCCCGCTACCCCGCTTCACAAGCGGGTCATTTTGGACCACGCGGCGGAGGTCGCGTCTCCCCTACTAGTTCCATTATATCTGGGAGAACCGGCCAACCGAGTTTCGATCAACTCCGCGCCGCAAACGCCGAGCCATCATCTGGTATCCTTCCCATGCTCACTGCCCAACGAGACCGTTACAAAGCCCGCAGCTCCCAACTCGAAGACGAGCTCTCACGGACGCAAGAAACAGTGACGTCTCTCCGCCAGGAGATTGCTAGTCTCCAAAAGGATAACCTTCAGTTGTACGAGAAGACTCGTTATGTATCATCATATGGCCGTCCTGGGGGTTCAAATGGTCGAACAGGCGCTGTTGGCGTACATAATAACCCGACTACAAGTTCCGGATTGTCACTTGACAGATATCGCGCCGCATACGAAGCGAACCTCTCACCCTTCGAGGCATTCAGGACGCGGGAATCTGTAAGAGCATACCACCGCATGGGGGTTCTCGAACGGTTGATGTTTAGCCTTACTCGCATGGTAATGAAAAATAGAATTACAAGAAACCTGTTTGCAGGCTATTGCTTATTCTTGCATTTGTTTTGTATCGGAATCCTGTATTGGGCAGGTATGGGCGAGACGGAGAAGTATGGCGGGGTATCAATGAGTGCTGGCGAGACTATACCTGGCGCTGTGGGAGGGGGGTCGGCGGCTGGGGAATGGAAGGCTGAGGAGGCACCTAATCTAGGGCCGTAGTTAGGTATCGTTTGATTGAGTTTTCTTTGTCTTCTTTGTAAGGGTTCAATGCTAGCGCCGCGCCTAGCTGTCGAAAAGCCGGTGTTTTGATAGAAGTGTATTTTTATGCGCCTATGAATTTTTCACTTGATTTCTATAGTTGGTTGGAGAAAGTAGAATTAATGCATTGGGAACCCCCAAAATAATAGTATACAAGCTATGGGTATCTATCTCCTATATATACATACAGAACACCCTTCACTCTGAAATACGCTTAAGCACTGATTGGCTCCAAGGTAACACTGCCCGCGCTGGTATCCTCAATGAAAATACCACCGTAAGTCAAGCCTTCATTTGGTCTCTTGCTCTGATATCCCTCCTTAACAACGTTGATACCTGCTGGGCCAGTTGGCAACTTCAATAACCCGATGTGGAACTGCCCCTTTCCGCTGGCATCATTGCCAACCGGACCTACAACCTTCGCAAGTGGGGAAAGTCCAGTGCTGTAATACACTGTGATCAGATTGTTATCCCAGTCGCTTTCGATGGCGAAGTTGTGCCATTCATCTTCGGTGAATGGGACATTGAGGAGCTCAGATGGTGCAGAAGAGGTGGAAGAGGAGTAGAGGCGGAGTGTTTTGGCGTCAGCGAGTGGCCATGACTCTGCGAATGGGGTACCAGTTTTTAATTGCCACTAGATTGATATATTAGCTACCATTACGCATCGATGCGCATACCAGAGATTTTGCTGTGCATTAAGACCATAGATACTGAAAGTACTTACAACATGGGAGGAATAGTCCTGTGTCTCAATGAAGACTGGTTGGTACTCGTGGGTGTAGTTCAATGGTCTGGTAGGATCGGTTCTGATGGAGAAGTGGTGGGCTGTAACTCCATTGTTGGTGGCATCGTTACCACTGTTCACCCCGGGAAGGAGCTCGGAACGGCGGAATCCAGTTTGCGCATTCTGTGGACCGCCTGGAGCGAAGATGGACTTGTTACTACTCCAAGTATTAGTACGGTTACCGAAACCGATGAGCTCGAGATCGAGAGCTCTAGTCATCTAAAGTATAGTTTACGCACTTGATCTTTACGATCAACGACTTTCCGTTGAGGGGGACGTCGAACTATTTGACAATGTTAGATATCTATTTTACTACCATATCTGAAATATTGGGCAAGGTGTCTTGTGGATTTCCTTACGAGAGAATCGGGGATATTTGGGAATTGGATAACTTTCGACCATGGTTCCTCTATATAATCGAAATAGGTGTTAGCACGATTCCTGGCTGGGAACATTACATGTATACAATATTGACTGATACAAAGATATTTATTACTTACGTCCCAAGACATATTCCGCATTATATGGACTTGTAGCATAGCTATCGAACTTGGCGGCTCTGAACAATGGTGGAATTCTACCGTCAAAGACGATTGGGTTCGCGCCAATTGTCGTCGTCGTCTTAGTCGTCGGAACGGCCTGCGCAACCGCCGCGAAAATAACTGCTGCGATGATAGACACCATCTTGAAGTTTTTGTTTATCGATACCAACGGTAATTAATTTGCCAAATCGAAAAAAGATTACGGTCCAGATAAGCTTTTCCAACAGAAGACACCAAGAAAAGGGGAAGAAAGATCGAAGAACACCTTGGAACGAGAAGTGGATCTTTTGTATCTCCTTTTATAATCCCTCAACTGTTCCTTAATAAAACCCGGGGTAGCGTTACAAGTGCCATTGGACTAGGGCTTTTACCTCTAGATTTCTGATATGTACAGTATCATAGGCTATAAATGAATCCCGGGTTGACTCGACAAAAGCGGGTATGGGTATGCATCGTGTAATAGACTCGAGATCTCGCATCATATAGCGAGGAGATTTATTACTCATAACCATGATAAAAGAGGGGTTTCTCGGAAAAGAGAAAACCCACGAACGCAATTATGCAAGAAGGAACGTGTTAGCTTGCAGCGAATATATTGATTCGCGAATTCCGTGATGGAGGTTGGGGGATCGGATAAATTGGTGACAGGCTGAAGTTTCTAGATGTTTACTGGATGGGGTAATTTACCGGGATACATGGGTATCTAGGAGAGCTTTGAGAGCGGACCGTAATACCGGGAGCAAATGTACTGAAATATGGGGGGTTGGAGTCATATATAATCTAGGGGGAGTTTGGAATTTGCAATTCACGATTAGGAAGTGTGGAAATTGAAGAGTATGCCATTGTCAGAGGTTGGAGGTTGCATTACATTGGAGGTGTTGCATGTTGCATGTTGTGGAGATCGAGTAAGGTTGTGGCGATCTGTGTAACAAATGTGGCGGTGTATGTTCTACAAAATTGGGCTTTAAAGCTATAAAGGGCGAATTCATCGGTCATCTCGACACAATGCAAGACTAATCAATGCACCCCAGGTTTCTTCAAAGCTACGAATCGAAGGGATGGGCTGCGCAAGAGGCAAACTGCGGATGGTATATGTGAACTTTTTTTGAGGAGTGAGGTCGTGAATCGTGAATCATCTCCATACTTTTAAACTCCTATTTAACATGAAGATAATACCTACTGGGTGTAGTGCTGCGCTACATCTCGAAAAACGTAATGGTTGCTTGGATGATTGTATCATATTCGGATTCCCTCATTCTATAGCATCTTTGCCTTACAGAAAAAACGTCCGGAATAACCCCGAGCCCCAGAACAAAGAAAAATATACAACATGACCCATCAGTCACCCCGTCGCAATCCATAAAAGCGCAAAGACGTTCCAGAAATCGGGTTGGAAGGATCATAAGACCAGCCCTGCTGAGCACTCTCAAACCAGGGTAATACGGGAGCCAGAGTGGATTAAGGTATAACGGGTTGAGGTGGTGTAAGAGATGGTTGAGGAAAAGAAAAAGGTGGGTAGCGGCAGCCATGACATTATATAAAAAAAAGTGTGAGGAAAAAACCTAAAAACACAAGGGACGAAAAACACCCAGGAAAGAGATGCTAAAAGTTAAATCAACATGTTTACGACGAGGTGATCTCGTGTCGCTTGATGTTGGTTAATCTGCCGCGCTGTCTGGTGTTAAGTCTGACGATGGCCTGTTCCTTTGTCTTCTCGACGGACTCATCTTCCTCGGAAACGACAACTTCGATGTGGCAAGGGTTGGACATGTATGGATTGATCTACGATATTATTAGCACTCAAGTTATAGAGAGCAACTAGCCCAATATGTTGGAAGTTGTCAAGCAATTAGACGAGGCGACGTACTCTTCCGTGGGCTCTGTATGTCCTTCTGCGCTGCTTGGGGGCCTGGTTGACCTGAATGTGGGAGATGACGAGCTTCTCGCCGTCAAGACCTTTCGATTCGGCATTGGCCTCAGCGTTCTTGAGGAGACCGAGAAGGAACTCGGCAGACTTCTCTGGCCAGCGACCGAGAGGGGCACCGAACTGCTTGGCTGTACAGTGACAAATTTTACAGTCAGCCAGATTCCCCAAAAATTGTTGCAACTAGCAAATAGCTTCTATATCCCATTTCCAAAAATAATGAATAGAAAACTCCTCCACAGGCCAGTTTCTTGAGCATGAGACTACCAGTTTCCCAGACCGATTGATGTTGTGTAATTGCATTCGTATTCTTATTTTACCCCCCTCTATCCCCAATCTCGAATCCCCCCAGCCTTCCAATAAACACAACATCAAAATTTCAAATAACTAACCTTGAGCGGTTCGACCAGTGCTGCCGTTGAATCTTCTCATTGGGATACACTCCTTCTTCTCCCTGACGTTCTCAAGGTAGACAAGGGCACGAGCGAGCTTCATGCCATTGACAGCCTGAGCAGTCTCACGAGTGTTCTTGAAAGAGACACGGAGGTAAGAACCGCGCGACTTGGCGGACTTGGTGGGGTTTTGGGGAACGGCGGCGTAGCGGACCTATAAGACGAAAAAGATTGCCGTCAGCATGGCTGTCCCTTCGTATATTCGCGGAAATTTCGAGATCTCGATGTTGAGGTATCATGTCGACGGCGGTTGAACGAGCCAGTTCTATCGAGCAGCTTCGGACGCACGCCAGTCGACAAGATTCCAGCATCGAGCATATCGAGAGCAGCAGCAAGACTGACCATTTTGTCGGTGATGGGTGATGTCGTAAAGAAGACCGGGGTATGAAAGTCGAAGTATGTCGGATGGAAGTTGTCGATGTCGTCTGTTTGGCGCTGTTTCTTCTTCGACAGGCGAAAAAATTGGGAGCACACACATTGCAGCCAAGGTGAGGCGTTTGTCCAATCAAAAAGTGTTGTCAGGGCTTCTAACCCTCACAACGCGCCAGTCCCAAAGCGGTTAGTATTGGATTTTAAGCCGCATTGGGCTTGGCAAGAAAGAAAAAGTAAAGAGCATTGGAAAATTTTTGGTTTCAACATCGCGGTAGAAGACACTAGACCTCCCAGCCATCCATCCATCTTTCTCTTCGTCACAACTTTTTCAACCCCAATTCGTGACGATAGACTTAGTTTCTCGTTGCTTTACTTGAGCGCGTGTCTACAAAGCTTGTATCGCATGCTGATACGACAAATACGCAATCTTTTTCGATAATCTTTCTTCACATACAAACCGAATAAATGGCGTTCACACCTAGAGGAGGTCGTGGCGGCGGCGGCGGCGGTCGAGGTGGATTTGGCGGCCGTGGTGGTGCCGGTGGTCGAGGTGGTGCCGGTGGTCGAGGTGGATTCGGCGGTGGCCGTGGTGGTGCTTCAGGTGGAAGAGGTATGCTTTCGCAACATTGTATCCTTCATTTATCGTGTGAACGGTTGATGGTCATTCACCATCGAAGTCTTCGCATGGTATGTTTTTACTCGGTAGCTAATTACAATTCTATCTACCAGGAGGTAGAGGTGGTGCAGGCGGTCGAGGAGCTCCTCGTGGTGGCCGAGGTGCTCCCCGCGGTGGACGTGGTGCCCCTCGCGGTGGTCGTGGAGGTATGAGTGGAGGCGCCAGAGGTGGTGCTAAAGTCGCAATTGAAGTTCACCCACGTCATCCAGGCGTCTTCGTTGCTAGAAGCACTAAGGAGGATCTCCTTGTCACTAAGAACTTGGCCCCTGGAGAGTCCGTCTACGGCGAGAAGCGTATCTCCATCGACGCCCCAGTAGAGGCTAATGCCGACGGCGAAACTGGCGTCCCAACCAAGGTCGAATACCGTGTTTGGAACCCTTTCAGATCAAAGTTGGCTGCTGGTATCCTCGGTGGTCTAGATGAAATCTTTATCAGACCTGGTGGGAAAGTTCTTTACCTTGGTGCTGCTTCTGGTACCTCCGTTTCTCACGTTGCCGATATTGTCGGCCCCACTGGTTGCGTCTATGCCGTCGAGTTCTCGCACAGGTCCGGACGTGACCTCATCAATATGGCAAAGAAGAGAACAAACGTTATTCCAATTATTGAGGATGCTCGCCATCCAATGAAGTACAGAATGCTGGTATCAATGGTCGATGTCGTCTTCGCCGATGTTGCCCAGCCAGATCAGGCCAGAATTGTCGGATTGAACTCCCATCTGTTCCTTAAGGACAATGGTGGTGTCGTCGTCTCTATCAAGGCCAGCTGTATCGACAGTACCGCTGCGCCCGAAGCTGTCTTCGCAAACGAGGTCAAGAGACTCAGAGCCGAGAGAATAAAACCACTAGAACAATTGACACTAGGTATGTGGCCCACAATATCTTTTCTTGGTTCAGGTAAATGATTAACATCCTTGTCTATAGAACCCTTCGAAAGAGACCATTGTGCTGTCGTCGGCAAGTACATTCGCTCGCAGTCTTAGGCAGATTATTTACCCGTTAAGCTCTACAATACCCTACTCATCCACGATAACGCGGCTGCCTCTATCGGCTCTGCAGTCGGTTCGATGACCCTTACGTCGCTTTGTTAATAATCTACCTAAAACTCGGGAGTCCGGAAATCCGTTGTGTCGCCTAAAGTTGAATTCAGGCGACAGGTAGTCCTCAGGTTGTCGAGGATTTCCTACATCCCTCTTGCATAGTTTAATGTCCTCCCCATGTTCTAACCAGGAGTTTGGTTCCTAGTGGCTCTGCTGTTTGTTGTTCTCAGATCTGCCTGTTCGTTTCTGCTTTGCCCTTGCGCTGTATATTATGAATGTACTCTTACTGGAGGTCTAGGATAGCTGTATCAATAAACCTTGATATCGATAGAAATCGAATTTTTAGAGTGCTAGAATACCCAATTGTCCGCCCTTGGAGTGTATTTAACCATTGGGGACTGAAATTATGACCGGGGCCTTGGCTTACCGGTCCCAAAACATTACAATGCTTGTTACAATGCTTGTTAAATCTTCTAACACCAATTAATCCGGGGACATTCACCTCTGCCTCAAACACCAATGTTACTGAATCAAGCTTAGACAGGCCAAACTCGAGCGATATTTATGTAATTACTCGACACCAAAAATCCAACTTGTAGCTCCGCGGCTACGGCTCTAGCGCAGCCCGGCTAGCTTAAGCTTCCACGAATGCGGTTTGATCATGATCCGACACTACAAAAATTGGAACTTTTGCTTGGAGACTATCTAGGTCCGTATTTCCAGTGCTCAGATACTATTTTATTCTACTCACACACCCGGATCACCCCGTCGAAGTGCTTGAAAACTACCTACTACTTATACATTCGAATTCACATGCTTGAAACTGAAATAGGTATGCTTCTATACATGTCTACCGGCTACCGGCCCTTTAAAGGGTTAAAGTTAGAAACAGTTAGCCTTTCAACTGCAATTGTAATTGATGAAAGTGGAGACATGCAATGTTCACAAATTCAAACAGACAAGAGGTATCTGACAGGGACAGGGTTGTGTTATTTCGCATTCGCATTTCTGGTATATATCACAAACACCTCTGTTAACTGGTTTGAACGTTAATTAAACTGCCACCTAATTCCTAGGTTATATAAGTATATACTTCATCCACATATTGATCATAAGTCCAGATATTATCGATCATATGTTTCAGCCCAATTACAAGGGCCAGATGCAATACATCCCTTTGACGTCGGCGAACGCGCGAAAACGGCCATGTAGCCAAGGTCAGAAAAAGCGGCTGAACACGCCAGATCCACGTCCAGAATTCCACCCCGTTTGCTGGCACTCTAAGGAATTGCCATGTTTGTTGCCGATTGGCTTGGTTCAGCCCTACAGCTCCACCCCGTCGCCACCTCCTAGCGAGTAAAAGACGGCTCGAGCACTCCCACCTGGCCAATGCAATGCATAATCAGATTGTTGAATGCAGAGCAAAAACGAAACTCAAATTTTGGGGCATTGGCACATTTGCATGTTTGTACGAATGGCACGTTGCAGGCAGCGATTGATAGTCTTCGGCGCGATATAGGTATAGTTCTTTTGCCATTATTGACATGGGACGAAAAAGCAGATTGCACCTTTCTCTCGGACAAGTGGCTCAATATAGGGAGGTATGCAGTACGGCGCAATGGTAAATAACTGGATTAGTTTTGTCTTTGGTGGAAACTACGAACCGAAATAAGGAGGGCCTGTGGGCTGCCCTAACTGCAGACCTCTATAAAAACAGGCCTTCCCGCCTTCGACAATTTACCGTAGAACAATATTTCGGGAACTTAATCTTTCGTCCTTCGCCAATCTTTCGATCCGATTTCACTTTTGGTCGGTGTATACTTTCCGGTTCCACTATTCTCCCAAGATGCACACCAAAACTTTGTTTACGGCTTCTTTGTTAGCGGTTTCTACAATAAACGCCCAAAGTTTCCTCGAGGTAGTCCAAAAGACGCCAGAGCTCTCATTATTCTCCGCCATAGTCGCTAGTCTCAATGATACTTTCACCGACCTCCTAAAATCCGTCGGCCCCGACGATGCTAGTCGCACGATTCTTGTCCCGAACGACCAGGCCATCCAATCTTTCATGGTGAATAACAACATCAAGTCACCTGCTGATATTCCTGCCGAAAAGGTTATTCCGTTCCTAAGTTATCATGTACTATTGAATAACGTCAGTAGTGCGCAATTCTCATCGCCAGGGGGCGCTGTTGTAGAGACGAAGTTGCAAGATGAACAATACGCGCTTCTACCGAATAACAGTGGACAAGTTGTATATGGGACACAGAAGGCTACTGAAGAGAAGAAAGCGGCGGCGATTGAAATCAAGAGTGGTGTTGAAGGTGGTGCTGTGCAGATTGTGAAACAGGATGTGACATTTAATCAAGGCCTTATTCATGTGGTTGATGGGTGCGTTATAAAGTTCTCTTTCATTGGCAATCGGGATCATGATATCGTCTCAATTGAATATTTATACTAACGATTCCTATTAATGGGGAGAATAGATTCTTGACCCTACCGACGAACTGCTCGAAGACAATTCAGCACCAAGGCGCCGAACGTTTGGTCACATATATTAAGCGTCTCGGCCTTTTGAATACTCTTGACAGTTTCCCCGGTGCCACTTGTTTTGCCCCATCTGATGCTGCAATCGAGAGGGCTCTCCCAGTCCTAATGAATATGACCGATGCCCAATTAATCGATGCAATCAAATTCCACACCCTATTGGAAGCCTATTATACACCAGACTTGAAGGATGGCCAAGTCATTGAAACCTCCTTGGCGGGTGCTTCTATCACTGTTAACATTGTGGATGGGGATTATTATTTTAACGGTGTTTTGGCCAAGACAACCAACGATATTGCAAGAAATGGTGTGGCTTATCTACTTGATGGGGTATGTGTCCTCCCATGTGGTTCGGATTTTCAAAGTTTTACAGGTTAAACAAGTTATGCATGTGAATAGATCATGCCTACCGTATTCAATGGCACCATAACGCCTTCCAAGTCGACTACCTCTGCTCGATCCACCTCCACTACTCCTCCGACTGGCACAAACACTGGTGTAAGCGGAGCTAAGACCACTGGCGCAGGAACAACTACGTCAGCGCCGACCGCTTCCGGTACTCCAAACGCTGCGGCCGCCTTTATGGCTGGGGGCTCGATTCTTATAGCTGGAGTATTGGCTTTGCTCGCAGTTTTCTAAACTAGGGCTAAACACTGTGGTAATGACAGTATATTGTACTTATGGCAGGCACGATATGGATCATGACATCATGTCAACGACATATGGGAACTGGATATATAATCCTCAGTAATGCGGACTTTGAATATCTTTGAAACAGCTTACATATTCTTATAATTTCTGCTTTTTGTGCTATTAGCCTTAGGTATATAGTATAGTACTTTTCTCTCGTAAACCAGACCCGGGGATCCACCGCATGCGCGCAGATAGTATCTGTCAATAAACTCTTATTCACAATTTTTTATCTATATATAATTGCCGTAAAATCGATATATCAATACCGATAACTGTATATAACAATATCTTCTTGTTCTAGCTGCTTCTGCACATCTGATTGCAATTGAACCTATGAATACAACGCAAGGAATGTGTGGTATTTTGTCTTTAACTCGAATCTGAGGTTTGTATGAATATTGAATCCAATTCAACGTCTACATATTCTCGGGATTCGATTCGGCGGGTGTGGACTAGCCTCGAATCCAGGGGCCGAGGCTAGGTATGGACGATCAAATCAAAGTTTAGTACACTAGCATAAGTCAATAATGAACAATACTGACTATAGTTTCCTTAATTACTTACCTACTTAGTCTAGTTTTAGCTACCTACTTAGGCAAGCGGATTATCCTGGGACAAAAGAAGAGTTTTTACATCCCTACGGTTTTGCTGACAAGGTGGCTCGTGAGTGAGCGCTGATGGTTATGGAAAATTCAATTAAAAGCCAACGTGAAATGCGTATGTGCCTAGGTACCTTCCCCAACTTAGGTAGTATTAGCTGAAGAATTTGAGTGGAGTGCGGTAAGTCTGCAAGTCTCAAGTTTCAACACTGCAGATGGTTGTTGCATTGACCCAAGGTAGGTCTTAGCTCAGTTTGGTGAGAATCATAATATTAAATAAGTCTGGAGGATAGGTACTCTAAACTGCATTGAAGTAAGTGAATGCTCACGGCCGGGCACAAGATCATGCCATCTAAAATGTTCAATCTTTCAACATTCAGAGAGATGACGTGACGTCATAGCAGAGGCATCCTTAGTAGACCACGTGATGATGGCATCTCACGTGACTAAATGGTGAATTGAAAGGTGGTCTCATCAAACCACAAAAACTTCATTTAGCTTCATAATATGCACAGTTTAGTTACGAGACTGCTCAATTTCATCAAAATGACCTATCCCAAAACTTCTAGTAACCTTCAAGATTGTAATAGCTTTTCAGTGTGATTTTGGTGTATGGGTATTGAGGGAGGAGAGTTGCAACCAGACAACACGAAGCGAGTTCCCCAGATTCGCGAATTCGGATGTGTCACTTGACACTTCGACTTCGTCCAGACTTTCAACCCTCAAATCCAAGTTCAAGATGTCGACAGAAATACCAATTGCACCGCCAGCGAATCCTCAAGATGCCACAGTTGGTATCATAGGTATGGGCGACATGGGCCGTCTATATGCCAAGACGATATCAGGAGCAGGGTGGAAGTAAGTGCTTTGATCTTGCATTGCATTGCACATCCCAGCTCAGCTCCCGAAATCGGCCAATGCTCACGATGCCTCATCTAGGGTCACTGCTTGCGACAGGCCCGACAAATACGAGGCCCTGAAGGATGAATTTCAAGGTATAAGAGCCTGCCTATCCGTGTTCGAAGTAGTATGACACAATGCGACAACTTCATGTTGCACAAATTGTTCAATACTGAAGAATTAGAGCCCAGGCTAAACAACAAATTTGAATCCCGGACGGCCCCGGATTGTTCGGTCTTTTTTGTGTCATAGGTAGTTCTGTCACTATCCTTGAGAACGGACATTTAGTGTCACGATGTAGCGACTACATTATTTATAGCGTCGAGGCGGAGAATATTGATACGGTGGTGAAGCTCTATGGGCCCTGTAGGTTTCTAAACCCCTAAAAGTGCTGTTTGTGCTTGAGTGCTGATGAGAATACTATCTGTGGAGCTTATAGCTACAAAAATGGGTGCTATCGTTGGCGGACAAACAAGTTGCAAGGCACCAGAGATTGCAGCATTCGAGAAGCATCTGCCTAAAGATGTAGAGATCATTAGCTGTCATTCCTTGCATGGGCCGAAGGTCGACTCCAGGGGACAGCCATTGGTAATCAGCTCCGGGTTCCATTAAATATCTTTGTTTGGTCCTAAAATCTAGCATATGATAGGTGATTATACCCCATCGAGCCACGCCCGAGGGTACGGCTCTGATCACTCGAATACTCTCCTGCTTCCGCTCAAAAACAGTACAGCTTTCTGCCCAGGAACATGACCGGATAACGGCAGACACGCAGGCCGTCACTCATGCGGCATTCCTCAGCATGGGCACCGCGTGGCATGCGAATGCCCAATTTCCATGGGAGGTTGAGCGTTATAACGCTGGAGGCATCGAAAACGTGAAGATCAACATTATGATGCGGATTTACAGCAACAAATGGCACGTTTACGCTGGTCTTGCGATATTGAATCCAGCAGCAAGGGATCAGATTCGAGCTTATGCCGAAAGTGTGACTGAACTCTTTAAGCTCATGATCTCACACAAGAAACAAGAGTTTTCAGACCGAATCATTGCAGGTGGAACCGCTGTATTTGGCCGACATCGTGGCAGTCCGCTACTGCTAAGGGACGATATACTCGATCAATACTCTTTATCGTCGACCCAAATCCCTAAGAGCGAGAGGCGACTTAATAGTCATCTAAGTTTGCTGGCTATGGTAGATTGTTGGTGGAAACTGGGAATCGTGCCATACGACCATATGATCTGCGAGACACCATTGTTTAGACTATGGTTGGGAGTTGTGGAGTATGTGTATCGGGATAGGCGGCTTTTGGAAGAATGTATCGAAACAGCGATGGAAGATGATACATTTAGGATGGATGATATCGAGTTCACCTTTGCGGCTAGAGTCAGTAGTGCACGCCCTCTTTGCCCAATACCTTCTCTCTTCCCGACTACCTAATTGGATCGTTGTTTTGCTAATATTTTTGGAACATAGGGATGGAGTGATGCGGTTGGCTTTGGGGACTTTGAGGGCTATAGGAAAAGATTCGAAAAGGTTCAGACATATTTTGCGCCGAGAGTAGCCGAAGCAACGAGGTTGGGCAATGAAATGATTGCGAAGATATTTGAAAAAACGAAAGATGATACTACTGAGGGAACTAAAGCTTGAAGAGGAGGACTGTACATATGGCAATGTATTGAGTGGTATTATATTCTGGCATACATGCTTAAGTAAGTTAAAAAGGATCATGATGCCTCTGTGAAGAGGCATTCGAGCTCAAGACAGCCGACAAGACCTCAGATAGAGGCGGGCATGATTATTAGAGGTTGCCTCGGCAACCAGCATATAGCAGAAGAAACCGATGTCGATTCTGAGGCATCTCAAAGGCCATTGTTCGTCGCAAGAAATGTAAGCATACTCGTATACCATCCATAGCCATGAGGTTCGAAAGACAGCTATCTAGGAAGAAAAATATGGTCCCTGAGTTGAGATTGCAAGCCAGGGCCTAGGAAGTCTCCGTGGCGGAATGACCAGGGTTGTTGATGTTGATGTTTTGGGACAAGCGAGAATCCGAAGTCGAAGAGCCCCACCACCATGCACCGGCCATGCACCAGCTCCCTCTTGATAATTTCCCCTCGTCATCTTACCCTTCCTCGTCTGTATATTGCTATCGCTGTCGCAAATTCTTACCGTCTACCAGTTTATTCTATGCTCGTGCTAGTCGCTCTGTCCTTTGCTCCTAGAAAATATTATTACACCAGGTTTGCTCCCCTGACTGGTGTGTGCGGCGCACAGACCAATCCCCGTTATCTCAAGGCCAATATCGCTAACCGCCTCTCTAAATGTAAACATCTAGGCCAGATACCCCTCGGCCACTTTAATCCTCCTGTTACCTTCGACTCATCGCTTCGGAATAGTTAAGGCGCTTGGGAATATCACAAAGATGATATAGTTTTGCTGTGCAATACTATCTTCGTCTGACATCTTATCATTTGCACTTGCATTCCTCGTACGGACCCGAACTTGCCGAACCTCAGCTGCACATATTCTTCCCGCTACGACCAAATTCCCAGTGCTTCTGGACAGATAGTCGCAGAAAATGGCATCGACGGCGCCTAAGCGTCGTCTTCGAGACCCGAACGACATATTTGCTGCTCTAGATCGCCCTACCATCAATTCTGGATCGCCTCCAAAGAACGATAATCCCATCACGGCCTCCTCTCCATTATCATCCCCTACAAAATCCGCTACGACCACCACAACCATCAATGCTGCCACGAAAACACAATATGTCACAAATAGTACAACTCGTTACACAAAACCTCAAATCGGCACTACTCGTCGTGTCATGTCGATTTCCAAACGCTTCATGGGAACTACTGGCTCCCTTCTACGCCGTAATGGATCTCCACCTCGCGGTCGCCGGTCTCCACCTCCCCGTCGGGCGTCGGTTCGTAAAACCAGTGGTGGTAAAGGCGGCATAAAGCCGCCCTTGGATCTTGGGCCACAGCATAGTCCTTATGATACGGTTAATGTTCGTGAGAGGGTTAGGAAATGGCAGGCTAGCGGTGGCGGGGTTATTGAAGCTGATACGTCGGCTTTGGCACCCCCACAAGCTATCAATACTGGCGACAGTGCTTCCCGAAGCGGTTCTAGGATTCCCGAGAAGAGAAAGACAATGTTGGCAGACTATACCGTTAACCATAACTTTGATGAACTCGAAACTAGCAGTGCTCGATGGGGGATGGAGCCGTTGGCTTTACCTGCGCCGCCAGCATTGGCTGGTTATGGTTCGAATGCCGGGTCTTGGAAAGGGAGCCGGCCTTCCTCGGTCATCAGTGGCGGTGGGGGTTTGGGCGAGTGGGAAGATGCTATGAGTGGAGCGGAGATGAGTGGCAGGGAGGATAAGAGTGCATGGAATAGTGCACCTGAGGACAAGAAAGTTGTAACATCTGGAACAAAGAAAAAGAAGAAAAGAGTACCGAGGGAAGGTATGGATGTGGACGGTATGCGAGCGAGGAAAGAGAGGCGAAAGAAGAAATTGATTGCGGTTTCTGACCATGAAAGGGAGATGGAAAGAAGTGTGAGGGGAAGAGAAGAAACACTTGAAGTGGAGGTTATAGAGACTTCTAGTGTTTTCGAAGTTCCTGGCATAGATTTGGAAGCAACTGAGGACACAGCAGTCGTACCTATGGCGGCAATAGATGATGCACCGCCACCGTTACCCCGACATGCAGGTTCTATGCCTGCTCTTAAGGCTGCTGCCAATAGTATGAAGAGTATCGAAGATTCTCCTAGCCTTAACTCAAAACAGAGTGTCAAGAGCTTGGGGGGGACGCCGGCGAGTGTTATGTCCGACCCGATCAAGGATGAAACCGCTACTAGCAGCCTTCTAGACGACGACGGAATCAGGGTTACAGCAATCCGCAGGAGGTTTACGAAGGCAGAAAAGCGCGAAATACACAAACAGCGGCAGGCCGAACGAGAAGAGTTCCTAGAAAGGGAGAAGAATAGGATACGAGAAGAGGAAAGGTTACGGTATCAAGAAATCGAAAGGATACGGGAAGAAGAGAGGCAGAAGGAGATTGAAAGAATAAAAGAGGAGGAGCGACAGAAGGTCCTAGAAGAAGAGGAGCAGCGGGAGGAAGAAAGAAGAAAGATCCGAGAGCTTGATTTGAAGGCCTACCGAGAAAGAGAAGAGCAAAAGAAGAGAGAAAAGGAAAAGGAGGAACGACGTCGGCAACGGGAGCTTTTACGCGAGCAAGAGCGACAGAGGGAGATCGAACGAATCAGAGAAGAAGAAAAGCTCAAAGTAATCGAGGAGATGCGAATTGAGCAAGAGCGGGAACGAGAAAGACAGGAACGGGAAAGGGAAAGACTAGAAGAGAAGCGTCTCGAACAGGAACGGGAACGGGAACGGATAGACCAGGAGCGCGAGCTGGCTCGCCTTGACGAGCAACGTCGAATAGCCCGTGAAGAAGAGCGACACCAGGAAATCATGTCAGAGATCGAACGCGCAACCCAGCGAAGCACTACCAGAGCAAAAAAGAAAAAGAAGGAGAAAGAAAATTACATGCTCGAGGAAGTACAGAAGAGGGTTGGACCTGATGCTCTACGGTCCAGGGAAGAAATGGCTTCGGTTATTAAAGCCACTGTTGTCGAAGTTATGGGCGAAATGTTCGGCGAAATTATTTTCGAAGACGACATCAAATTGAAGGAATCGAATGACAAGGCGTTTTCATCATCAGTGACTACGGAAGCTACATCGAACGTTGAGCCAGATTACGATACGCGAACCCGCGAAACGACACCGGAAACACATAAGAGTCCGGTGCAGAGAGCTAGAAGAATATTTTCACCGCTAGAAAAGCTAGAAAAGAGTCCACCTCCAATGCCCCCAGGTCACAACGACATCACATATCGACCTGTTGAATTCAGGAAAACGGTTCCCGAGATTCTTGAGTTCAAAAGACCTTTTCCTATGGGCATTGGTTTTAAACGCCCGTCCCACCAAGCGGCGGAGCTCAAGAAGCCCACAACCGACATCGTTGAATCTAAGAAATCAGTTCCCGAGATTCCCGAACCCAAAAGGCCGGCTCCCGAGGTTCCCGAACCGAATCGAGCAGCCCCTAAGACCCCGGAGCCCAAGAAGGCCGTCCCCGAGATTGTTAAGCTCAAGAAGTCTATTCCTGAAATCGTTGAAGCTAAGCCGCCAGCTCTGGAGGAGACTAATTACAAAAAACCTGCTGTGGAAGCAGTTCCGGAATCGCCTCCAGAGCGTATCCCAGAGCCAATCCTAGAAGAACCAACCTCAAGTCCACCAGGGTCCCCTGAAACCCCCACGAAAGGTGAATCTATTGCGCTACCCAAGCGACGCATAAATCTTTTTGGCTCGCAGTCAGCGAAACGTCGAAGAAAGCCCTTCCAAGCTACAATACCCGAGGAATCTGCATCACAATTGTCAGTTGAGTCCGAACCTGCATCACCGCCACCTGTTGGCCGTCGGGACTTTTCGTTCGCTCCCCGTACTGCAGCTGAGCCGATATCTCCTCCAATTACTCGACAGGTATCCGCCGCGTCACAATCTGCACAACCTGCAGATGCAGTGTTACCTCCTGCAAGGCAACTTTCCGTGGCCTCCCGCGCCTCTCACCACTCTGATACCTCAGACCACTCCATTGTTTCTGCTTCTCAAATTCACCGCAACCTCCCTAAAGATGAAAACCTTGATCTACCGAGCGAGAGCCTATCAACCGGGCTGACTCGGTCTCTGACTTCTCCGGCAGCTCACACAAATCTCGCAAAGGACGAAGACCCGGGTGATGAGTATTTTGTATCGGTTAACGAGCCGTTGAAGGGTTCTGGAATAAAACGATACAAGAGCACGGCAGATCTCATCTCCCTTTTGTCAGAACGGCGACCGTCGTCCACGCGACCAAAGAGCATCAAGAGCACGAGGTCTATTCGCTCTGTCAAAAACAAGGTTGTCGTGGGAACTCTGACACTCAGAGACCTACTCGTGGAGCTCGCCACTGAGGAGCTATCATATACAGAAGATCTGCAGCTTCTAGAGCACAGAATTATACCAGTCCTCCTGGAAGCCAAACTGGCGAAGACAGATAAAGATGCAGCAGCCGGAAAACGAGCAAGCCCGGAGAAATTGATGGAAAACAATCCGCTCAAATCCATCGTAGATGTCAATATTGCGCTGAAGCGACTGAATGGTGTTCATGACCGATTGGCAGACGCAATTAAAGCTGCGACGACCGATCAGGCCGACCAAGTCGTCGCAGTACCGAACCCAGATGAAATTTTAAAGTGGGCACAAGCAGCAAAATATGTCTATGAGGATTACATCACTTACTGGAGAATGGACTGGGACGAAGTCGTTATCAACACAAACGTGTTGGAAGCCATTGAGAAGAAAAAAGGAGTTAGTAATGTGGGATCAGCGGGTGGCGTGGCTGGCGTCTTAAGCGGCGGCGTTTCGGCCGGGAATGGGAAAAACGAGGGGACAATTGATGTGGGTTATTTGCTCAAGAGGCCGTTGGTGCGAACGCGGGTCCTCACAAAACTGTTCAAGGTATGTGCCATTTTTATATCAACTATCTACACTAGGCCGTCGGATAAATCGGAGCACCCCAACATGGGTCGGAAAAAATTACCCTCCGCCAGCTTTAAACTCAATTGCTTCAGAATGTGTTCTTTCGAGTTCCCCAAATATTTCTGGCCTTCTTTTTTTTCCCCTTGACATTAGAACATTTCAAGAACCCGCAAATGGCGTTTCCAAACTTGCATACATAATGCTCTCGTTCTGGCGACAACCGAAACTAAAACCCTCTCCGAACTCTCACGGACTCTCATGCCCTCTTTTGAGCTCTGAGGTTTTGGGACTCGGTGTCCCCAAACATTCTATGTATAGCCTTACACCCTTGTAGCTTCCAATCCTTACGTTCCACTGTTTCCGCCACCCATTCCTGCGGACCAGTTCTCTGGTCACTATCTGGTTATACAGGAAACGCTCCCTACCTCTCTCTTTTCCGAAACGGCTTCATATATGGCTTTCTAAAAGCCATATCTAGTTCGAATCCTTTTCTTCTCGACTTATCCTTCTATATGTTTTTCTTGCCTTCGTTCTCGTTGCACCTTTTTTTATACATTCTATTTATATAAGCGAAGACAATTTACTGATGACATGCACGCTACCCATGCACTTCTTCGATTTTCAGAGGATAAACTACCTCTCCCCCAGCCCGCTCGCGGAAGAAGCCTTTGTTTCTTTCCAAACCCTTGTCGGCGCCGCCCGCCACAAAGTAGCTGAAGAACGTGCACGCCTCGAAGACGAAGCAGCAGCTTGCATCGATGCCTCACGGGTTCGGGATCTCCAAACTCTTGAAATTTGCTACGGCGTCGTCATCGAGCCGAACCGCAGAGTTCGGGCTCGGGACATCTTTGAAATGACGCTAAACCATTCTCTTGGGAAAGTGTTGAGAAAAACCGTGGAGTTATATTTGAGGGATGAAGGTAAGGGGAGGACCAAAAGTGAAAATGCCGAATTGATGATTTGCGAGCTCTCGAAGGATGAAGAGGAGAGAAAATGGCTTGCATTTCAACCCTTGCCTGTCAAGTGGATATGTGCGAAGCAGGGGCCGGATGAAGGAGACTTAGTGTTGGAAGTTGATGCAAGGTTGAGCGATGGGAGTAGGTGGCGGGAGAATATGATACTCAGCGCGGACCCGATGATAAAGATGGAATGGTTGCACCTATTAGGTGCTGCAGCGGATGAAGTTTCCAAAGCGAGCCGGATGCAGCTAGAGAACGTAGGGCTGCAACCCATGGATGACCAGAGTGATGTCGGAGTAAGGTCAATCTCAGCGGAGATAGAGACGCAGCTAAAGAGTTTGGGAATTGATGATTCGTACTCTGAGCCCCCCACGCCGGGTATGAGCGTCATTAGCGAAATGGACAGGTTCCCGGACTCGGATGCTGCGTTGATGCCCGAGAGCAAGAAGCCAGGAAAACCGACTGTCGCAGTGGTGGTTATTCCCGGTCTGAGTGATCTTTACGATGGAGGACCGCTGGCGGTACCGGTTTATGGGGAGCTACCACATATTGTGCAAATGATGCCGCACTACGTTCATAAGAAGCGGATTGTGAGCCCACCACCATCGACCATCAGTCCTATGAGTAGTGCATCGTATGGACCAGCCAGGCTACAGAGACGAAGGACAAGGCATGAACAAAGAAGAATGGCAGAGCTTAAGAAGAAGAAGGAAGAGGAGGCCAGAAACGAGAGGGAATTGGAGGCGCAGAAGGAGAAGTTGGTGAAGGCGAAGAAACTACCCGCATCCCCACCTCGGCAGCGACAAGTGCAGCCAGTGGATGTTCAGGAGGAGGAGTCACCAAAGGTTCGGAGACGTTCTCCATTCAGGTTGCGAAGCCAATCGCCACCAAAGAGCCCACCAAAGAGCCCCCCTAAGGCAGCTAGCTTGTCATTCAAAATCGCTTCACCGCCAACATCACCTGGCCGACGTGAAGGAAGCAGCAGAGATGACGATGATGATTTGTCGGCCGATGAATCCAGTATTGTTTCTTGGAGTGACCATGACTCGAAATATAGTCACAAGTCGGGTAGATACAATGCAACCGAAGGGGCACGACGGGCAAGGAGTGAATCCGAGAGTTCTACCGATACAAATTCAACTGCTACGACTAGTTCGAGTAAGTCTTCCGATACAAGGACTGGGGATCGCGCTAGGAGCTCTGCTTCGTCCGCTAGATCTCGTCAATCTCGTCAATCTCGTCAATCTGGCCAGTCCGCTTCAGCACAGGAAGAAGATGATTCACCCCCACCGCTGCCATTGCACACTTCCTCCTCTCAGGACTCTCTCAGGAGCAGTAGCTCAGCTTCATCGGGAAGCACTGTCAGAAACTCGAATGTGGCACCACAGCCAGTTGCAACATCTAACTTGAGAGGAAATCTAAGACGAAGGATTTCCTCGCCTTTGAAGCACGAGTATGCTCCTTCAAGCGCAACCGAGTCCTCTGGCAGTAGCAGCACTATAACCAATTCGGACACCGAAAGTCCATCTGAATCCGAATCCGATCCTGAGGAAGAAGTCGAAGAGGAAAGATCCGACGATGAACTTTCGGAAATTCTACATAAGATTGAAGATGAGGACGGTGATATCCCGGGACCTATGTTTGAAGATATGATCGCTGGACGCAACCTCCACTCCGCGGGGCGCAAAGACGGCCCGGCAACGCAATTTGAAGAGCTTCCACGCAGAAGCACGGCCTCTCCGAGGCACTCGGCCAAAAATTCAATCACGGGATATACCGCCACCGCGATGGTTTTTACCTGGAGTCCAAAGGGTGCCTGGGAGAAAATCTCGGAAAATGAAAATAGAGTTGCTCTCCTGGATAACTTCATTGAAGTTTATAAGACGGACTCGGATGGAGCACAGGGCAAATTGTTACTCAGTTTCGAGGTTACTCCAGTAACACCGATAAGACGGGGTACGGCAGTTGATCTCTCAATTCGTGCAGAACCCAGGGCAAAATTTCAAGGTGGGACGGTGATGTTCAGAAGCCGAACCCCGCAAGAGTTGGAGTCGCTTTATAATGCAATCAACACGGCCAGAATTAGTGCTTGTAACGGATTCGGTGGGGCAGGCAAACTGGGAAGGAAACAATCAATTGGACGCAGTGGGAGCGTTAGAGGTTATCGCGCTACAAATGTGGATGGCCCTCATGGCGGAATTGGCGCACCTGCATTCCAGGGCGAAGCTGGCAGCATCATTATGAGTGAGGGCAGCAGCTTGGGCTCGTTAGGAAGTGCTTTCTCAGCGTTCAAGGGAAGCCTTAGAAGCTCGATATTCGGAGGTACAAAATCCTCTAGCGGGGGCAGTTGGATGAGTTCATCGAGTACCTCTAGCGGATTGGCGGGGCCAAGAGGTATCATTAACCCTCTAGGTGGAATTCCTATTACCGGTATTGGTGGTGAGGCACCCTACCAAGGTACTGGTTATGTTTCGAATCTCAAGGTCAAGCTGTGGAAGCGAGAGGGGCCGACTAAATGGGCTGATCTGGGACCTGGGCGGTTGAATATTATTACGCCGCCCCCGGGACACGCTGCCCGAGGTGGAGGCGGACTCAGTAGCAACAATGAGAAGAGAATAGTAGTTCGAGATCGCAAGGGACAAAATACGCTATTGGATGTCATACTTGGAGAGAGCTGTTTCGAGAGGGTGGCGAGAACGGGTATTGCGGTTCACGTCCCAATGGAAGATGATGGGTTTGTGCCGTCCTTGGTGATGGCCGGGCTAGCGGGCAGAAGTAGTATTTTCATGCTGCAGGTAAGTAACAACCCTATTTGTAGGAGAGTATACGGATTTTCCAAAGGATCGATCACTAACATATTTCCGGAATATAGTTCAAGGGCGAAAATGAGACGAAAGAGACGTTTAGGGTTGTGGGAAAACAGAAGTATTAGGCGTCTGCATCAGCTTCCTCATTAAGAAAAAGATGTCGGGCCGCTTCCTACTCAACAACCTCGCCACAGTTTTTTAGCCCAGTCCTACCCCGCAAGCGGGCGAGGCCATCTTCCTGCAAAACATTTCTTTGGTTTACTGTTTGTTGGAGTTTTCATGGAGGGGCGCCAGGTTTGAATTATATGGAGCCATGTGCATTTGGGTATGGCGTCTTGTTTTATCTCTTTAATTCTGTGTCCTGCATGTCAGAACACCTCTCATACATATTTATACTACATAATGCCTCATTCTTCTTATTTTTATCAACCCCTGTATAGCTGTTTCAAGCGTGGGTGTATGTTTCGTTTCCCTAATAGTTCCCAGCATTGATAGAAGATAGCAGGCATATTTCGGAGTAATAACATCGGTATAACATTCACCCGTCCAGAATCCCCAATTGTTATCGTAATCGCCCGTCCAAGATACGCTAATGTATTACGTACTTTGAAAAAGTCCCAATTAATCCAGAGCTAAAGTGGCTGTTGGACTTGGCTTCAGTGAGGGCATGTTGAAACGTATGCCTGTCAGATCTGTTGGATCCTCCGCGCCAAAACCAATAGACGCCGATCTAGTATCATAAACGGTGCAGCAAAACCACCTGCATTGAACCAAGTCCATGGATCACGAGATCTAGAAGAGATCTTACGGCCGAGAACTAAATAGTGGAGAATGAATCGCCCATATCATATTAGATGTGCATGGTGGTGCATTATAAAACAAAGAACCATGCACGCCCACTGGGGCCCTCGCCGATACGAGAATTGGTCGACTCGGCGCGCAACTGATTTGGTTGGACTCGATCTTCCTTCATGTGCAGCTGTGATTATAATGACCTAGCTAGCGTGTAGTGAGGTAGGCCTGGTACATGTATATTCCCTTAGGAGCAATTGCTAGCTGTGTAACCCGAACTATAATCTGACGTTCGATGCATGCATGTATATATGTATGTATGTAACGGGAGGATCATATAATCTTATACTATAAGATTTAGGTACCGCGTGCCATACTAGCTATTGCCCGTCGCCGCACGCGCGCTGTGCGACTTTTGATGGGTATCTGCCGATAGGTTCGGAGATATATGGCTGACTTAGCTTACACTGGTAGTTGCAGTCATGTCAGACCACAGGATCGGATTGAGACATCATATTAGTTGACATCATAACGTTGTGCGAAGTCCAAGTCTTATAGTGAGAAGATTTGTTTTACGTCGCCGTGGTGGGATTTTATGTCAAATCTATTACTTGATATTATTGGCTGATTAAAGAGAATCCATATGGGTATTACTTCGCAATTGGGTAATATGTAATTATAAGGCGAAGTTATAAGTTCAATGCATGCATCTTGGATTCATGAAACATACCAGACAGCGAATGACGTAAATTTATACCGAATTAATGAGGTTATGTGTGGCTCGATTACATTTTCTAAGGTTTAATTAAGCATCATTGTGTTATCAATATAATTGCTCTAACATGCAAGGCAGTTCAAACCTAGGTCCTTGCCCTCGGTGTCGGTCCCGAGACACCCGCCTGCGCAGCTGCTGGCAGAAGGTACTAGCGCAACTAGATATTATGGTATGTGAATGTCAGAGAAGACGTCGACCTGGCGTTGAGAGTTACTCAATCTAGACCCATCTTCTTCGCTCCTTAGCTCTACAACTGGCCAATATTTTGTTTTATATTTCTTACTGATGTATAATTAATTTATTTATCTCGTATCCAGTATTTAATATTTGAGGGAGGTCCTATATCATCACGAAGTTCTATGACTATTTAATAATTTTAAAATGATCATAGATAATTGGGGAAATATTTTGAATATTGGCGCAATCAAAAAGGGTGTTTGGCAAATAGTTCTCTTTTGGATAGGGTCGCCCGTCATCCGAGGGGCACGACTCGACTCTACGTTCAGTTGATAGTAAGCAGAAAACCGTATGCGTAGCAAGCTTAGACACATACTTCAACCGCCTCGCACCTTGTTAACTTTGAAGCCGACTGGCCGTGGCCCGGAAAGCTAAGCGGGATCATGCCTAGGACATGGGGAGTAAAAAAAGCCAGGGAATCACTTCGGCTCAATTTCCAACTCCAGGATACCAGTGAAAGAATTCCAATATAACAAGCAAAAGAGTTAAGAACGACAGCAGCTTCTCTGATTCTTCCACAGACAGTTGCCTCAGTCGCACTCGCAACAAACTAGGAGAAATTAGCATCGGCACGCTTAAACCTAGTCATGATATAGTTACATTAGCCAAAGGAATACATGCATAGGCCGCTTGCATGTCCTAACCCAAAGGATTCGATGTCAACCTTGAAGGTTGTATCTATAAAACAGGCTATGGACTTCGAGCCGTGGCAAGCAAGGAGTTGTGGGATAAATAGATTAATCGAGGCAAATCGAACGTATAAAACGTAAATTATTTCACATTCCATGATTCAGGGTACCAAAAAAGTCTGGGGAATAAGGACAGAGTGCACACCAATACCGCAATGGAGGACGGAGCTAGGCGGTGGGAGGAGGGGTCCACGTATATCATAGGGGGGGTTGAACCAATAGGCTATTTGTTAAAGGACTCCACTTTCTCCTCGTGCGGGTTACCGAGGCCAATTCTGCAAGATTTTGGGGTTCATGGAGTACAGGAGTTGACGAAAACTTGAAAGTTGGAACTTCAATGTGGGGTGTAGTGGCCGAGAAGATGGATGGTGACATGGGCATAGGGCTATTATAGCACCATTCTCTTTCCGATAGAGCCGCTTGTGATCGACCATGCAAGAAAATGTCTCGTCAAGCTCTAGGTGTGGGTCCTAGCTAATCCAGAACGGGTGACCTTGAATGAACTGGAGTACTGGTTCCCTCGAGGTATGTGACATGGCCCCCATGATATGTGGGTATCTCAAAAGGTATGGAGCTTGAACCATACTTCTGCAGCGTTCTTCAGACTCTAAACCCCGTTAAAGTTTTCCAGAGACATTTTCAGAGGTTTCTTTAGTGGAAACTTGTTCCAGGCGACCAGCTATCTTGATAAGAACCATCTTGATAACCAATAATATACCGAGTTATGAGCCTCTATTTGTCAAGATATATACCTTCTTTGAATTGACTATATAGTCACCTTCCAGGCAGCTCAGTATATTCTCTCTTCCCTATAAACCCTAATATTTTGGATTTGAAAACCAACCCTGGGACTGAGGGTAGTGGAGACTGCCTAGATGCAGCTTGTGCGGCTCGCTAGGTTCGGTCAACCTGCGTGGTTAAGGTAACTACCTGCATCGACTAGCCCATGCTGCGGAACAACGGGAAGTGACAAGCAAGTCTTGAGGGAGCTAGATAGACACTGGAAGTGATTGCCTGGAGGCAAATGACAGTTGGCACATGCAGTCCATACAAGGTTGAGGAAGAGCGGACCGATCCCTGGAGGGTGGACTTACTCGAGCACGGAGCTGCGCGATATTAGCGGATTTGAAATTGCAGCATTAGACTTTTTGAGGACAGCAAATAGGGAATATCTAGACGAGAGAGGAGGGCCTTAGTTGCGAAGGCGTAATCATCGATGCAAAGATAGGAAAGAAATCTGGACCCACCCGTGATCTTCCGGCCAATTATCTGCTAGAGTTGGATACTGGTCACTTGTCTGTATCAGGTTATGGCACGGTGGCCCTGTAGGATAGGATAGTGCAAGATAGACGGAGCTGGAAACGGGACATCTAACCTAGGTGTCCCCCGTGCCATGGGCTAAGGGTCGGGACACGTCTAGCGGCCCTCGCCTCTAATATCTCATTGTTCTTTCATTATCCCGGGCACCATATAAGAATGAGAATACATATATATACATACGTATAATATTTACATGGACAAGGAATCGAATGAATAGACTTTGCCTAACTTTATCATTGAACGGGATCTTCATTCACCGATGTCACATGAGATTTAGAATAATTGTAAGTATAAAGTATAAATTTAGAAAATAGTAATACACATCCTCGAAGTATCTTATATTTAGCTTTCGCTATTCCCTTGGATGTAATTTTTTATTGTCTTGGGGGCCTTTTTTTTCTCTCTCTTGAATTTAAAGCCATTAGTCAATACATTGTAGTCAGCAAAATTAATTGCAAAACACAAAAACAGGCAACTAATTTTATTCCATTCCATTCCATGATGGTGGGGCGTGCTTGCGAAGTGGGGAACAAAAACATGGCCTTTGAACCCGGCACAAAGGTTTAGAAACCGATAATTGGGTAGCGGGAATACATGTGTCTGCCCGCGACCATGACAGCCAGGTGCGCGATAGAGAGGTGTGCCGGGTATACGAGCCTGGACGAGCCTATAATAGGACACACCAATCATGTTCGTAAAATATAGTATTATCTAGCCTAAATCTTGCATTTGGATCTGCGGATACAGCGCCAATAAAACAATACTCGAATTCGGCCCACTGAGCCTCCAAATATAAATGTCAGAGTAGTAGATACCTAAAGTATTTTCAGTTGTCAGATTCAATCTTGTAGACCTTGGCTCTGGTTTTGGAGGCTCTTGGACAGGGCGATTGTGTTGTCCGTTGTAAATGGGTTTTGGCGTGGCTTAGCTAATAAATTAAGCCTGAGCCGGATTAACAGGGCATGGAATACGAGGGTTCCAATAATAGGGTTTTTATGCTATGCCATGCTGAGGTTTTGGGATAGATTGGACATGGTCTCTTCCGCATCAATTTTCTTGTTTATTTTGGTCTGTGGTTTACCCTGAAATTTTAGGCTCGATTGGATTTGAAATATTATTGTTGAGGTAATCATCATGCGACCCGACCAGACTAACTGACTGCTACCGCGCGAATGCGGCAGGGAGCACTAGACTAAATGTATGTACAGATCCATATCATACTATAGGGCTCGAGTTCTTGTTACAATTACTCCACAGTGGTTGACTTATTATTACAGTTGAAATGCCGCGCTGCCGCACTACCCTGGAACCA